CCAAGCACTGGAATTCGCAGTCTGTGCTGGATTCATTTCTGACCCACGCCGACATTTTGCTCGAAACTCGAGCTCACGCAACATATGCATCAAACATTGACGGTCGCTCGAGATAAGGAACGAAACCGCTTGGAAACACTCGTAAACAAGTAACGGTCACACTATGTTTTTTCTTCTCTTTTCTGTCTGTGCTCGCGAACCTATGGCTAAAATTAGTCCAGCCGGGCGGAGCATCGGCCAACCGTCGAAAGAAGAAAAGGATAACGAGTGAAAAACAAAGAGGTCCGTGAAAAAAACAGTGGGCTCGGGGACCGTTAGTCTCGATCGATTAAGACGGTAAACACAGGGCGTAGACGTATACGCACACAATTATCTTCATCACGATTGTAGACTTGGTATATGCTGTGTGCGTGTTTCCAGGAAAGCGACGAGTCAAAAGTGACTCTCCCAGCATAGTGCTCGAAAGGTTAAGCATAAATGTTATGTAAAGTGAATCTACGATAAGAAACTTACAATTTCGTACTCCGACAATCTCCTATTTAGAAAGGTACAGGTCAAGGGAAAGGAGCCAAAATGAACGTTAGAGGGTTCGTAGGGTGGAGAGGCGTTGCTAGTTTGGCAGTTCGAATGCTGGTAACATCCTAATCGACGCCTACTGATGGCAACAAGAGACCAAAATTCTGCGACTGGTCCCCGTCGGACAAGTTCTTGCGCGAGTGCACGCACTCGGCGAACCCGAGCCGGTGGAGGCTGCATTGATCGAAGGCGGCCATCCGTTAAACGCGTTTAGCTTGTTGGCACACAAAACTCGACGGGACGGCTAGCCCCTCGCGACGATCCTCCGCGAGCATGCGAACGCGGCCACGTGTACGCACGGACTCGGTTCATTTAAAGGGGTGTTCTCCTCCGGAGACGTCGCTTCTCGACAATTTTTGGGATACAACATTATCAGTTTCTAATACGTTAAGAAATTTAATATTTGTCGTACGTGTTAGAATATCTTCCAAGAAAGAACAGTATCATTTTTATGTGTTTATATATACTACTGCTTATTTGTTTGTTTCTCATAAAAATAATTATGTAGGGTTTCTCTCACTATGAGACCGTTGTCCAAATTGAGACATTCAAAATGGTGGAAATTGTTTGTTCTAAAATTAGTTGGACAGGAATGAAGACGAGAAGGCTATCGAACCGTAAGAAAAATAAAATAAACTGGAAGCGCGATTCTGTTTCAATGAAATTGTAAGCAATCGCAGACGTAATCTTATCGAATGATTATGGCACGTTAGCTTCTAAACAATCGTTACGACACGACCGTTACGTGAGCACGTTCCCGCGTTTTACGAGGACCTACCGCGTAGACAGCGTTCGGAACTCGCTGGAACAGATTGAGTTACAGATTTATAATTTAACAGTCCAATTTTGTTTAAAGGAAACGAATCGAAAACGTGTAGAATTGACTAGGTTACCAATCATACTTTGGCAACTAACTTATTCGATGGATTGTGAAACAATATTATCCGCATAAAGATATTAATAATTCTTGTATCCCTTTCTACCCCGTGCCCCCTTAATTCATGCCTGATTAAAGCTATATTTTTCGTAACGTAATCGGGACCTCACGTTGCCCATAGACAAATTTGAAGAGAAGAGTATATATTTTTATGCCGGAAGCTAGTTGTTTTCTTAAACAGCTTCGTAAAAATATTTTATTCTCACCGTTTCCCTTAAGACTGCTTATCGACCAACTCGCGCCTAACTTCCTGTGGTCTGTTGATAAACTATATCGTACCTCATTACTGTTCACCGAAAACGCGGCTCGGTCTTCATTAAGCTTTTGAACGGGGACCACAGGAACTGCCCGCTTCCGATAATATTCCGTAACGACCTCAAAGAACGTTTCGTTTCAGTAGCAAATATTTATCTCAAAATATTCCGTGAAAAAGAAATTCTCCCGAAAATTCCGCAATCGTACTGAAACAAAGAATTGTTTCTGAAACGTAGAAAATAAAATTAATTTTTTCATAGTGAAACGATTTTCGGGTAAAATGTAAAATTGTTTGAATAATTACGAGTGAATTTCTACGTCGAGCGATAAAGAAGGAAGATCGTTTCATAATTACGTTAGTGCTTCGAAATTTTTTAGAAAATCGATTCAAACAAATTTTCCAGGCCTCGTGCGATACATTAGCGCAGAATATCCCGAAAACCAGGAGAAATTCCGAAAGTGGGGTGCGTCACGAGGGCCGCAGGAGGGTGGCCAATCTCGTGTATCGTTTTGTATTTGCCGAAAACAGTCGTATTGTCCGCGGGGGGTGCGAGAGGTGAGAAATCGGCGACCCAGCGGGGAGGGCCTGTAGGCACTCGTCGCATCTGCCTTCGATTTATTTCCAATAGTAATTGATGACTCCTGCCCCCGGCACCTTTTTTCGCTGCTCGACACTCGAGTGGGCAGCCTCGTTGCCCTGAAAAGGACAGGAGCACCGTGTCAGAACTTTTGCATAATGGAGGCAAAAGTCACGGGCCGCGGCCAATAAATTATCCTGGCTCCATTAACGCGTCTCCCGTAGCCGCTTCTGCCTTTCGAGATTTCGGGAATAGTTCGACTTCGTTGGGGCGGAAAGTACTCGAGTGGACGCGTGGAATTCCTTTATGGGTCTTGTTTGGATCTTTCGGAGGATGTTTTCAATGCTTGCACGGTTCTTCCGTGCCCATTGATACGACATTAACTGGTTGACGGGACCGTGCCTAAATGTAGGCTTAGTTCGATTCAGATGAAACTTTATTTAGCTATTCTTTATATCGGCATGGAAAATATAGGTTACCTTACTTGGAGAAATATTAGTTACGAAGCAGACTATAGTCAAATACATACGAAAATTTGTACTACCGATGTAATTAATGATATAGAATTCGAAGTCTGTGTGTTTGCAATTTCCCTACAACTCCGATTATTTTTGTCAGATCCGGATGAAATTTTATTCGGACAGAAAATATAGGTTAGTTAATTTTGGGAAATATTAATTACGAAGCAGGCTATAATTAAATTTATCTCTAAAATTCGGATTACTACTGTAAGTAGTTCGATACAAAATTAGTAATATTTTTTTAGAAGATCGTAGGAGAAAAATTATCTGGTCACGCTCTCTTGTTGGACAGACTATACAGGGTGTTCGGCCACCTCTAGCAAAAATTTTAATGAGCGATAGTAGAGGCCAAAATAAGACAAAAATCAAGAATACTAATTTGTTGGTGGAAGCTTCGTCAAAAAGTTATTAACGTTTAAAGTGCCGCTCTTACTGAATTTTTTTCTCGAAAATGCGCAAGATTTCGGGGGTATGTCTATTCACAAAAAATGACTGTAATTGAACCCTACAACCGAAAATAATTTTTCCACAACGATTTGCAATTTCTTAATTTTCTCGAATAATTTCACACCTTCTCTATTTTTTTTCTCGAAAGTGGGCAGGATATCGTGGGTATGTCTAATGACAAAAACTGATTGTAATTGACCCCCGCAACCGAAAATAATTTTTCCACAACGATTTGCAATTTTTTTTCTCCGTTGAAAAATTTAGGCACCTAATTGGATTTTCGGTAAGGAATTTTTTTCTCGAAAGTGCGTACGATTTCGGAGGTATGTGTAATGATAAAAAATGATTGTAATTGATCCCCGCAACCGAAAATAATTTTTTTAGAACGATTTGAAAAATTTTTTTTCGCCGAAAAATTTCAGCACCTACTCGATTTTTTTTCTCGAAAGTAGATAGGATTTCGGAGGTATGTGTACTCACCAAAAATGATTGTAGTTGACCCCCGCAACCGAAAATAATTTTTCCAGAACGATTTGAAATTTTTGAATTTAATTGTTAATAACTTTTTAACGAAGCTTCCATCAACAAATTAGTATTCTTGATTTTCGTCTTATTTTGGCCTCTACTATCGCTCATTAAAATTTTTGCTAGAGGTGGCCGAACACCCTGTATAAGAAGCATTCGGATCACTGAAATCGTTTCGAACGGTAATAAGAGCTACTAAAGTGGTTTCTGATCGTGATTTCTCTCTCATTCAGCGATCGGAAGAAATCACGGGCATTTTCGGGTGGTGGATCGCGATGTGTGTGTGCGCGTGTAAACGCCTCACGTATTTACGGAGCGACGGGGGACCCGCATTAGGGGCCATTTTCTGGAATAGCGCTGCAGGGCGTTTGAGCGAGGAAATGCACTAGTATCGCTCTGCTGATCCTATCAAACGAGAATCGTACCGAAATCTCCCCTGTAAATCTGCCTTTATTGTTTTAAGCCGTCGTACGTGGTAATCGTAGCGGACCTTAATGCGTGCAAATAGCCCTTTTAACGTGTCGGTTGTTAGACAAGATCCATGAAAACTCTCGCCATTTTGTTGTTAAATGTCCCAACATTGTACGAGACACTAGTCAAGAGGAGATTTTTAGTAACGGAAACGAACGTGAAATTTTTACGATGAAACAGCGAAAGTTCACGAAACAAGCAATTACGCGGGCATTGGCTCGATGTAAGACGATAATGCTAGCCGTGGAATTCTTATAAGAAGCCCTACTCGCGGAGAACCGATACGGGGGGAACAAGGACCCTTGTCACTTCCCACGGACGGTTCCTTAAGATCGTCGCGAAACCAACGGAAAGTCGACCGTTGATCCTTTCTCAGTTTCACCCGATCGAAACGTGTTCATTGTTCCCGTGAACAATAATGGATCAGAATTGTACATCTATCGATTGATTGGTCAAACGAAAACTGTCATTTTAATTAACCTTTGACTGCGATGGGAATTAAAATTCAACTATAATTGATTTTTATTGCAATTGACAACATATTTTATATCTGTAGTATTATCCTTACCAAACATACATGACGTCCAAGAAATGGTTCTTCCAGATATCACCGGTTTCTGGAATCCGTAACTGAAAGAACAATTTGTTTCGTTTGGGATATTATTGAAAAGATGGACACGGTTCGACGGAAATTACATTTAATCGATAAACAGCTTTTTACAATTCGAGCGCGATTTCAACGCTCGTTCGTCATTTCTGGGGGTTTCCCAGCGCTATTCGCACACCGTCGCGAATCAAAGGATGCTCGAAGCCACGAAAAATTAACCTAACGATCTTTACAAATATGTACAATGCAACGCAAAAACGATATCGCGTGGTGGATTGGTGTGGATCGACGTATACCAAATTAGGGCTGGGGACACTTCTAATATTATTGTCAGAGTATTCAAGTATTCGAATGTCGTGTCATTTGAATACTTTGGAATTCAGTTACTATTACTCGTATATTTCAGAACTGAAATGCCATACTATTTGCGTATGGGAATATATTCGTCGAATATTTGAATCACCAGATTCTTCGAAGACTCGAATACAAAATATTCAACAAGCAGTCCCAGCCCATTACCAAATAGAAAATTATTCGACGACTAACTCGCGCGCGCGCTCGCAGAATTCCGAAAGATTCCGTGAATCATCGTGTCTCGTCGCTTGGCTGTGACGCAACCGGTCAATCTTTTGTTTCGCCAGGAATTCCAGAGCAACATGATCGCGTGCTCTTTTTCCTTTTCTTCGAGAAAATTATTCCTCTTTAAGATTGGCTTTTTTTTTTAAATTGCAGGTCGACTTAAAATTACAATCTGGAAAGCTCGATGGCACATGGAAAGAAAGTTAACCTATAACCGAGACGAACGAGTTAACTTGTACAGAAACGGTACACGAATCATTTAATTTTCAATCTGCACTACGGATACAGTATATTTTCCCCCATGCTTGTTTTACGCTTTATTACTTATTTATGTAAAACTGTGCATTTAATTGCATCGTAATACTCGTATTGATAATAATTTTCGTTGTCGTTCGTGTTTGAATTAACTCGTCTTTATTCGTTTTTATACTCTTAAATTAATGGAACAATAGACGTTGTAAACAAATTTTAATAATGACGATGAAATTCGTTTGCGCGCGTAACGAGTTTAAAAGAAGGAAAATTCTGGAGTAAAATCACGATTAGAATTGAAACGCGTGCACTGATAGTTTATATATATGTATATTTATATATTTCCGACCGATTTATTATGCGGGGAAAAACACGAACGATACGGATGGCGTTTTTAAATGTCGATACCTTTAACCATAGCATTTCTCGAAAATAGTGGATCTTTTAAAAATGTACAGGATTCTTACAAAAAATGAGCCTACTACCTACATTGAATTTTAAATTGTCAACTATTCAAATTTCCTTTTATAAAAAAAATCAAGCACAATAGCCCCCCCCCCTCTCACCATAATATCGTGAACACAATTGTGATTAAGTGTCAACATAATTTCAAAATTTTATACTCTGGTTTCCGTTTTTTTACTTGAAAATAATTATATCCAACAAATTATAGCCTTTCAACAATGTCAGAAATAGTTAGATTATATTTTTAAACTAGCCGCTCCCAGTTTTGAATATATCGGGGGATTTGGCTTAGTGTTAGGATACGTTGTGTTGACCATCCAGCATCGATCGTATATTTTAAATTGATATGTTAATCGTACACTATACTCGAATTTACGCGCGACGTCATTTTACCATTTCGATGGACGAAGTCTCGTCGCACAGATTCTTAAAACCTTCCACAACTCTTATCGTCGTTATAATTGTACATAGAAATTCGGCGTTGTTGCGATTATGTTCACAGATGCGTTTCCAAGTCTCGAAGATCGTCCGGTCGACGACAGGGAAAATAAAATTTTAATCGCGTAATGATTTCTTCCGTGCAAATTGATCGTCTTTCCCGAGAAGTTTGATCGACGTCCACGAGAGGGATGCACGCGAATCGCTTAACCTAAACTGTCCTTGATGCGCGTCTTCAATCGTATATAAAATTCGGAAGGAAGTCTGCAAAATTTTAGGGGCGTGGACCGAATAACATGTATGTGCAAAATTCTACTCTAAATTTTTTGCAGAATAACGTCCATTTCTATTAACGAGAACAGTGGAGACGTTTGATATCTATTCTCCAAGACTGCAACTCAAGAGAACAGAGTCAAAGCTACCCAAAATGACCAAAGATTCAAACCCAGACCTAGCCTCCTCAATAGAACACTGCAGACACATCACCACTGGGTCACCACGACACGCACGTTTTCCAATCGTTTAAGGATTCCCGACCACCTAAGGAGTTCAACGTACCGATTAATCTATTTTTCTCTCTAACGAACGTTTCGACGGATATCACGTGGTTCTTCCCATCCGGTAGCTTCCAAGCCGGCTCGAGGGCGATAAGAAGGATGTAGCCCGGGATCGAAAAGGAGTCAAGAGGAGGTCTTGTTGGCAAATTTCTCGCTGCCTCAGTAGGCTCTCAATCCGACTTCCATCTCGGGGTCTTGTCGGTGGGCAAGGTGGGGCTCGATTCCTCTCGCGGTTCCCGTGCCGGTTCCAGTCACGTGGTGACCGTGGTGGCCGTGATGGTGATGGTGATGGTGATGATGGTGATTCAAGTGCGGCGGCTGCGCCGCAGCGTTTCTGTACGCCCTCTGTTTCTCGTCAAACTCGCGCACTCGTTGGCTGTAACGTTCCAACTGATCGCGAAGGACAGCGTCCTCCTCGGCCGCCCGTTTCTCGTCGAACTCTAGGCATCCGACCCCGTCGAGCCTCTCCAGGTCGATCCAACCACGCCACAACACGCACACACCGTTCATTATCAGTTGCGACCTTAGATGCACCTGAAATCAGAAACATCAGTTTCTAGTGACAACATTTTGGGGACGTCTGAAGAAAACTGTTTATTCAAAATCGAATGTAGGAATCGAGGAAAAAATACCAAGATACGACACTGGTTTCAAAGCCGCGATCATCGAATTACTGACCAGTCGTCCTGCTCGCTGAGCCAACGTCGCCTCGCTACTTGCTATTATTGTAATGGAGACATGTATAATTTAGAAAACGAAACAAGGAAAAATTATTTTTTTCTTTTATTTAAAAATAATCATCGTTAAAGATACATTGAACGAACACACCGAGAGTTAAATCAACAAATCGTGCGATTGATTGCACGCGCGATCCTCAATTTCTCAACGGGGCGTGACCAAGAAACTCGATGGAACTTGCTCGTGCAAGACACCCGAGAATCATCAAAGTAATTTCTAACGAACAAGAAATTGCAAGCCTGCTACACGAGTCCACTTTTCCGTTTCGATGTTCTGGAGACGATTCCCCCCACCGTCGTTTGCGGAGATGCTTGTACGCCGCAGATGCATCGTGGGAGGGGTCCATTAGGACTCTCGTAACCCGTCTTCAAGTTTCAATCATGTTTCGGCCCCCTTGCCCCCTCCTCCGCCCGAGTTTCTTATTTCCAGCGAACGATTACGCAGATTGGACGGTACAAGCTTCGAGGAACGATGAAATTGCGAAACCGACGGTGCAAGAGGAGGGACGGCGTCGAGAACAACAATACGGAAATCGAACCTCTTTCGAGGAATTTTTGCCTACTATTTCAAAAAAATATTATTTTACCACAAATAGTTTAAACATAACACCCAAACTTAAATGGAAAACAAATTTCTGATAAATGATTTGAAATTTTATTTCGAACAATTGTTTCTTACTTGTATGATAAATAATTCTTTAATCTTATATTCCTATACAAGGTGTTCGGCCAACTCTAGGAAAAATTTGATTAGGAGATTCTAGAGGCCAAAATAAGACGAAAATCAAGAATACCAATTTGTTGGTTGAGGCTTCGTTATTAACGTTTAAAGTACCATACCGACCAGAAAATTTTTCTTCTAAGAAAAAAATTTCAAATCGCAACTGAAAAAAATATTCTTGGTAGCGAGGATCAATTACAATCATTTTTGGTGAATAGACATAACCCCGAAATCCTACGCACTTTCGAGAAAAAAATTCAAGTAAGTGGACAAATTTTTCGACAAAATTAAAAAATTTCAAATCGTTCAGGAAAAATTACATTCGTTTGCGAGGGGCAATTGCAATCATTTTGGTGAATAGACATACCCCCGAAATTTTACGCACTTTCGAGAAAAGAATTCGTGTAGGTAGAAATATGTTATGAATAATTTTTAACAATAATTTTATTAATAACTTTTTAACGAAGCTTCAATCAACAAATCCTTGAATTTCGTCTTATTTTGACATCTACAATCTCCAATTCAAATTTTTCCCAGGGATGGCCGAACACCCTGTATAATAATTGTTTTTTTACATTCGTTTAAAACAGTTGTAAAACAGTTGTCGATATTCGTTTGAAATAATTATTTCCTCCCTTCCTTCCGAATGATATTCGCCCCAAGTCGGGTTTAGTATTGTGAAAAGGTGGTCGACGGTGCATAAAAGCCGGCAACAAAATTTTCGAAACACTAAACGGTCCTTGGTTTTACGACACGGACAACGACGTTGACCAGCGTACAATTTACGCGAAGCAAGGGACGGATGGGCCTAGCCGCCGGGTCTCGAAAAAGTCGAAACGGGCAATTATCTCGGCCCTGCTCGACAGGGTTATTTTATTTCCTGGCAAATGGCCCCGTTTCCGGTCGCGTTGTAAAGTTTAGAAACTGTTACGAAATCCAAGCTGACCGTGAAAAACCTGTCGATGTTTCGTCCCAGGTTAGTTTCGAGAAATACTTTGTTTCCTTCTTGGAATTTACCGAGGAAAATCTATAATTTTCTTCGACGTTTAATTGACAAAATTGAAGCATCGATTACTCGATTATATGCTGCAGCGAAATGTTAACAACACGACGTTCGAAGAACTCAATCGGAGACGGGGAAAATGGCTATCGTAGTTACTAGAATAATTCCAATATCCACGCCATCTATGAATAAACTATTATTTGTTATTTGTACTTATTTCGTTAGATGTCGTTCTCCTGCTTTTGTCGTAAGAGAATTACTTCACGCCACGAAGAAATGTGCTCTACTCCAGAGTGAAACACTTTGAACTTTTAACCTCGTTAAATTGAGCGTGTCAAATGTTCCAAACATCAAATCGACGTCAAATTGCTCTTGGTAAAGAAACAGCTTTCCACGAACGGGCACAAAAAATATGGAACCGTGAAACCAGGTACACGTCGAAGGAAAAATCATCGTTACGAGCCTCGTCTCATTCTTTTCATTTCTGTTTCCTTTTTTTACGTTCGAAGCATACAGCTGGTTGTTGGCACGACGTAACAATGTAGCCTCGCAGCGTGCGGCTCTTTGTCGAATCATAATCGACCGACGGGAAATCGTCAGCGGGCGACTGCGACTCTCCGTCGGTTCGATAATCGAATCGTTTGTCCCCTTTTTTTAGAGAAAGACCAAACGATTCAGCGATCTTGAACACACCGGTACGACTGTCGGCGGTGGAAATTTGTGATCTTCGAATCTGAGAAACTTTCTACGAAGCCGAAGATTTGTTTTCCGTCAATTGGAAATTACATAACCTGCAAATTTTCGTATTTATTCTTACAATCTCACAGAAATTCATTTCTGTCCAGGCTTATTTTCTTAAACGTCTTTCCCTCGAGAATTAAGTTTTGTAGATCCTTAGTGAAGAATCCAAGTCACTGATACGTGGAAGAACAAGGAAATCGCAGTAGTAGAATTAGTTCCGTAACGTCATTTCAAGGAATTTCTTCGTCAGAGCGTTCAAAGTAAACAGGTTGACGTCAGACACCACCGACAATAGATTTTGACATACAATGACTGCAATACGTCTCGCGTACGAATCGTCGTCGATTCACAAAGCGTCGCGTGACACGTAACGGGGAAACCCGTCGGATTCGCAACTCGAAGGACAGTGTGTAATTCACGCGTCATAGTCACGGTCGACGAATAAAGACCTGCCTCTTCTCGTTGGACGAAGTATAATACGTTATCATCAACGCCACGATACATTTGTTAAATGGCGAAGGTACAATTACATTTCAACAAGCTTCCTTTGCAAATATCTTGATAACCATCAAATACCAGAACCATAATGTACAGGGTGTTCGGCCACGCCTGGGAAAAATTTTAATGGGGGATTCTAGAGTCCAAAATAAGACGAAAATCAAGAATATCAATTTGTTGATGGATGCTTTCGTTAAAAAGTTATTCACGTTTAAAGTTCCGCCCATACTGAATTTTGTTCCCAAAAATGCGCAAGATTTCGAGGGTATGTCTATTCACGAAAAATGATTGTAATTGACCCCCGCAACCGAAAATAATTTTTCCAGAACGATTTGAAATGTTTGAATTTAATTGTTAATAACTTTTTAACGAAGCCTCTATCAACAAATTGGTATTCTTGATTTTCGTCTTATTTTGGCCTCTAAAATCTCCCATTAAAATTTTCCCCAGGAATGGCCGAACACCCTGTATATTCGGCAATAGAATCTCTATATCCGGAAATGTGTTTCGATAAAATCGGTAAAAAAATGAAATGGCTCGTCCCATAACAAGAGTTAATAACGTCCAAGAACAAAGAACACTGGTCCAACCCCATTCGATTCAAAGACGTCCAAACGGCCAGATACAAGTCGACTCTTGTCGAACAATTTAACACCGGGCATTTGAAACCCCCGGGAGGGGGGAGGGAGAGAAAAAACAAGAAGCTAAACCGTCGGAGGAGTCCAAGAGAATTTCTCACGCGAACTGGGGGCAAGGCAGAAAAACTAACAAAATCTATTTCACACCTTTCTCCGTCCGTGTCGCCATGGGCGTGACCCATTATCGCCCTTATAATGGTCGGCGATATTTAAACTGTAACGCGCGCGTCTCTTTCACGCGTTTCAACCCTTTCACCAGTCGAATTTGCATGTCGCGGTACCGAACGGAGAAAAAAAAACGCCGAGCAGATAGACGTAGTCAACCCCGTTGTCGGAACGGGAGGGGTGAAAAATACCGAAAGGGTGGAAAGGCCTGTAAAACAGTGCCGAGACAAACGACCGGCTATTTCGACGGCTCTTTTGTTTTTCGGTAGGCGTTACCCGTGCCTTTTTGCGCTAGGTCCACTTCGAGCACAATGCTTCGAATCGCAGCCATACGTCAACGATGTCCTGGCGGAAAGGACGACCGGCCAGCCATACGGTCAGCGCGCGTGCCCGCTAGGGATGATCCCTTTGTTTTTCTACAGGTCGCATTTGCTGTAGATTTTTTTTCTTCTATAGTTTCAGAATTGTTTTATCGGACATTCCACAAGTAATTTTTTTCGACAGGCTTTGTTCGAACGTTCGTATTTAGTATGGGGTATGAAATACGTAGGGAATTCCAGAATTCCGTGGCACCATAATGAATAGATTTTACTAATCGTGAGAGTTGTAACGTGCAAAAAAAAGAAATGAAGTTTTTGCTCGTACCGCGTGGAATTTTACGACTGGAAGGAGAAAGGGATTCGTTCGAGGAACCGAAGTAGTCCCTAGGACTTATATTTAGCCCAACGAAAGGACTACCGAGTATCCCGGCAGAGTTGTAAATCATCTTGACCTAAGTCAACGCGTTTCGATTTCGGACGAGAAATTTATGCCTCGAACCAGAGAAGACCGTTAATTTTTGTTCTAATATCCATTCTTGGACCAGAAGAAAATTACACGATTGTTTGTGAAAAAAATCAACGAAATCAATGGAATGAACGAACGTTTGTTCGAATAAAGGAGACGTAATTATTAAATGAAAAAAAGTAATGGAACAATTTTAGATTGGCGAACTTGAATTTTATTTCTCCATTATTTTACTTACGAAACTTGAGGTTATCGGTTCGGTTATGCTCCTTTTTATAACCCGTACTTGGCAGTCAATTTGTTGAAACGAATGATACGTAATTAAATCGTACGGTAAGGGGTTAAACGAAAGAGGGCGGAAAAAAAGCGTGCGCGAAGCAACGAGAATCTCGATAAGATTGACGGAAAGCGGGGAATTCCGAGCGATGGCAGCGCCACCATCGCCCCCTTTCATTTAGTCGGTCTTTATCGAGCTCTATCTCACTCTCTAGATCTCTCCCTTAATTATTTCCTCTCTACGGGGAACGGCTACGAGAACAATGAAGGCAGACACGTGCCGCCGTGCGTCGTTCTTTATTACGGTCTCTTTCTCTCCTTCGCTCATTGTCGATTAAAACAAAACGGTGGCCGGCGGGTCGTCGCGTAAACAACCGGAGCACCTCATGTGTCTCCTCTTCTCGAGTTGGAGAAATAATGAATCGTTAGCGCGGACTCTTGTTCCCTGATACCGAGACGAATCTAGAAAAGCGACTGGCTGCCTCGATCTGAACGACCGAACTAGTGATTCACGAACGCACGTCGAGGCTATGAATTGATTACGAATGCATTAGGGGGGTTGCCATGATATAAACAAACAAAGAATCATCGAATTTTTTGTAATTTATTGCGAAAAAGGCGTTGGACCAATTATTTTTTATGTTCTGTTTCGCTATTGAAATATAGAAAAAATATTTTTATTTATTGAAAGATTAATCGAAGCATCGAATCGATATCTTAATAAATTCCAATATCGGCTCAATATCCAAACCATATTTAAAAACCAATATTAGCTAAAACTGATGGCTGCGTGATCATTGCGACATAGTAGGAAATATTAAACTCCGGTGGGAGGCCGAAATGTGGCGTCACAGGTCGCTTTGGGTTCTCCAAGGCCCGAAAGTGCCGAGAGTTCCAAAGTACTTTCCCTCCGTTTACCCGTCGGAGGATTCCAAGAGGGACGGAGCAAGATTTATTACCCATTATATACCAGGTGACTAGTGAAGACTTGGGGCATCTGGCAGCAGCCTCTCGGCTCGTTTCACGGATTTGGAAAAGCGCTAATTGACTGGTAGCTCTTAATGGCTGTCGCTGATTCTTTTGATTTTTAAAATCTCCCGCGCTGCTTGTGCCTCCATTTAACTTTCGAACGCGTGCCTTCGACGTGTTTTGACATCCCCGGTTTTAACTTTACGTATTATTATTAGACTGCGGATGTTTATGATCGTAGGATATTCAAAGACATTTATGCACGTGGGCGGCGCATATACGCGTGTAAAGTGGGTGCGCAATGCATTCACTATATTAGTAAAGAATGTTATCCAAACACTTGTACTATTTAATTCCCTACGCACTTTTAAAAATATTTCCTTTAATTTAGTATACCTCATACAACGTGAATCGTGATCTTGTTCGAACGTGTGATGAATTATTCTTAAAAATATTGATTTATTTATTATTATAATAGTGTAAAACAAAGTACAAAACATTGGAACACTATTTAAGAGTGATTAGGATAGATTCGAACGTGTAAAATGAGAATGAACAAAGAACGGTGATCGAGATGTTGATTAAACGAATGAAAATTACGAATTTAATCGCGAATATATGGCATACGCACAATCTCGACGCGCCGTGTTTAGAAAATGGCGGATTCGCGACGTATCTATCGATCGCGATGGCGACGCCCCTCCGTCGGCGCCGGCGTAGGAGAATATCAGTTTCAAGCATACTCTTAAATTCTAGCCGAATGAAAAAGGAGTAAGAACATGGAAGAAGCCGATAATCTCCGTATCCCTTACTTTAGCGAAAAGTATAAACATCAAAATTCCATAATTATGACTACTTAAACGCCAACGAGAAATATTTACCGTCATTGGATGATCGATTGCAAATAAATCGCCCAAGAATCTATCGTCGGCTGTTAAAACACGATTTCCAAAAGTTTCGCGCAAATTGACTCGTCAGCTAGCCGTGTCACAAGTCAGGCAAACCTCCCGTCGAGACGGTCAAAAAATTTGGGACCGGATATCTTTCTCTCGTCTGGGTGAAAACGCTGACACGGTGACACCATTGTTCGAGAGGCAGAAACGGATACTAAATTGCTAGTGGGGGCGATACACGACGTGTCCCGGGGACATACGACGCCAAGGACATGAAAACTAGACGTCCCGTTCAAACTGGCCCCGTTTAATGACCTCCCATTTGTCGAGCTGCTATTCTCCAATTAGACCCGCCGACGGTTTTACGGGGCCCACGCTGATGCGTGACCGTCGATGCTCATAGAAAAATAACTATAGCTAGATACTTCAATATTCGGACATTTTGCAATTTTCAATTTGTTGATGTATAATTTTGTCTACGACGATCAATGAAATAATTTACGCATACAGTGAGGAGCATAATCAAAATCGAATATTAGTGTTAGCATCGTCTTCGTAAAGAAAAAAAAACTAGAATTTTCGAATATTCGAATGCAGAAAAATTTAAGAAGTGTCCATAATCCAACCCTCTGACGGATTTTTCATGGGAAAACGTTTGAATCCTGGTAGAAAGTTCACCTACCTTGCCACAATCCTTCTCGAAATCGCAGTCACCGGCCTCCACGGCGTAGTTCCCGGAAGCGTTACCAAAAACGAGCTGAAGGTTCGTGCCTGTCGCCGTGAACGCAATCTCGGTATGACCCTCCCGACAGCCATTTTGAAAGCGTACACGACGTTCCTCAACTGGCCTATCTCTGTAACCGGTGTACCTAACCTGAAACAGAATCATTTTGGTTATGATAGTTACGGCGTTTCTGATACTTTTAATTTACGGGAGAAACGAAAGATCATTTTAACCTGTTAGACGAGAATCCCCTTTAATTAATGGAGCATCGAGGAATTCGCGGCAGTTTTAATAGGAACAATTATGATTCGAGAAAACGAGGACATTCCTTTCAAGTGATTTCCTATACATATTTGCGATGAATCATCTTTTTTCTCACATTCTTGGATATTTCCTATGTGCCAGAGGCAAGTAAAACTTCTAAACAAATAAAATTATTCGACTTAACTGTTCAAATATTGTTTTCTTTGTGATAAATTTTATCTTCTTGATAATTTAAATGACAATATACGAGGATGAATTGATTCGTGCAGAAATAAACGTCCCAGGAATCTTATGAATCATGCTGAGAAGAGAAGAACACGTTGAATATCAAACGGATTACTGTAACCTTTCGGAACGAGTCACCGATGCAAGTCGAAGGAATTACATACATTACGATTTGTATCGCTACAATTCATAACAGTCGATCAGTATAATTTCGAATTTCGATTCCGAAGCATGTTTCGCACTATTTGTGTAAACAAGTACGTTCCACGAACGCGAACAGAAAGATTCTTCGTCCCAAATATCAATTGTACACAGATTATCGATTAAGTAGCACGAAGATCAATGTTGTACTTGGATTTTCGTGTACAAATATTCACGGAATAATGAATAAAAACATTAGATTCACTCGTGCATTAATTTCTTGCTTGCAACTTTATTTGCAAAGATATTGGTTCAAATAATCCTTCAACGAACTTAAATTTACGAACGAATTTATAAATGGGGCAAACAGAAGTTAATTTATAATCTTCTCAATTTACAAAGAAAGCCAAAAAATATACTAACCTCGCTTTCTCGACAAAGTCGCCTGAACAGTTCGTCGCTGCCAAACTTGTCCTTCTGGTCGGGGACCACTCTAGGCACCTTGAACATGAACCTAGGCCGTGGTTGTTCGTACAGGCCCATTCCGTCGAAAGGCAGCACGCTGACACCTAGCCCTCCGGGTCCTCCGGGGTGTTCGCTCATCGTATGCATCATCTTGAAAAGCTTTTATCGACGAAGATCTTCCGACAACGACCTTACGATCAAGTAACTCGACGAAGAATAATGCAACGGACGATCAAAAAAATCGTTTTCACTCGTGGAACGTTTCACTCGAACGTATGAAATTCGATCTGCGAATAATCAAGTTAACAATACCGCACAACCAACTGCGCCCAACGGCGTCTCAGTGGAGACTAAGGACTAGCGGGCCGGGGAAGGCTTTAGATCGGTGGTTCTGACGCTGGCCACGCCCACCGACGCGTCCCCGAATCCCTACCATACTCGAAGAGACCCAATCACGAGCCAACGACCGTGGGGAATTCTCCCGCTTCGTTTCACCCTTCGAGGCAACGGTGGAACAGGCAGGGGTGACTCTGAAATTGCGTTACCGGATTTTCCAAACGCCGGAGCTCGGATCATGTTTACGTTTCAGGACGTTGAAATTGGATGCGAGTATAACTGTTGAATTCTTGGGCTTAGGTGTCTGAAGAATAATGTGCTTTAGGCAATGGCGGGCTTAAGAGTTCAGAAGGGATGGGACTAATAAAAATGTGCGTAGAAAATTCGAGAATCGCAACCCTAGAGATTATAAACAGAAATAAAAATATATTCACATATATTCATAATTTTAATTACATTGAAAAAATGCAAGAAAAAAAACTTTTATTGGTTCGTAAGTACATAAAATATTACTGGGTCAGTTGCTCCACGTCTCACGAAGAATTCATAAAAATTAGGTATCGTTTAATTAATTCGATTGAAAAGGTTTCGCAGCTCCTGTGAATTTTGGAAACACATTTCCAAAGGCTCATTTACGAGCACACTTTCGCCGTCGGCCCGAAGCAAGAATGAAAGGAACGAAAGACGATAGAAGAACGAAGAAAAAAAAAAGAAAGGATACTGTGTAGGTATCCGTGACCGGTAACGCGAATCGCGCAAAGGGACGTCGATCTTAATCGCGGATACTCGACAATGATCCTCTCGAACGGATGAGCTCTCGACACTCGAGAGAGGATGAAGATCTCTTCCCTCGAGGGGATACGCGCTCTGTTGTAGAGGAGGCCCGACACACAGGGACCCCCTGACATGTACTTCCCATATCTACGGGGGTTATGTCAGCCAATCCCCGCCACTCGTTGGATCCTGCTACAGTATATTATATTATCCTCGTGATTCTGTGATTCACTCTTCACCTCGCCCCATCCTTTTTAGCCTGCGCGAAGGATTCACCAACCGGCTGATGCTGCTTTCACGTAGCGACCAGCTGACGCAGAAAACGTTTCTTTTCATTCGTCGACTCGCACAACGAGCCTCGGCCTGGAAAGTAGCTAATGGATTACGTTTAGACTAGGGATAACGAGTTTATCATTGTTTTTGTAACGGCAGACTTCAAAAGGTTGGATGTACATGTAACGATAAAAGTAAATTTTGTTAATAATCGTTGGCGAAATTCGACACTAGCAAATATTCATCGCCTTTATCTTTCACCGACGGCCGTAGTCAACCAAAAAAAAAAAAGGACAGCGAGTGAGACCGAATGAGAAAAGCAACATTCTCTTTTATATAAATAATTGCTCGTATCATTGTTTAAATGTTGCCCTTCACGCTTCACTGATTCCAAAGGAAATCTCCCAGTTGGGAGGGATAGAAATGTTCGACTTACGAATCAAGATATTTTCGCGAGTCGTGAAGGTAACACGACGGTGAGTGAAACTAAGGTAGAAAAAGGATTCTGAACCGTCGCAGGTAAAAGTTCGCGGAGACTTTAACGACGATATCACCGCACAGCCACGCTGAAACGGTCGAAGGTAAATAGCTTTATAACCCATTTATACGATCACTATGGTACCCAGAAATCTGTGAGATTTTACTGCGCCAATATCTTCGACTTTTCATTATGGAATTTTCCGGTTCCCCAACTTTAAAGCCGAGTCCTCTTTTTTCAAAGAACGAGCCACGACGAAACATTTTATGCGACTGCAATGTATATTGCAATAAAGTTTCCTTTACCTGACTTCTTGCACGGCTAGGGATTAACCCTCCGACTTAAACATAATTAAAAACTACCAGGTAATATTGTCGTGAACTGAAGGAAGGCAATTCGAAAACATATAATTTAAAAAAGCATATCTACTTAAATAGAATGGATTACTTTACCATACATTCAAATTAAACATACAAATCTTTGCCAAAGAAGACAATCGAAAATAAGGGCGGTGCCACTCATTATCAATTTGTTATTATACTTCTATGCACCGATCTAATATTTATGATACATCCTGCATTTCTCGCGACCGAAGCGACACGGACGAATTCGTAAAAGCGCACGTGCGTGAGTGCACGTGTGGACCACCACCACCATGGACTCCGCTGGAGGCTGGGATTGGCCAGGCTTGTGGACCAATCTCAGCCGAGAGGCGGGAACCATTCCGTCGACGCGTATTTTTTACATCTCCGCGCAGTAAACGCACGCGGGAAATTAATTTCGCCGTGCTTGGCATTCATGGCGACGAAACATTCCCTTACGATCGAACAGAAACCACCGACTCTATTCAAGACAGAATATTCTAAACCCTAAACGACTTTCAAAACGTGTAATGAACTTTTTTATTGCGGAAAAGATGGATCGTAACCTGACCTAGGCACATTTAAAATAACGTTATTCGAAATAATATATATACATTATTAAACTAATTAGATAATTTAAAATAACCATTATTTCTGTTATTTCAAATAACGCTACGAAAAATAAAAGATTTAAATGATTGTTTCGAATACATAGTCATTTCTTTCAAATAAAGTTACTTTTATGTTATACGTAAAAGAAAAATAATAAAGCAATCGAAGGAGTAATTATTTCCAATTGTTATTTGTTACTTAATTTCAAATAAAATGTGTTCAAGCCTGATCACAACCCTACTCAGAGCGTGACACGCCAAACAAAGACCAGATCAATAGAGTTCCGTCACGGAACCGTTGCTAAAGAAACTATGTGATTGTGCCCACTATATCGTGTAAACATTCGAAACGAGCTTCGTCGATTGAACGAACATGTCCTGCGAAAAGAAGAATTCTTCTGTTTTGTCCACTTGGAAGCACAAGGCTTACGAACGACATCGTTTGAAAGTAAGTGCGAAAGAATATTCATTAGCCAAGGTACATATGTATATTGTAGGAAAGAATAGTGCACAATGAGAGTGGCGAATAAGGCTTAAAAATTGGCCTTCTAGATCAGAATACCCACTTATCACAAACCATCAGGTTTCTTTCCCTTTCTCTCTCTTGCTCCTTAAATTTTCTAAGGGATAGTCGAGCACCCTCTATTTGTGAGCCATATAAGTATCAATATCGATAAGAAAGGAAACGCTTGGTAAACCTATACATATAATTTCATACATTTTATGCATAGACGCATCTAAAATATACAACTGCATTCTTTTTTTTAAATCGAACTCTGGATAAGATAATTCTGGTCGCTCGGATCGATGGAATTTTATAATCTTTGCAAAAAAGTATTAAGCTACATATACTTTAAACCTAATAATTTAAGAGTCACGACACTTTAAAGTTTATTTTGAAGAAGTACTCATTATTTTGTAATATTCCTAATGTTAATGGTATTATTCAAGTAAGTAGATATTAAGGTTCATTTATTAAAGCGTTTCAAAAACACGTTGTAAGTTTGAAGATCACCAGTGTCCACCATAATAGTTAACATGTTAGTATGTAAGTTAAATATTATTTATTATTTAGGTGATGAAAGCTACGTGCGCGATAGACGTGAATCCTCCAGAAGGTAGGCCTCACGTTGTCTTCAATGCCAAAGGGTTGCAACTGGAACGAGAGAAACAGGATCGCATCGTCAGCGAGAATTTCATTCTTTTGCAGAAGCTACGCCGTATCATGCACCGAAAACGACCCATCGAGGAAAGCCACAGACTGAAATGGGACGAGTCTCGATGCATCAGAACTCGTTGATACGAACAGTGCCATCTGTGAAATCGTTTTAGTACTTTTGATGCTACTAGGACTCACAATTATTTATTTATTTGTTTACTTGTCTAGCAATAGAAAAAGAAACCTTCGATATATAGCCAGACAGACGAAAAAGAAAAAAATATTACACATAGACTACAAAAGTGATGCAAACAGAAAAACTGTAAGCTATAGAGATATACATCTCTACTCATCGTAAAAATGTTAGGAATTAACATTCAAAATTAGTCCGTTAGACGGCACTTACGTAACTCTTAATAATCAAACAAAGAACAGTACCATCTACCAAATGACACATTTTTAATTATTAATGAATTTAGTAAATAATTTGTTCATAAGGTCACTAACAGTTTTTAACTTCTAAAAATTCTACAAATGCATTTGTACATGTCTATATACATACGGATTTTACAATAAAATTTTTCATGACAGTTTATTGTCACGTGAAAAACGTAGCTTGAAAGTTTATAGAGCGGTTTCTAATTACTATAATAAAAGATTGAAGAACAATAAAAGAAAAAATGGAGGCGTACGAAGAAGCAGAAGGCGAGTTTGAAAAATACCCCAGCGACAAATCCTCATCGGTTTTCGAGGACACCTCACGAGTCTTGACTCCTTCAGAGGCTGGTGAATGTCTTCACACGTTAGGAAAGTGCGATTCCGGCCTGGGTTACGCTTATTTAGGTCTGGACGCCTCCAACAAGGGTCTGACCGACATTAGGATCATACCAATGTTCAAGTACGTTCTTTACGTGGACGTTTCCGGAAATAGACTGACCACCGACGATCTTCGTCACCTTTCGAAGATGACGTACCTTCTGATGCTTCGTGCCGATAGAAATCGGGTGTCTTCTTCTGAAATGGAACCGTTGCCGTACCTGCAGGTCCGTGATCAAATTTTTGAGAAGTGGGGAAGGCAGTATGATGTGACACCTGAATGGTGGGAGAAACAGACGGGACAATAAGAACATTCATTGCTTCTCCCGCCATTTCCACATCATGCTGCTTTTCCCCACACCTCGAAAATGGTATTTAGCTTATTTTTTTGATTATGCTGGTCGTGACAAGGTTGCGATTCTTTGACAATTTCTATACAGTCGAATGCTATAGAACATTTAATTCACAACCAATGTAAAGGATGAGATTCAATGATGAAACTGTTTCTAAACCAGACCCCGAATTCTGATATGAAATTAAATAATGATCGAGCAGCTTAAAACAGCTTCCTCCCGTATCGTCTTAGGTTCTCACACTAAACAAAAATAAACTAACAAGCTCGTCGGGCATCTCTCATCGGCTTCTAGAATGTCTGGAATTAAACCACAACAATATCGATGAAGTAACATTGAATCCGTACGAGCTAGATAACCTAAAAACTCTAGAAATGCGCGGCAACCTGCTGGTGACGACCAACGGAATATTTTTTCCTGGATTGATACGTTTGTATCTGGCGGAGAATCAAATCGAGAGATTGGAAGGCCTGGAAATGTTGGTTAACTTAAAGATTTTACATCTGAGAAGTAACAAACTATCGAATTTGGACGGATTTGACTCGCGTTGTGCCAAACTTGATTATTTGAACCTACGAAACAACGAGATCGTGAAAATCTCGGAGTTAGAAAAATTGAATTGCTTGCCAGCACTGGAGACTCTGATTATTTTGGAAAATCCTGCTATCGGCGACAAAGAATCGGACGAAGAAAGTGTGTCCAGGCACATTGTTTTAGCTATGTTACCTAACCTGACACGACTCGACAAGGACCCGGTGCTTTATCATGAGAAGAGGGAAGCCAAGGAATTTCATAAACAGATGATGCTCGATGGGACGAAGTTTACCGATTTCAATTTTAAATAATAACAAATAAGAGAACTGAGAATACGTAAATACACAGTAAAACGTAGAAATTACTTATGTTAATTCTATTATACATATAGGATATAGGATAGATGTTTTTCAGAGCCTATAATTTGTTCACAAGTTCAAAAATTCAATGCAGCGAAAGTGTTAAACACAAAACCCCAAAAAATACTAATTTATGGTTATACTATACCAGACTATTATACTAAACTGACGCTAGAGTGCGTAACGGATGAAGCAGTTTCTCGCAGTCAAAAGTACTCGCTATAGACTATAACCCTCACCGAGAAATGGAGGAAAGCATACTTACCTGGCGTAGAGGTTACCGTGATCAATAAGGCGGTTCCTCCAGGGTGAGGCTCGTCCATTGCACTACGGTTGAGCTGACCTCTGCGAATATCCCTAATGTGGATATCTCGGGCGTAGAATTTTTGTTAGTCGGGACTGCGTTCGCGCTATCCCGGATAATTGATCATAAAAATAATTTGATTTCAGAATGGAAGGTGTTCGCCTTCCATTGTCCGAGTCGAATTAAAACGTTTTAGCCCAAACATAACCGAAGGGTGGGTGGGTGTTTCTGTGAATAAAACCCTTCGGGGTATTAAAGACCTTCTGCAATACTCTACATAGTGCTTAGAAGTAGACAAACTCTCATATTCCACTAGATGACAAGAGAAGTTTTGATTCATTCTATCTCCTTTACTAATCTTGATTATAAGAATGTGAAAGGGGGAGATCGATGGAACTTGAATTCCATCTATGTATCTCCTTACGAGTCTCCATTCGCAGCAACCTCCTCATGTTGAGACCTGGTTTTGATTGCAGAAAGTTCTTCGATGGAAAGTAGTACATACGGAAAGAAATACTGGAAAACTCATTATATTGTTGCATTTAGATTTTATTATATAATATTATGCCGTATTTCAGTTACATAATTTTAAGTGTTTAATAACCTAACGGTCATATACGCGTACACGTACCTAAGGAACATGCTTGGTACGTGTACACCTATACGCGTATGCGTATGCATACACGTGTGCGCATACTGGTGCGTGTTTTATGTTTACAATCGACATTATTATCGATATACAAATAATGGAAGACATTGCAGCACCTAGAAGTGCTCTTCTTCGAAAAGACGTTCTCTTACCTAAAACGTTCGTAAATCTTAGATTTCGTCGAGTCAATTTATTTCGATAGCCTCGTTGCGTAACTCGCCGCGGTGCCGCGGCGACACGAAGCGTTGCAGCTTTTAAATCGCAAATTCGTAAACGAATGTACTAATTATTGAATTAGGTAAACAAACGTCGAGATGCATAGTAATAGAATATTATAACCTTTAGTTTAATTTGATTCGTTTCTTATATTCCACGTTAGCGTCTGCTTAGGCTACGCAGCATCTTAAATTTTACGACGCCTGCGACGTTTTGCGATACGTACACGTACAGTAGAGACGACCGACATGACGTAGTAATATATATAACGTATAGATATACGTACATTTCATTTCCTAATACCTTCGATTCACTCGAACCAACTTCCTATTTTTATTGCACGTTTCTCGATAATCGTACCGAATGCAATACGCTTCGAATATACGTTTACTATGTCAGTACTAAATACACGTACATCGTCGTTCGTCACTGACCACGCGTGGTATCGCATAATATCTTTGTGAACTATAATTGATTTCTTTAGTAAAGGTATTACGTTATACGTTCTCTTATTTTTAATAAAAAGAAATCGTTATTACGTTACACTTTGCTTCCTATTCGGTATTTCGTTGCTCCAAGCTTCGCGCAATATTCCACATCGATTCTCTGTTTATTGTTCTCCGACATTTTTTTTTTCCACATTGTGAGATAAAGATATGTTTTCATAGAGCTGTAAGCAACAATTTAGAATTCGAACCGCGGAACGTTGTATGATGTCGTTTCGACGGCGCGTTTTGATATGTAAAGTACAAACAAAATAAATACAATTAATGCATTTTACATATATGTATAGGCTTGGCCTAATACTTGGAAGCAAAAATTGAATGTCCAACTCGATGTGATGCGCGATACCGCTTGATTATTTTACTGCACGATCATCGTAATTGTGCAGCCTGACCGACGTAAAATTGAAAATTCTTCAGGCTCGTACTATAATTTCCTATCAAAGACAAACTTTAATCTGTACGATGAACTAGACCCGCTTCGAACGAACCTTCCTCGTAATTGTTTAAGTTTTCTTACATCCTATCTGAAGAATACTGGCTTCAAAATAATTTGTCCATTATACTGCAGCTGTACGATACTACGAGAGAAGTAGTATACATATACCTTCCCAAACAGATTATGCGCAAAATGGGTGTCATTGACAGTGTAATAGAGCTGCGATAACTCAGCTATATTGTATTTCAATTACATGGTTTAATTAGAATTGAATTACATAATTCAACCTTTTCAGTTTATTCAATTACTGACTATACTAATGATTACTATAATTGAAACACAGCATACTTGAATTACAGTTGTCCGAATTACAGCTCACAATGTTAAAGGACTGAAATTAATTTATTTTTATGTTCATCTTACGAATGTACGCTCGTTTCTTGTCTATACGGCGTATATTTCAATTTTCATTTATAGTTAAAGTTTAGTTGTTTTAAGATCAGTGATAACTGATAATATAAAGGAGGATGTTAAAAAAGTGCCAAATTTGTACGCCGCCAGGCACCTAAATTAACTATAAGTCAACATTCTACAGATTCTGCACTTCGAATTATGCACAATTGTTTATAGCAAATGTAATGGGGAAGTCATGAAAAATGTAGTTGAAGTTGACGATGCTACGAAAGACGAATCATAACTTTCTGATTTCAAAGGACTATAACTTCGAAGTGAATGCATAGAACGCAACAATTCCGACGCTATTTTGTAAAGAAAAGTCAATATTTATATACTATGCAAAGAAATGTTGCTCAGATTGTTGGTTAGTAACAATAAAACGCAACAGATTAAGATAATGTATTTGGATGCAAATATTCTTCAAAATATTTGCTATAAACAATTGTGCATAATTCGAAGTGCAGAATCTGTAGAATGTTGCCTTATAGTTAATTTAGGTGCCTGGCGGCGTACAAATTTGGCACTTTTTTAACATCCTCCTTTATTATCACATTAGTTTGCGCATCGAGTGCTTGGAAGTGGACAGACTCGGTTCGTACTGTTGTATAGACAAGCATTTTTCGAAGCCAGTGTACGATAAAATAACGATCTGAAATTTGGAACAACGAAGAAAGATATTTTTCACAATTTTAACGGCGCTATACGTCGGCGAGGCTCGCCATATGTCGTTAATTACATTAAAGCGTAAACTCTTCGAAGAGCAAAAGTGTTGTAAACTTGTTGTGCATCACTTCGTAAGCTTACCACCCTTGGAATCAGGCCATTTTAACGTCACATAAAGTTTCGTATTTATTAAGTAGCATCGTTGCTACAATTTTAACTAATCGTCCTTGATGTATGCATAATAGCATGTGGACTATCGACGGAAGGACACAGACATACTCGATCCAAGTCGCTGTCCACCGTACGTATGCAACGTACAATTTGTAAACTATTCGTCGTTGAACAATATTGAAATTGGGTTGGACAAAAAGTCTTGTCTTTTTATCGGTAGACGATGTTTATTAATCATAACGTGATTATATTCTGCTTAAAGGACAATAGTAGAAATTGGCCATCTTGCATCGAAAACTACAAATCCGTTATGTATATTAACATTATATATGTTAAGTTAGTTAAAAATATTCGTGATTTATGTGGTGCTTGGATTTGTTTTACATTGGGTCAGGTTTCGTTGAGCTGGAGACGCTGAGTAGAAGAGATTAGCGGAGGGGAAATGAATCGTGAAAAGGTAGCTATGCATTACTGTGTTATTAGTAAAAGTATTTTGGTAATACTTCGGAAATTAAGGCCTAGCAACAGTTGCATGTATAAGACAACGCTTAAAATTATCGAAATCGATGGGTAGGCCAAGCTTCTAAATAATTATCAAAACTTTCATTGCCAGTTAATTCCAGAATTGGCCAATTTTCTTCCATTGTCCTTTCATGCATGGACATAAAACCTTATACTCAATGTTTGAGACGTTCTTCAAATAAAAAGTATGATTGTTGATTATTCGTATTGTCGGTTGGCGTATGCTTAAACTTGGATAAAACAAAATGAGAAGACTCTTCGTCCGATCCAATGGACAAAAAATGGCTATAGAAACAACGAAATAGTTAACCGATATCGATCATCTTGGAAACGAATACGATGGTTGCTTTAATTCGACGCAACATCTGGACGAAAAGGATAACCAAACATCTCGGTTCGGCCAAGACAATCAGGTTTCGATATACATTTATGTACATCGTTCCCACTTTTCGAACGTATCGCGAGTACGCACGGTCTCGTCGTTGCTCTCTGTTAGTCGTTAGGAATCAGATTCGACGTAATACGATTAGGAAATATTCACAAGTTTTCTCGCAACAGAATTTATAATGAGATATGTAGTAATCATAGATCAACATTAATATTATATGTATTTGTATATGTACACGTCTTCGTGCATGCGCACGCGTGCCCGCGTAGACGTGAGTGTGTGCATGTGTGTGAATATCTGCGTACACATAGAGTGAGCAATGCCATGTGTATATGTACGCGTGGGTTAATGAATGTTCCGCGCACACACATTTTACGCGCGTGACTTTTTTTGTCTTTCTCTCCCTTTTTCTAGTCGCGCATACGTGCACGCGCACGCATACTCATTCACTCGCGGCTCCCCATTCGCTCGTATGCTTGTATTCGTCAAATACAGGTATATTAAACCGATCAACTAGTATACCATTTCTTTTATAACTGTTTCATAGAAACGACAACGCTAAATTCATTTCAAAAAGATAATTTGCGAATGTGTGTACAATTAATCCGAGCGAAGTCACGCGAGTCGCGTCGTAAGAACGCTGGAAATAATCGCGATGAACAACGAGAAAGAGAAATTCCAAGGGCGACTTGCGCCGCCGCAAAGCTTGATCTCCATTTCCTCCGGATGATAGTTTATGCATTTAGGGGGTCTTCGACGGTACAGGCGTTCTCTTCTCGCGGTACAGGCCCCTGGCTCGGTCAGAGCCTCTATTGGCTCGATGCTAAGTTGTTTGCTTCCGCACGGGCACAACGTGTCCACCACTAATAGGATTAAATTCGTATGCCGTATCTTTTGCACGCTAAACGGTCTGCGAACAGAACGAACATAAAATTTGATCCTTTCGTCAATCGTTTGTTTCGCGATATCATTTTGTTTGAAAGTATAGCAGCCCGTACAGAAGAGACTGTACGGTTGACATTGTGGCTTTAAAACTAGGATGGCACGAAAATGCAACAGTCAAGGAACCGAGGAAAGAACAGAGTCCATAATGGCGTTTGATAAAAAAATACGTCGTCTAATTATATATGCATGTACGTACCTTTCGCACCCGGTCACATGACAGTTGGTTAATTTTCCTTTTAAGGGATTACTCTGTCCACTGGTGTTGAGCCTCTCCGGTTGTAGAATATAAAGGTCCGTTTTCTTCTCGCAAGTTCTCAGCTTTCTCTGTGGATAATAAGCAGACGTGGCTCGTGTTGTTCCCGGAGAGGCAGGAGAGGTAGCAGCGACCGCTGGAATCCTGGGAAACGCTTCATTTTCGTCCAGGGACGGTTCGTCGGTCGCATCTGCGCTCCCAATTGGTTCGAACTCGTGTGTTTCTTCGTCCGTGTCGGTGAAAGTCAAATCGTCTGAAAGTACGTCACGATTTATTCGAATGCTAATTCAACAGTTATAACAGAAAAGCTAAAAAGTATTCTGACCATCCGCAGTTTGTACAGGTTCGCCGGCGAGCGCGAAAGCAACTTGCCGCAAATTAAAACCGAATGCAATGTTCCAAAGGAAATTTCCGAGTATTGCGATGGTCGTAGCTAGAGTCTGGGGAACTATTCTTGACGCTGCCGATTGATGAGACTCCTGCGGGCTACAAATGCCCTGGTAGTCGGTAACGGTTATTTTTCTGAAACAAAAGTAACCAATACTTCCGCTCAAATAATAATTTTTGTACATATTTATAAACGGCAATAAATAGCGCATTGCAATAGAAAATGTTCAATTACTCCATAACTGATTAAAATGTACAGTAAAATGTGCCACACTGTCCGAATATGTTTGTTATTCGTACCTGTAAATCCTGTCTTGAACCAAAGAATCCATTATGGTGCCATCAATTTCACCAAAAAACTTTCCAGTATGCTCGTGACGCTCACTGATTATGATAAATCCATTATTGTCCAAGATATAACAGTCTAGTTCTTCGGAAGCACAGTTCTTCTTACAGCTCATGCCACTGCACTAAAAAAATGAAAAAATGTAAATAAAAGAAGCTATAACTTGCAACAGTTGCGCGGTAGAACAAAACAATGAAAGAATAGGGTCAAAACTATTCAAATAATTAAATGTTCGAATACAAAACGGGTTAGAACGGAGACATTGATACCTACGAGGTGTGTAAATTAAGTAATGAGACTGGCAACGTAGCGTTCGATCTGTCAACATTTGGGACGCGAGACTTGGAAAGACGATAAGTGAACGTGTGATACACCTTCGATACAAGTTTGTATCCACTAGAGTCATTTAATTGTCCGTAGCAATTGTTTTCGTAAAACAGTTTTTTCTAGTGCGTTCTAAAAATTAGTCAAAAGTCATGCTGATTTGCTTTTTCGATAGCTAGGGAATCGTCCACAAACAGTTTGTGCCTCAAGGCCAAACGCTCAATCAACACTTTTACCGAGAGGTTCTAGAAAAACTTCGAAAAAGGGTAATGCGTATGAGGCCAAACATCAAGAACAACTGGGTGTTGCATCACGACAATGCGCCTTGTCACACAGCAATTTCAGTAAATGAATATTTGGCAAGTAAAAACATTCCTGTAGCTTCTCAGCCTCCTTATTCGCCTGACTTGAGTCCTTGTGATTTTTTCCTCTTCCCGAGATTGAAATATTACCTCAAGGGATGTCATTTTGGGACACTCGAAAACATTGAAGCAGCTGTAACCGGCTAGCTGAAGGCTATACCAGTATCTGAATTCCAGCACTCCTATGAGGATTGGAAGAATCAATTCCAGCGCTGTGTGGCTTTCCCAAGGAAGTTATTTTGAGGGACACAATATTGAATTGTAATTCTATTCGAATAAAAAAATTTTAAAACATCAGTCTCATTGCTTAATTTACACATCTCGTGTATTTAATGATTCTCTACTCGGTGAACGGACTTTAGAAAAGTTTAGAAAAGTTTAGAAAATGAAAAATAAACGGTCGACAAAACGACATATACTACCGTAGAAGTGATGTTGACAAAGTGGGAAGCCAACGAAGAGTGTTCAAATTGAAGACCAACGACCGCGGCTGGTGCTTTGTGTCCTTTTCCAATGAATACAGCGTGCGTGGCGGTAACTAAAGGGTTGGGGTTGTCGGCTGTTGGTAATACAGAAATTATTATACGCGTGGAAGTGTTTAAACGCTTACATTTATAACATTCAACTAATGCAATATGTACGTTAAACTGAAGTATGTTATACAGGGTGTTCGGCCACCCCTGGGAAAAATTTTAATGGGACATTCTAGAGGCCAAAAAAAGTCGAAAATCAAGAATACCAATTTGTTGATTGAGGCTTCGATAAAAAGTTATTAATGTTTAAAGTTCCGCTTGTAGAACGGCAACTTGAGAACAGCTACGTACACGCGATAGTGGCTCTCACTCAGAAAAATGTAAGGCTGTCGATGCATCAGTGATTAGAGTTTCTCATGCTGAGTGAGAACCATTATCACGCGCACGTAGCTGTTCGCAGGTTGCCGTCCTACAGATGCAACTTTAAACGTTAATAACTTTTTAACGAAGCCTCCATCAACAAATTGGTATTCTTGATTTTCGTCTTATTTTGGCCTCTAGAATCTCCCATTAAAATTTTTCCCAGAGGTGGCCGAGCACCCTGTATAACATGTTACACATAACAAGGGATGAATCCTAAGACTACCTAAGCGATATTAGAAAATAATTCAACAATATTATAAAGCGACGTCAAATATTGTTGCGATTAGGACAGACTTTTCAAGCTCCAGTTTGTACAACGGACTAAGTTTGTCAGGCAAGCAGAACTATATTAACAGTGACGTGTTAAAGGAATTTCTTTTTTCTTCTCTCTACATTTCGTCTAACTTTCTGTTCACCTGACAACCCTGGCGATGTGTCAAACACTAGTTGTCGACTATTAATAGGCATATAACTATTCTTCGATTCATATTTAGGAATATCGGTACGTACGTACCCACATCGAATGGCACGCTGAAAACAAAACTATCCGGTTCTATCGAATGCTGATCCACTGCGCGTTTGTACCAAGACGAATCCATAGCTCTTGCATACTTCTGGGCAAAGGGTCTGCGCAAACAATACGATTTTCCTTTGCAGCGGTGTATCGCCGTCGTCGTCGTCGAACCAACACTAAAGTTTACTCGTTTAGGCGTTGAAACGTTAACACTGTTTTGATCGAATCGAATAAATATTCGCTCGTTTTATCGTGAAAAGTACCAAACTATGCTTCTGTGACGAGCGATTAGATTCTTAATATACGGATTGAATGATAAGTGTTTAACATTTACGGTTCGTCGTTGCTTTCGTTTTGTTGATGCTCGTGCCAACGGAAAAGACCGCTTCTCGTTGCGATGAATGTCCGCGTGAGACCGAATCTGCTTTTTCCTTGGCTGCAAATTATAAAATCAATTATATGGACCGTAATTACTGTCGACGTAACGAGAAACGAGGCGATACGGTTACGAAAAAACGTAAGAGATCATTTACTTGTTTTATGAAGAATATATACATATAATCAGTCCCGTACATCGATATAGATATACATTTTTACGCATAATCAAATACATTTGAACGGTAGTGTATAGGAATATTTTGTATAGTTGTAAGAAAATTTTGATTCTAAATTTTTCGGGGAATTGTAGCGATGAATACCATTCTCGCTAATGTATGCGGTGTTTTTAACGTGAATTATTCGGACGATAACATATTAAAATAGTTAATTCAATTTCTTTTAAGATTAAGGGCACCTGTCCTCATAATGTGGCGCCCTAGAACACGTACCCCTTCTGCCCCCGCCATGTCACGGTCCTGCATACGATTAAACAACGCGTAATTCGAACTGCTTTCCTAATTTCTGCTATTGTCTCTTGACAAACGAACGTACGATATTCGACGCGACATTTTGTGTTCGTAAAAAGTTGGATCGATGCTGTTGTTTTTTTTTCTTTTTTTTTTTTTTTTTTTACCGATAAAGAGCATTTTACGATCGTATCAAGAGAAGCAGAAACATGAATAGTCTAGTCAACGAGGGCCCAATTTCAACAAATAAAACGAATAAATGGGCAAGTTTTAAAATTTGACAGAAACATTTATCGAGGCAAACTATATGACGCATAAAAAGTTTGTACTTTACCAAATATTAAAACATTCCTATTTATTCATTTTTATTCAGAGTTCGTTGTCTGGGCTAAGAGGCGAAAGGGCTTGTCGGGGGATTGGCAACGCCTTCGGGTTACGTGAAATGTACAGCGAAAGCGATAATTTTAAAAAGAATCACCGTGCAAAATATCGACGAGTGCGCTTATACAAATAATTGTGCATAATGGATTACCTGTGCAGTAGAGCCATCAGTATGGCAATAGGGCTAGCGGTGGAGACACACAATATAAAATGTAATAAAAATATGCAATAAAAGGTAACATTGTAAATGGAAGAGATTGGCCGTTGTGCATAGTACGTGTCGCGTTTAAACGAGAACGGTGCAATATTTGCACATTATATCGTTACTATTGCACCACCAAAGTATTGCGCTTCTTCTGCCTGGGAGAGCTTTCGACTTGCCTCGACGACACGTTAAAAATTTTATTCGCCATTGATATTTGTCTTCCCGATAAAAAGTTTAAAATTAATTATCAGTCGTCAAATTTAATACTGAAAACAAGAAGTCGTACAGCGATATTTTTATTGAGAAAACAAATCGGTAACGTTAAGAATTTGCCAGGACCGTTGAAAACTTGCGATTCGTCGATGCCTTATTATCGTACAGTTTTCTTTTTTTTTTCATTCCTGGTTTCTCCCTTCGATTCCCGTGAACGTTGCCGTGTCTTCGTTTCGCCTCACCCTGCATCGTCCTGTTTCCTTCGTCCATCGGTATTCAGCCTGTTGATTCCCGGCGATCGATTTCGTTCGCGACACGACTATGCGAGACAACGGCAAGGGAAAAGTAGAGGCAACGGTTTTACGATATCTGATAAGAGATACGTTAAATTCGATAATCGGTGCGTGAAAAAACCGCGTGCTTGTGCGTTGCAGTGCGTTGTCGATATCTCCACTATAAGTATCCACGCGTGAAGGACATGCATCCGCGAGCTTCTTTTACGTGTCGCTTACCTTTGATTTTCCTCTTTGTGCACCGCACCTCTTTTGTCGAAACCGTCGGTGACCAAAGCATCCAACACGAGAGATTGCACTAATTTTTTATCGCCTGGAAAGTGAAAGAGAAGGCTCCGTTTCAACGATTGTTCGTTTCGATATGAAAAAAGGATCTTTGGTAATTATTTAGAAGTTTGCATTTCTCGACGATTTTCGTGACCTTGAAATATGTCGTCAAGGTCATCATTTTATACATGTTACTGCCGCTCAGCCTTAGTTTCCGAGATATTCGTAAAAAACTGTAGTTATACTCATGTCACCAGTACACTGTATTCCGGGAAAAATGGAGGCTGAATGGTAATTGAAAGAGTGATTGAAGTGGTTTGAGGTTATATTTTCTGGCGGCGAGGGGGTTTAGGGAATGGCCCTTCCCAAATATAATATACGAAATTCTACTAGAGATGGTTTCACATCACCATCTTACAGCATCTCAAGTAGAATCTCATCTATTATACCAAACCATAACTCACTCCAATTACTTTTTCTTTCACCTTTTATATATTGTATACCTGTTATTCATTTTGTGTTTCGTCAGAAATCGAAAACATTTTGGCCATCGTGTCGAAAAATACCATTATACGCTCATTAACATCATGTTGACGTAGGAATAAAAACTCAGCTATACAGGGTGTTCGGCCACACCTGGAAAAAATTTTAATGGGGGGTTCTAGAGGCCAAAATAAGACGAAAATCAAGAATACCAATTTGTTGATGGAGGCTTCGTTAAAAAGTTATTAACAATTAAATTCAAAAATTTCATATTGTTCTGGAAAAATTATTTTCAGTTACGGGGGTCAATTACAATCATTTTTGGTCATTACACATACCCCCAAAATCGTACGCACTTTCGAGAAAAAAATTCCTTATCGAAAATCTAATTAGGTGCCTAAATTTTTTGACAAAAAAAAAATTTCAAATCGTTCTGGAAAAATTACTTTCGGTTGCGGGGGTCAATTACAATCATTTTTGGTGAATAGACATACCCACGAAATCCTTCGCATTTTCGAGAAAAAAATTCAGTACGGGCGGAACTTTAAACGTTAATAACTTTTTAATAAAGCCTCCATCAACAAATTGGTATTCTTAAATTTCGTCTTATTTTGGCCTCTAGAATCTCCCATTAAAATTTTTCCCTGAAGTGGCCGAACACCCTGTATATCCCACGTAATGAGACGTACGAGTTCCATAACGAGGAAAACTCGCTCTTGTATCACGTTAGGGAGGTACTCCTCCCACCGAATTCTCACTCAACTGCAGGCGCCTGGTCACCAGCGTCCGCGGTTCCGTAACATGGGACTAAGCCGCCGGTCGCGTGGCCACGTTGGTCGTAGTCAACTGGCCAATCTGCGGCCTTAGGTAAAACCCGCAGCAAATATCCCATACCCCAGTCCACTCACACACACAATACATTCATATCGATGTTAGGTCCGCGGGAGCTTTCACTCCTACCTCCGGGATGCTGCCACCAGCCTTCTCAGGTTGATAAACTCATCCCCGCATTCCACCCCTGCGGTTGCCCCTATCCGCCACCTGGGGACTCACCACGTAGGGGTTCACCTCCCCTGCCGCGTGGACAACCAAATGGGTATCACGCTATGTACTAACCCAGACCTCACTCAGACCTAACCCAAATAAACGCAAAAACATAACTGTTGTAACAAGAAGAATACGTTACAAACGCCGTTAAGCGATAGCCTATGCCGAAATGAAGTGTACTCTTAACCCCTTGCACTACACTGAAATTCGGAAGAAGCCGTGCCTAACCCATATGCCCGAATGATCGGAATGAGCCCTAATACCAGAACTTGAAACACGATATGTAGATCGACGGAATATCGATATTTCGACTCGTGATATTCATGTTTTGACAAAACGTCGATTACAAGTCAGACTCGTGATATTCACGTTTGACGTAAAATTGAACAACGAACCTCTGACTCGTGATATTTAAGTTTAGCCTAAAATTTTCATCGCGAGTCAGACTCATGAAAATAGTGCAAGGGGTTAATCTAAGTTTAACTAAAGATTATTGCAAATATCTCGGAAACTAAGGCCGAGCGGCGGTAACATATATGGAGGAAAGTTGTTCAGAATGATGACCTTGACAACATATTTCAAGGACACGAAAATCGCCGAGGAGGGCAAACTTCTAAATAATTACCGGATCTTTTGTCATTCTTGATCGTAACGTTACAAAATGGCGTATACTTACAGAAATAAGAATCTTTATCGGGCTTGCTCGCTTGTTTGTGATGCGAGCTCGGACTCTTTGGTCTCAAAGACATCCATTTCCACCCCGGTCTTCGCGTTCGTGCCAAAAAATGCAGAACGCGTTCTTCCGGGGTGACGAACCATTTTTCGGAAGGCGAATTATATTCGCAGTACACCCAATCTGGATGCACCTTCCAATTAGTTCCTTTAAAGTACTCGGTCACTAGATGGAAACAGAAAACGTATGTTTTATCGTAAAAACAAAGACTGTCACGAAACGAGTTTTAATTACGCGTGATCTTGAATGCAACTTACCGTGTATTATGGCGTGTTTGATTTCTTGTTCGGCCAACAGGTCGAACATGCCATAACCTTCGGGCAACGCTAATCCCAACGAAAAAGGCGTTCCTTCGATCGGCTTATAAAAATAATTGTGCCGTCTAATGGTAACTCTCCTCTGTGACAGCATCCACGCATACCGACAAAAAGAAATGTTTTTATATTAAATAACATTTACGTTGCTAGATAAGAACTAATAGAAACTGTAGGAAGATTTTTGTGTAACGTTATTTATACCACATAATAAATATTCCTCGTTTACTCGAAGAAAAATATTTTCATTCGATTTGTATCTGAACCAGTTTAAAGAGTATCTAAAGTTTACTGTATTCACCATATCGTCGTAATGAATTTTTATCGCAAAATTGGTCTCCCCCTCTTTCTGATCGATCATATCGTGCCTCAGCTGAAAGAAGAAAAGGAAAAAAGATACAGAAAAGCACGCGTCGTCGCGAATTATCGTGTACATCGAACGTAAGGGACTTACGTCTAGTAGTAGGGAATTGTTCCACGGATGCAACGGACCATCGTATTCCGCGAGTTCGACTTCCGATAAATCTACGCTGATATACGTAGGTTTTAACGTTTCTTCATACTGCGAAAAATTGACAAGAAACATTTATTATAATCGACAAAAGCTTTCTGTCGGTATTTTAACCCTGGAATACTATAGCGAAACACTGCGTTTCTCACTAATTTGTATCACCGACTTTCAACCATTTATTAAACTCTACTTATTTTCATGATGGAGTATTGCAGGGTTAAACAAAAAGAAAATAGTCCTTGCTACAATTTGTATTTTTCATCTACTTACGTCTGCATTTCCTGGCTGCGTCAATAAAAGTAAACAACGATGTCAATGAACATTCAGACGACGGGTTAATTGAAGTCGTTTCGTAGTTAATTTTCTGTTGGTAGCATTTCTCGAGAGTTACTCACCAGTGGTCGCAAATCCGGATGATACAGAACACGACCATTGTTGTCGACGATAAAGGAATATCCATTGACACCTACCTGCAAATCAACGAAACCGAAACTGACGACCTACGTGTAAACGGTGCTGTTCATGCTCCTAAGATCTTTTTTAGGTTGTCGAGGAGTATCTGTACTAGCAGATGCAAACAAATAAACTATTACGACTGAATGTACCTTGTAAGGGGGAACAAGTTTCTGGATTTCTTCTACGGGTACATCAGTACCAACGATACCCAACAAATTGGCCGTTTTCTCCTGTAAGAAAGAATCCGATTCTAGTAAGATATGTGATTAAATCTAGTAATATGAAGGGAAGTATCGTAGCATATTCATCTCTGTTAATTTTCTTTGTATACCGGCGATTGTGTATTTCAATAAATACCGTATAATTTCGACGATCTAAAATCGGCGCTGTAACCGATGTCATTAGCTGCCCGGTGTTTTCTTTGCCGTATCTACCACTCTGAAAAGAAAAAGAAAATATCCATTACCAGATATTATGTCGTGACAATTACACAAATGTGAAATAATGATCTCAAAGAACTTTGGTATTGTGGGGGGAAAAAATTAGTGCCGGATTCAGACTTTCAATTAAACACACGTTACTTAATAATTCATGAACCAATCAGTTCTATTATATTGCAATTGTACACTCGATTCGCGTACCTTGCCACCAACATAAACTGGACTCCAATGAATAGGATGATCGTGTTGATACAGCACCATAGGTCGAGCAAGCACCGTTACATATTCGAAAACCTTACTTTTGATCTCCTCCATATCGGTGATCCTTGCATAAAATCCTGTAAAACGGGTATAACCTTAAATTTTATTTTTTAATTTCGATTATTTAAATTTTCTAGAGATACTTTGAAAGCGATTAAAGAGGAAAGCGAAGAAAGATGAAACACCTTTGTTTGCACAAGCTGCGCTGCGCAATTCCGGACTCTTGTCGCCTCCTATGAGATACGTGAAGATACGAACAGGCATGTGAGGCCAGTTGTATCGTTTTATCACCTCCGTGGGTAGACCAGCATTGTCAACGGTGATCAACATAATCGCTTGGTTACACTGGCTCCCTTGGCCGGTTCTATTGTATCTATGAAGAATTTCGAAGGCAGTCCCGAGCGCGGCCGATATGTTCGTTGGCATTTCTTCGTGTTTCATCATGCTCGTCGCAATCTTTAGCTCCCGAATGTTCTCTGGCGATGCTTGAACCAAATTGTCCTTGAAACATTGAACGATTTCTTCCGCGGTGTCGCCGTAACGATAAACGTTCACGTAATCGTCTGGACCCAAGATATCAAGTATGGTTTTGGCAGTAGCTATCGCTAAACGTTTGTTCCTCTCGGTTGCGTAGCACTCAATGTCTATCAATATGGCCAAATCTTTCGGACTATTCGCAGCTCCAACGAACCAGTTTGAAATTCGAAAATCGTACACGTCTCGGACCACTCGGTTGGCGCTCCTGCTCGTGCCCGATGCTCGTTCCTCGATTGGTGGCCAAGAAATTGCTGCGAATCAGAGTTGAACGTATAACAAATAACGCTTTATTTAATTCGGGATTCAATAAGTTTTGGAGTTAAAGTATCGATACTTTCTAACGAGTATTTAGGCATCAAATTAATTGCATATGATCAATGGTATCAGTATTGATCTGACCACTATCTGTGTCCCTTTCGGGGATTCGCGAAGCGAATTATCGCGACCTTAAGGGAGTATTGCTGTCTAGGCTGTCATTTCTTCGGCCTTTATTTATGATTTTTTTTTTAGCGATAGGTAGGTTGTTTTGTACTGACATTTTGCAGATATATTTATTCATCTTATAGGTATGTGCAGTATTTTTTTCATCAAAAGATATTAAAAATTGCGAGAGTATAGCTCCTTGTTTATAACATCGCATTTAAACAGGCTTACATGATATTTCAAGATCTAGCAGACCGATTTACTTCAAATTTGGAGAGAATATTCAGCAGACACCTCTGTATTGCTGGAACTAGAAATTTTAAAAAATGTTGAGTTTTACTATTTTTTTTAATACGCTAGACAAAAGAAAGGTTAAAAAATAGAAATTCGAAACTTGAAGTGTCGCCGTTTCTTTATTTATCAGGATTTTGACTTCTCCCTAGTTTCTGTTAAAACTACAACCTTCCTAATGAAGACACTTTAGCCCCCTCTGTTTCAGATTAGCGGATCGGCTGGAATCCTGGAAGCTATTGAAGCACCTTCACCAGAAGGACCATTAAACAAGAAGTTATAATTCCCACGATTTTTAATATTTTCCATGAAAAAAATATTGTACATGCTTATAAAATGAATAAATATATCTGCAAAGTCTCAGTACAAAACAGCCTACCTATTATTAAAAAAAAATCACAAAAAGGGCTGAAAAATTGACAGTCCAGGCAGCAATACCTCCTTAACCCAGGCTAAGAACCAGCAATTTAATCCATTTAAGGATCGAGAAATATTTTGTAGTATGTACCGGGAAAACGTCGTAGAAATCCTGAAGTTGCTCCATAGTACTGCCAAGAAAGCGAAGGGTCGCTTTCGTAATTATTAACAAACAGTAAATCCAAATATTCGCTCCACTGGATACCGGCGGCTACCTCGCGATCTGAAAAGAAAATTAAATATTATAGGATATCGGATTGATCACAAAAATGATTCGTTTCTAATAATCGTATTTTGTTAATAGTTTAACTGTTTGAACTTGCGAATTTCTTTTACCTTACTTTAAGGGGGGAGTCTCATGTGAATGATAGAAAATTGATCTATTTTCTTAATTTTGTTTTTGGAAATGTTACATCTGACGTTATGGTTCATTTTTACAGTTTACTTAGCTATCCTTTGGGAATACAAAATAATTTTTTTATTAATTTTTATTAACTTTTAATGTTGTTATTGCGTCCACAGTAAACATGTGTTCATACACTGGCGCAGGGGATTGCAGCTCTCAAGGTTGACTAAATCAAAAAAATCAAAAAGATTTTTATTCGGTAGGTTTACAGTTATCGCCCGTACCAAAATAATTAATTTACGTTGCAAATTGACAAACTGATCAAAGCTTAAAGTAAAAATTGCAAAATTTCGTCGTTCCTTTCGCAACTTTTTAATAAAAAGAATATGACAATTTGATTTTGATACGGGCGAGAACTACTAGTATGTGGAACAACGTGTAAAAATTTCAAAGCAATCGAACGTGTAGTTTTTGAGATTTTATCTACGCCAGTTAAGAAAGTAACGTTTCGAGAGAAACGAATTTAGAGTCTGCAAGATCATACTAATCAATCCCAGCTTCATATAGACTACCTTTCACAATGTTGGCACCCAGATGGCACAAACTTTGAATTTCAACTTTTAAAAACAGTAGATGTCTTTTGACACTGTCGTAAACATTTCGAAACAGTGATGCCTAGGCTGTACAAGATAATCATCCGAAGCAATAACTCCGGTAATTACCACGAGGGCTACACAAAAAATGTTCTACAATTCACAATACTTGACATTTATGTCTGAAAATTGTAATTATTTACTTTAGCGATTCCTCACAAATTTCGATGACCTTGAAATATATTGTAAAAGTCACTATTATGAAGATTTTTTCTCTCTACATGTTACCGCCGCTCGCCCTTTGTTTTTTAGATATTCACAAAAATAATTTTATGTCTGAATTAGCCTCGGGTTGAGTTGGAGATAAAATATTAAACTTTATTCTAAGTATTATTATTATTATTATTATTATTATTATTATTATTATTATTATTATTAACAGAAATGGTAAAAATGTCTGTCATAGTATCAAAAAATGCAAGTATTCTTGTATTCCAATCATGACGACCAACGACAAATAACGTATACTGTGTCAAGCTAATATCGGATAATATTAATAAAGAAAATTTAAATAGAAGATGAATGTGTGGCCGGCCGCCTTGCGACGGCAGTTATAAGAAAATCTAACCTGAACCTAATCCATTATATTAATTACTAGGTAGAATAGTTGGGTCTGGGTTAGGTCTGGGTCAAATTTTTTTATCTACTCAAATCGAGTGTTTAAGCGTATCCGTTATACGCATCCATTGCCGGTCGCCTCGATGTATCTATAGAAACAATAAACAATCGGCGATTCAACGCTTACACACACGATGCCACAGTTACGTACGTATAGATAAAATGCATTGTAGTAGCAGCAATCTTTTTTAAGAAAAATCTTGGTAACTAAGGCCGAGCAGCGGTTATATGTATAGAGAAAAAATCTTCACAACAGTGACCTTCGCAACATATTTCAAGGTCATCGAAATTGGTGAAGAATCGCTAAAGTAAATAATTACCCTGAAAAAACAGTACATTCTTAAATATGTGTACTTTTAAAAAATGAAATAAAAAAAAAAATTAATGTTCTTGAGGTCTCACATGAGACTTCCTCCTTAACAGACAGAGTTTAGGAAACGACCTAATACTACGATACTAACAGGCGTCTTTAACTCCTGCAGGCAGCAAAACTGTCGACAATGTTAGGTTCACGGCCAGGTGGTCGAAATGGCGACTGGAGGCGAGAAAAGCGTCTTGGCCGTTTCCTGTTTTTCCATTCCCGGAAAAGGACTCCAAACGTTGCGAGGCATAATATTTTGGCGACATATTTCCGTCTCTTGGCGCGGACACGGCCGCCTGCTCGGCACTTTCCACTAATCTCTGCAATAATACATCGATTGTTATAATAATATGATTAATATGGTAAATATAAATATTAATTCAACATTTTTGGTCCATGTCTGTATCGTTGATACATTCGTTTCTTACCATGACAGCGTTCATCTTGAAGTCCAGCATATTCTTCACTTCGGCAGCCATTTCTCGCACTAGAACAAGACCATCCTTCCTGACGACTTCGGCCTCCATATCGTGGTATTTCTGAATTCAAAATAAAAAGAACAAGATGAAAAAACCGACTGTCGATTAAATTGATTCGACATTAAAAACTGACAATGGTTTTACTAGCTTCGTCTTGAACTTCAATGACAACATGGCGGAAGTCCAAATCGACAACAGCGGACGTAGATTTGTTTAAACACATTTTTATGATCGTTATCATTTTTGTTAATTTTTTTTTCACTTTAGCGGCCAGGAAAAATAACATCGCTATATTACACACGTGTGTACGTTCGCACAACATTTGAATAGAATGGGACAGGTCAACGGTTGAACGCTTTGCGTGTAAAGACGATATTAAAATTCGCGACTTGAATAATCAATGGAGACTCGTGTTATTAATTTCGAATTTACGTTAAATCGCGCGTGCTGCATGCAACATCCGTTTGTAGAAAATCGATGAATACCGAAATTCATGCTTAATCGCATGATCGGTCCAGGAATGATTGTTCGAACAATACGGGTGAAAAATACAATGCATATGAAGTACAGGTAGCCCTCCAACAACGCGGCATCCTATAACACGGTTTCGCTATAACACGATTCATAAATGGCGAAAACCCTCCTACAACACGGCATCTTATAACACGGTTTCGCTTTAACACGATAAGAAAATTGCCAAAACCTTTGTACAACACTGTACTTCTACAGCACTGGACAACATGATTTTTGCTTAACATATTTAAAAACTATATTATCTTAAAATAATGACGCGAAGGAATAATGAACTATAGTGGCTTTACATGAAAATATACAGGGTGTTCGGCCACTCCTGGGAAAAATTTTAATGGGCGATTCTAGAGGCCAAAATAGAACGAAAGTCAAGAATACCAATTTGTTGATGGAGGCTTTGTTAATTAGTTAATAACGTTTAAAATTCCGCCCGTACTGAATTTTTTTCTCGAAAATGCGCAGGATTTCGGGGGTATGTCTATTCACTAAAAATGATTATAAATGACCATCGCAACCAAAAATAATATATTTAGAACGACTAGAAATTTTTTAATTTTGTTGAAAAATTTCACACCTCGAATTTTTTTTCTCGAAAGTACGTATGATTTCGGGGGTATGTCTATTGACCAAAAATGATTGTAATTGACCCCTGCAACCGACAATAATTTTTTCAGAACGATTTGAATCTTTTCAATTTAGCTGACTTTAGGCACTTTGTCGATTTTTCATAAAAATTCGTTTTTCATTTTTAGTAATTTTATTTGACGACCTATAGAGAAGTTGTCTAATACTTTTTTTTGTAGATACCCATGAGCTCTACTCTAGAAAAAACTGTCAATGAGATACGTTCACTATTGTAGGACTTATGGTCATTTGAAAATTGGACCATTATTATGGGGTTTTTTTCATTTTGCGGGGTCAGGGAACAACTTTTCGAATATTTCTAGAATTTCTACATATTCTTCGCCAAAATTCGCGTTGTTTGCTCTTTGAAATATTAAAATTCCCCAATCCGTTCAGAAGTTATGACATTTTAAAGATTTACATGAAATTTCGGAGGTGCATTTCTTGGCCTCACATTAGATTTTCGATCAGAAATTTTTTTCTCGAAAGTGCGAAGGATTTCGGGGGTATGTGTAATGACCAAAAAAGATTGTAGTCGACCCCCGCAACCAAAAATAATTTTTTTAGAACGATTTGAACTTTTTTAATTTAATTTTTTAATAATTTTTTAACGAAGCCTCAGTCAAGAAATTGGCATTCTTGATTTTCATTTTATTTTGGCCTTTAGAATGTCCCATTAAAATTTTTCCCAGGTGTGGCCGAACACCCTGTATAAACAAATTATAATTTATTAAATTAAGGTTGCGTTAAATTAAAATAATATGCTTATGTAAAATTAAAAAAAAATATTTGTTTTTAATAAGTTTTCGGAACGTAACTACCCTTTTTATATTGGTTCTGGGTCTCATATAACATGGTTTCACACAACACAGCATTTTCTAGGAACCTATCTACCGTGTTATAGGAGGGTTACCTTTATACTAGTTATTTACGAATGTTTGATCATCTTACCCGCTGTATTTCGCCCATTTTCGTCACTTGTTTGCCAAACTCCCATAGGTCCACGCCAAATTTCAAAGCCCAGTTCTTCACTCTACAAATCACAGTAGCAGTCAATGTGTTAAGAACACCGATATAAGTAGAAATAACAAATATTGGTCAAACACGTTACCAACAGTATTCCATAAATTTTCAAAATCAATTTACATAAAAATAAAGCGTCATACAAAAAAAAATTGTATTCTATACTTTCTTTTGTATAAAATGACATTTTATTCGATAGCTGGGAAAGTTTATTCGAATAACACCCAACTCTGCTCTACGTTCAATGTGCACCTAACCTAAAGGTGATTCGACAGCTCTACGTTATTATCGCTACGATTACACAATATATTATGCAATATGTGTCATGTAACATCTATTTTGTCAGTAAGGTCCACGCCTAGTCTGTTTAAAAATATTTAAACACACAAAATGTTATAAATGAAAACGAAGTTACGAGAAACAATGAAATTAAAGAGTTTGATTTATAGACCACATTACTCTATTTGAATTATTGAAACGCTTGAGTATTCGAATACAGAAAAATTCAGTCCTAATTAATTTCAGTCCTACTTCAAAGTAGACAAACCCATTAACCCTAATCTTACCAGAATGCGATTTTGGGTCACATACCAAGCTTAAGTAACCGTAGGGTCTGGAAGTAAAATTAACAACATTTTACGTGCTATTAAGTTATACGTGCGAATATAGTTTAGTGAAAAACGCGTTTTGAGGTGTCGAATAGACGTAACAGAATTTCTACGATATCGTGACTTTTCTTAATTTATTCTCTCGGTGCTCTCTCTACATTGTTCTTTCGTAAAATGTTCATAGATGTACTACTTTTACGAATTTTAATAAAAAAATTTTAACAGCATATTTTTAAAATTCCAACCTGCAAGAAAATGAAAGAGGAAAAATATCAATTTTTCCAAAGCGTAGGATTACAATGCCCCCCTTAAATCCGTAAATGGATTCGTCAATGAAAACGTAGAAATGTCGACGAATCGAGAAAAATCGAAATCGTAACGTAGGATGTTCCGACAACTTTTTCAATGTCGTCCTCGTCAAACGTCGAGCGCGTTCTAATTCGTCCAAATCTGGTCTAACGCGACAAACAAGACCGACGCTGCTTAACGTCGCTCAAACCGACGTCAACGATTGTTTCTGTCAGCTGCATCTATAGGTGGTATCGTATACATGTAAATGAGCACCATTGATGCATTCGCATGCATGTACATGCACACATGCATGCTCACGTGCGCACGCACGCAACTACGTACGCACACACGCCGATTCTGATCCTCGTTAATCGACTGTGTACGTACGCGTAACTCCCTGACACGCGCCTGCGTTCTTTTCCACTATCCTCGTTTTGCTTCCATTCGAATACGTTGAAACTAATATTTCGTTCGTTTGTATTATTTTTTCAATTTTACATTCGACAATATTCGGAAAGAAACGATGCCCAGTAACGAAATATCCAAGCATTCCGACATGCCGGGTTGTACGCACGCAGGTACTTGCACGTAGTACGCTTCGATCCTTTTATGCCCCTCCCACTCGCGTATCGCGCTATAGGTAAAAAAATTACAATTCGTTCTCGGCTTCTATAGTAGTAGCCAACAAGGTTGCACACGTTGCCCTTACACCGCTTCGAACGTCGACTAACTTTGTAAATTTGCTTTCGCGAAGAATTATCCAACTTTTTCTTCCCACCATCGTAAACGACGAGCATCTAATAAACTCGCAGCAAAAAAGCAGGCACGATCGTTTGTTTCGCGAATCAACGAAATTCGGCGCGTACGAATTTCCGTAGAATTCGTTTCACAGTCCCATCCACGCCCCACGGACGTACGGACCAACGGCGTGAAACCCTCTTTGTTTTTCTTAAGTGTGGCACGATCTTGCGAACGTACGTCGAACAATAAGTCACCGACCGAACGCAAAAATGGAATAAAAACAGGGAAGGACGACATGATGAAACGGCAAATACTCACTCGTTATGAGGAATGTCTTCTTCTTGCTGGTAACTCAATCTGGTCCATAACAGCATTAACACTCCGTAGCGCAATAGTTTCCCGACGGACAGAAACATTATTTCGGCGCTATCGATCGGGCTGGCGAAGTGTTAGCGAGCGATGAAACGTACGAACCAATCTTTCAGGGGAAACGTACACGTTCGTTAGCACGAGGCGACTCTTCTCGAAAAGTATTAGTCTTACCGCTCCCTCGTAGCCAGCGATCGATCGGTCGGACACGCGAATCAGCGTTTATGTGCGTGAATTTACCGTTCCGATGGAACCTTTGTTTATCCGCGAATATTCGACAGAGAGCACAACTTTGTTTTAGCACTCGCATACGCTGGAACGTGGAAGCTGTCGCGTATCATTCTCCGTCTTCCTTTATCCTTTTCGTTCTGTCCCACAAGGAGTTCAAAAAGTCACTCTCGCGACACGCCGAATAACTGAGCTCGGTCAATCGAATGAAAATCTTCCATTTCGAGCGTTAACGGACACCCATTTTTTCGCGATTGCGGTCTGCCGTCTTCGGGACTCGAGCCGTTGTTTGAACGTGCCCGTGGACGGGATTGCAACTGGTCTACGACGGCGACGACGACGGTTACGACGCGCACGGAGAAATCCGAGAGAGACAGACGGTCGGTGCGAGCTCAGAACCACGCAATAAATTCACCTCCAACGCGCGGTCTTTTTCCGTGGACGTTTTTCAGTATACGACACGAACACGTCCAACGATTCGATCATCTCAGAGGACCAGGATCTTTGGTTTGTACGCGTGGTACACGTATGCGAATATACAACCACGATCGACCGATTCACCCCAAAGGACCGAACGATTAACCGACCGACAGACAAACGGGGAACAAAAAAAAAACTATTCAGTGTTACACCACCGACCCTCGCCGGATAGAACGGCGTCCTTCGATTATCGTGTTTTCTCGTACCGGACGTGTATTAACTTCAGTTTTTCGCAGAAACGGAACATTGTTCGTCGAGTATCGCGCACGATTCGCTTGTTCGAGCCACTATTGCACCACCGTTTACCGCCTTGTCGCGCGATCTCTCAAGTATGTTCACACCGTAACGCGCAGAGAACCCGAAAGAATGAAGGACGAGGGTGGAATAAGGGAGATGCCCAAGAGGAAAGGAGAAAGAGAAAGAGCCCGAAGGAGTGGTGGGGAGGCAGCAAAGAAGGGGTACGGCAGCGGCGTTAGGCGAAAAGGAAGGAAATAAGCGACGGAAAAATTAAGTATTTTGGTAGAGTGGAACACGCGTGACTCGATGCGCCGATTAAACGCGGAACGATACTGCGGCCTGACGCATTCTGTTCTTTTCCGGGAGATAATGAAAGTACACACGGTGCCGTTTCGACTGTACTTTCTCATGAAAATCGGGCCAAGATGGTGCACGGAGCCGCTTTACGTGCGAGCCGAAGGCGGCCGGTTGGTCGGTCGGCGCGCGCGCATTACTCTTACTACGTCTACGTCGGTTGGGATTCGGGCGTTTAGGAGTACATACATAGCACTATTCTACGGGTGCGAGCATGCATGTACTCGCTACCACCCTTTAAAAGGATGGGGAGATTGGGAACGTAGGCAGTTGACGAATACCAGGTCTGGGTTAGTAGTATAGGTGATGGCGGTAACGGTGGCGATGGTGGCGCAAGACTGGTGCTGGAGTTATTAGCACCCCGAAACCACCCTCAATTTAGGTGGCCCCCTTACAAATTAAAAATAAATCAAACCTCTGCGGTTTAGTTTAAACTAATATCTGATAAACATAAAATAATGGCGTCATTCTATTATAAAGCCCCTTACTTTTTTTACTGTAACTTAGAAAGCTCGTTAATAATTTTATCAATTCGTATGGACAGTTACGTCCAGACAACATTGTTACATGTAAGTATAGCCTACTATTGATATTAATATTGTTATGAACAAGATGAAATACTCAGAATTGGGCAAATTTTATTCGCGAATAACGGAATACAAATGTTCGATTGATTCGTAAACTAACTTTTATCTGCGTTTCATTCACAAATTAAAATCTATTAACGAGCTTTTTAAACGAATATTTGGACGAGCAAAGTCATGATCAAAAGGTAGTTTACGGTCAAATCCAACAATTTTGTTCGTTATTCAAAAATAAAATTTGCTCGACTCTGAAAAACCGTTAGTGGTGTACCGTTTGTTTTCGCATAAAGCCCGACCTAGATGATGGAGTTGGAAAGGGCGATGGTGGTGTGGCGACGGTAATACAGCGGCAATGGCAATGGTGGTAGTAGCTGCTGCAACGACGAAAGTAGCGACGACAAACAGCGGCAACGACGGCATTGGGGATTCAACAGAACTAGGGGAAGAGTGACTTAGATTGACGACGCAAAAGCGGGAGGTAGCAGGTAGGAGGTGAAGGTTGCAAGATATGGAAACGAAAAGAGATGATACGCGAGGACAGAGAGAGGCATCGGCCATCGAGGGGCCCTTTTCCCCACGAAAGAGACACGACAGACGAAGGGAGACGTTTAGGCTAGTGGGAGTGAGATACTCTCGACCTCGCACCATAATAGGGGTAACTGTAACGGGGCGCAAGCCCGGTATCATTGATTTAACATGCATCTATATTTTCATACACAAAGTCAAGTTTCTAGATCTTAAGAGTCCCAGGGACTTCACGGGTTCTTAAGGCGTTTCTCTTTTCTAAAGGTACAAGCGCATTTCGAACTTTTCAATTTCACCTTTCGGCGCATAGCTGATCAGACACTGATTGTAACACAATATGCGCATTTGCTTTTTAACCCTCTTGCCGTACGACGAACCTGACTCGTCGTGAGTTCTTTATATTAAGTTCTACAATAATGGAGCTACATGTGTCATTTGGTTCAATATATTACAATTAACACACCACATTTATGGGGTACCTATTCGTAAAACAAATCCGTTTTTTTTAACATTGCAAGTATAAAAAAATTCAAATAAAACTAAATAGTATACATTCGAGAATTTATAATTATAATAGTACGGCAAGTAGTTAATAGTTAGTGAAAGAGATTTTAGTCCTTTCGTTGTTTTAACGCAAATTTTCGTACAATATGTACGTACATGGATTGTATACAAAGTATAACTTAACTCTTTAAGACTTATATGTAACTTCCTTATTGTAGTAATGAAAACCCAATTGACAGTTATATATTTAATGTAAATAAAGCAATAACTTACAAAAATATGTTACCATTGTTTATAATTTAAAATTAGCCATCGTGTGGTATTTTTTAAAACATTCGCTAACTCTACAGCTCAAGCTTCTTTTTTCGTGTTTAACACATATAAAATGTTTCTCTATTTTTCCTTACAGTCTATGATTGAAGCATACTGCACAATCATCAATTTTTTTTCCAGTGTAATTTAAACACGATTGACTTGTTTTAATCACATTATATTACAAACATTGATAAAATAGTTGTTAGATAAACAAATATAAAATAAATAGTTGATAGATTCGAATCGATTCACACATGACTGCAAAGGGCTAACGGCTGCCCATATCGAAAATATGTATCATTGAAAGTACGATTGGCTTTAAAAGTTTGTTTGAACATCAAGCCCAATAACATTATCGAAGTTCTTGTAACAAAATGTGAAACTCCAGAACCTATTACGCATTAAGCAACGAAAAAATCTCCCAAATATTCAAATTTCCATTCTTAAATTTGTTTACTTGATCTTCTTGTCCTTTTTCCAGATCTCGTTTATTTATTTGAAAAATTGATGTAGTATATCTTACGTAACAATATAACACAAACATTCTTATATACTGGACTTATTAATCTTAAATATATACTGTTTTAGTATCATTATCATTATTGCTATTATTATTTATATCCGTACAACATGACGATTACTAATACTATTATTTTCGTCGCCGTCGCCATTATCATCAGCGTCGTTATTGTCAACGCTATCATTATCACCAATATTATTATTGTTGCTGCTATTAAGATTATAAAAAGTAAAAATACATGGAGATTTCATTTAATTAAAAAAGAATTCTGTCCTCCATCGTACAAATTTCCACTAAAAGATCTACACTGCCTGAGATATCATCTCGTTCACACGCATATTAATGATAGGGCGTAGCTCTTGTTGGGCATAATCTTCCGGCAATGGCAACTGGGAGACCAGTTGAAGTATCACTGTTGATTTACTTTCGTTAGATTGCAACAAACTTCTAGCTAGATGCAACGTTCTCTTTGCAATTTCCGCTTGACAAAGCCTAAAACAAAGTACAGTGGCTCGATGAATCATAATTGTCGCTCGAAGAATCGCTCATTAACACTGGATATTAACAAGAATAATGAGAAGAAGAAAAATGTTCTACCTATGCTTAGCAGTCGGACAGGGAAACTGATTAATCTTTAAGCAAAGGCTTGTCAACCGTGGTTTCAATAATTCCAATTTGTAACTTATTTCACGAGGATCAGCACCGTGTAACAGTGATTCGATATCCATAGTTATATCCATATATTCCCAAAGTAATTGTCCTTGACATGCCCATCCACTTATCGTACCGCTGCACTCTGGGGGATTCAACGGCTTCAACAAGTCACGTAGATACTCGTAATTCTCTGCGAAAGAATTTTTAAATTTACAATGATATTATACAAGTAAAACCTTTTTGGTAAAAGTACGTAGAAAATACATAAGTCCGTACCATTTATAATAGCGTCTGCGGCTAAATATTCGATAATAATCTCGTGGGCAGCATTCCATTGTTCGGCTTCAATGTAATAAGAAGCAGCTTTGTCGTATCTAGTAAAAAAAAAGTGAATAATGTAGAAATTTACTAGACGATGAATATAATCGACACGTGTAACCTATATACCGACCTTTTGGCTACGTAACTTTTCACAGCTTTGGCTTGATGAATCCAAATCGAAGGTATACCGAGCTCTTCCCTTAAAAATTTTTCACGTTCTTCCCTCACATGTTGTTCTTGCTTTCTCTTAGAAAGTTTTTCGTGCCCTTCCTTCGACAGTTGTTCCTCTTCGTTGTAATCAAGAATGTCGTCATCGTCTATTTCAACGTGACGTTCCAATAAATTCATTACAGCAGTCTTTCTTTTCTCAGAATCTCCTTTCAAATGTAACATTACAAATACGGCCCAATGCCAAAGTCCGTGCGCTTCTAATTGCGTTGCAAAGTTAACATGCGTTAAAGCGGCGACGTGCTCCGAGAGATGCGTGTAACCCAAAGCTAAAAGTACTTGCTGCATCAGCCAGCTGCAATCGAACGAAATTGTTTTAGAAAAATTTCACATACGTACGCCAAGTATGAACAGTGTAAAAAAGTGCAAATGGTTACCTAAGTCTGTAATCTAATGGATCAGATGTGTGCGCTGCCGGATTCAAAAGTTCTCCTAACGCGTGATTTCCAGTGCAAAATAATTTTAAAAGATGAAAACAGAGATCGTATATTGGTTTCCCGCCATTCAGTTCGAGTTCGTAATCGTTTCCTTTGTATTCAGGCGTAGGTGAAGCCGCATAAACATCCGTTGTCTTGTTTTCGTCGAAGGCTGCCTCGTACAGTTCTAATGCGTCTCTTATCGAAGCAACCGGGGATGAAAAATACCTGTACACAGATTGAATATGTATCAATTGTACAGGTTGATATTACTAAATTATTTTTAAAAACGAAACCAATACGATTACCACAAATGAACTGCTAATGCTCTCTTCCAATCCAAACCCTCGCAAACGTTGATGGAACCGTGTTTGCTGGACACCAGCGGTTCACCAGCGAAGAGTGCAAAAAGTTTCAATCGATCCACCGATATGCTCTCATCGGCACCGGCATCTTGCCATAATGCAATTTGTCGATTTATTAATGTTTTTGTAGGCATTCCACCGCATATTTGTGCCATCAGTAGAGCCAAGCAATGGTCCCCTACTTCTCGTGCGGCCTGGCACGCTTCCTCTAACTCGAATGCTTTGATTGATTCAATTCACCGACAAGCAGGAATAACAAAAAAACGAGAAACGACGTATTATAAATATTTGTTTGCAATTATTCTAAACACTTCTTATTCATTTAAAACTATATTCACTATTGTGGCAAGTAAAAATGTACGTTCGCTAGTATTTGTACACAATCGATATACATAATCGGTAACATACTCACCAGATAGTAGAAGCAGTATCTTTTCTTCGTTATTAATGTTTGCGGTATCCCAAACGAGAGTCTTTCGTATGACGTTTTTCAACCATTCTCCTATAGCTTCCCGTCGCGCTATCACAGTATGATGATCTGCCGGATTTTCTGAAACGCAATAAACGAAAAGATGAATATCTGATCAGTGTATGTATCTTTGTACGAAACGTGCGGCCATTAAAGTGTTAAGGGACGTCATGTTTAAAATCTAAAGCGTTAAAAAAGTTAAATTGTAGTTTAACAACCCGTACCAGGACAAGCGTTTATATCAGGCAGTGTCCCCCAAAGAGCCACACAGAGTTTCCAAACGCTAGCAACATACGCAGCAAAACTATCGACGGCAAATTGATCCGCGAATTCTTCGGCTAAGCTACAATGAGAGTGTAAAGCCAATCTCGCCTTATTAATATCCGTATCCACATCGAAGACTGGACAGTCTCCCTCTAGGTCCATTATACAGTGTGACAATTGTATTTTTAGATGACCCTCTATACTTTTCTTCAATACCATTTATGAAACATAAAAAGAAAGAACCGGATAATTAAAACCCATGAAAATCTTCGTTGCAGATGTACGTCTGAAAATAGTATTTCAAGTAAAAATTACCTCGAACGTCTGAACGCATTCTACGTTTGTCCAATTACCACCTAAAATTTGTATACGTTGGACAACTGCGGCGGAAGTTCTGTCTTCCGGCAAGCGACCGTACATGTAAGACCAAATCCGTTCGAAAGGGCTACGCAGATGTACTTCGGCCGCCTGTTTTTTCGTGCTCAATGTGAGTAGCGTTAATCCAGGTCCCCAGCTAGGTTTAAACATTCTTCCCATTTGTATACCTACGCACAAACATATATTACAAATTAACGGAGTAAAACGGGAAAAAGGCTTTTATTTGTTGGACAATATTATCGTTGCAATCATACAACCATCTACTTACCAGTATCAGCGACAGAGCGAGACTTAAGCTTATATATAATAGACTTCGAAAGTGGAATTACTTCGGAGTGCCATTTAAGAATTGTGGTCACTGGAACTATTTGAGGATCCGGGAAATGTTTTTCATAAATCGGCAATTTCATAGCAACGATATCCATCGATCGTTTCGATTTACTATCTGTAAAATAAATTCATTTGGAACTTGTGTAACGCGTGTATAGTATACGGCTTAACTTTGGTCCGACATTTCTTTTTCTATTGTAAAAAGCAAACGAGTTATTCGGACGACCTGTTTCATATCATCCAATTCTGTATGCGAGGGAATGATTGACACGATAAAAAACCCACCTGCCTTTGAAAGTATCGATTCTTCGTACTCGAAGGGTGGTATACGATGAATCGTCAAATTCGATCGCAATGTTGAATTGTAAACTGTTTTGTATTCTTGGTTCTCGTCCAAGTCCTGAGCAGTGTCGACAAAATATCGTATAGAATTTGTATGCCCAGGAAGATGCAAGACACGATTCGATTCTAAAATAAAAACACACCGCCGTAAATAAGAATATGTACGAATAAAAAAAATAAAAGAAAGAAGGACAGTTCGTCGTACGTCGTTCATAAACTTCGTTCATTTCCTCGTCGCTACCGTCGAAGAAATTGGCCTTCATAAGTTGCAATTTATGACTGTCTGTACCCGCGACACGAGCAGTTTCGCCGGTTGGGCTTACCGGTAATGCTGAAACAAGCATGTTTATCGAAAGAGAGTTAATCGAACCGGACTTAAGTCTTCGAGATCGTCTATTATTTTTTTTTTCTTTTACCTGTACCAGAATTTCGGTGAGCTTTCGCATCCGCGACAAAGTGAAGTTTGATGTTCTTCATTTTCGAATCGTTCGTTGTATCATTGATTACGGTGGCAACCTTCCCGTTCTAACAAAGAATCAGAAAAATAATGCTTGTGATAGTGCTTAGATAAGAGAAAAGACACGGGACTAGACTGTCACATCTTGAAATACAATGAATCCTGACAAAGTGTCACGAATTTTCTTTGGCATGGCGTCGCAAAGTTGTCCACATCAGTTTTTGAAACTGCTGGCTCAAAGTTAGTTATCGATGTTATCTCCGACATGGAACCAACGGTGACAGATTCAGTACGTGTAATTGAATCGACAATTACAACTATAATCGTCAATTTTTAATTATAATTGACAATTAAGTGTTTGTAATTACGAAAACCAATTACTCGCAACAATTGAAATCATCGTCTAAGGTTAATAAGGTGGCTAAAAGGTTAATAACCAACGCTGTTCGGGTTACTAATGATTTACCGAAATAGAAAAGTACAACTTTTATATTATTTTACTTTATTGTTGTAAATCTACTTTAATCGGACCGATAAGGTTCTTACAGCGTAAATAATATCGAAAATGATAAACTTTAATGATTTTCAATTAGTCAAATAATATATGTATAACTAGGAGACAAAAATGTGATAAAACAATCCGCGATCGTTATCGTATATGTATAAAACATCCAATAATCAAATATTAATCTTTTGACTGCTAACACCGTATTTGGTATGAAAAAGTAAATTCTTGTCTGCGAAGTCTGTAGACACAAGATTACAATAGCCCGGAAATCGAATTACTTTTACTGTAGTTCACCATTAGTATCGAAAGGATTAAAAAACAACTAACAATTTTACTCTTTTACGCTCAATTCTCGCTTCTTTTAATCGCTACGAAGCATACAGCGATCAATTTTCAGTTTCGATGCACTGCAGTCAATAGATCAGTTGTACCTAGCTCTATTTTCACCATTTGTTAATCACTCTTACTGTTCTAACTCTTGTTCCCAATATATACAAATTTTGCGATAATTATCATAACCACTTTGGATTAAATTTCATATACTTCTCTGTCATAGTGTCACTGCCCAGTTCCGAGTTAGTGACACTTTGACAGAATTCACTGTAAGCAATTGTGGAAACCTTACAGGAACTTTAGATTGATCCAACTTGTGCGCAGATTTCTGTTGTGCTGCTGCGGACAACTTTAGTCTCTTTGGATCGTTGACCGTACTCGCATTGTTGCTGTCGTCTTCGTCCGAATCACTTAAGCCGTACTTGGAGAAATGATCAACCTGAAACAAGGGCATACAATCTCGGTAAGAGAAGATTACTATAAAAATAAAGTACAGTAACGCACGGTTAACTCGTACAAGATTTGGGACCCGATAATGAAAGACACTCTCCTTTTCTGCTGAGTCAAGTTTCGTAGAGCTGAAGATGCTGAGTGGAAGGGATTGGGAAAGGCAAATCGTAAAAAAGTTAACCGTGCACATTTTAGTAAAAATTAATCTCCTGCGATTACCTTGAAAACCCACGAACCGGTCTCGGGTCGGTACTCGAGAAATTTAGTATCGTGTTTCGCGGATACTCTTCGTAACTTCTCCTCATATTTCATCGCAGCCAAACGAAGAGGGCTAGTTATTGTTTTATGCAGAGTCTTATCATGCGGCCATACTCGATCTAGTGTAACTTGTGCTTTACGATTTAATCCTTGCCCAACTGGTGGTTTTTTTTCGTCATCCGGATAAATGATAACTTCTTTATGACGAAAATGTACTGCAAATACAATTCTCTTATCAATCTTTCTCTCTATATTTCTATTATAATATCTAAACTCTTCGATATTATAAAAAAATAGAAAATACAATTCTGAAACTCACCGATTTCGTCTAAATTGAGACCGTAAATATCAAAGGAATCAGGAAAATATACGTTTCCATAACCCTCGCGACCAACCGTGAAATTCGGCACGACGCAGGTTTCTCCGCAAACATAATCCTCCAGCTTATCAAGTGCCGGAATTGTGTAATAACCCACGCGTTTCAGTGTCACTTTCGCCGCATTCATTTTCCAGTTCGAATTTTGTAGCGCCCAAAATGAACTATCGTCCAGTTCTTGGCTCGAATCTACAGAAAATTAAAAGAAACAAGGTAAGAATTGTCGAAGCTCGGTGTAGCAACTTGGACATTTTGTTTGAGAATTGTTATTTCATACTCGTATCGGTATTTTGGAGTGTATTATCCGTGCACGATTTATCGGCGAGAGAGTTGTTCTTCAAAGACGTATCCCCGGAATTGTTGACCTCCGAGTGTACTTGATTTGATAGATTACCATTTGAGTATGGACGCAATTCAGTGATAGTATTGTTCACCACTTCCTCGATGGACGCGTTTATCTCAGGAAACTGCGAACGCTGCTCGAATGATTCTTCGTTTGAATGATTTGTAGTTGCGTTTCGCGGAAGGCTCGATTTCAACCTACATGGCAAAGAATACTTCATTAACATACAATTTTATCGATAAAATAGTGGCACATGTACGCACCAAGTACACATAAAATAAAGGGTATAGCCGAAAAAGGGGGTCAAATGTGACATACGATGGATCCATCGATAGAGCATCAAAAAAAAACTTTCTGTGCCAAATTTCAACCCTCTATCTTGTTCGAAAGGGTAGTTATAGGGAAAATCCGGATTAGCGATTTTGTGCATATTTCCTCTATTTAATCGAGTACGAAAATTATGAAAAAAATCTGATGCATTGTAGTTACTAAGATACGTGTTTAAAAATTTGTTTCGATTTTTCGATTCTAGATTCTAGGTGTGAAAAATTAAAAGCGAAAAAACGCAGAAAATACCGATTTCGTGTTGAAGCTTTCGAGACACAAGATTTATATAATTACTGTAAATGCGTATTGTCATTGGTTATGTCCCTGAATTTTTTCAGATTTTTTGGTAGGATGCGCCGTAGTAGCAAAAATCAAAAACCGATTTTTTCAGCGTTCTTCGCGTGAGAAAGCAACTTATACTTTGAAGTTTTGTATTCTCTTTAATGGATAACTATATTCTATGGTTTTAAACAATTCTATGTTGAGTAGAACAGTGTATAGAATAAAACTGGAAATAGGCAGAAAATCGCTAATCCGGATTTTCCCTATAACTACCCTTCCAAACACGATAGAGGGTTGAAATTTGGCACAGAATGTTTTTTTTCTGATGTTCTATTGATGGATCCATCGTATGTCAAATTTGGTTCAAAGGCACATTTGACCCCCTTATTCGGCTATATCCTTTGGCATGCCTTGACGTAAAAAGCAATAAACCTACCAAGACGTAGATGATCTTCGATCGTTTGCTAATTGCCGATTATTATCTTGACTATGATTTTCTTTATCAACGGCTTCGATAGATGTATTCTCAACGTATGAATCTGTTCCATTAGTTCTTTCCTCCCCTTTGTCAGGGGATTGCACATTTTTCCCTGCAGGTTGTGAATTTTCTGCCGGTGACATTATCATCGAATTGGTTATAGACTTCGGACGTAACACCAAACGTTTCGCGTTTGGACGAGGTTGGAACGCTTCCGAAAGCGGATCCTCTTCTTCCAAACCTTCGAACATCGACTTCTACAAACATTTACGATACATTTGCAACAATTTACAATCCAAAAAATATTATTTTTTTCTCAATCAAGCTTTGTCGATCAGAACATGACGCGTAACACGTATTTGAATATTCAGAATGAACGATATAAACTTTACCACCTGGAATATCTCGCTTACCTTTGATAATTGAGCAGGAGTTACCACTTTAGTTTTGATTTTTGGAGATTTACTATCTGCTGTGACCTTGTACTGTGGACCGTTTAATATCTTAGAAGGCGCGTTCGCAGGTTTCAACAGCTCTTCCGTTTTGCCGGATGCCTGAAAAGATACCATACACATCGTACAACTTGAGAAACTTTGTTTCCCGTTTTGCATTAGAACAGTATTTACCGGTAAAAGGTTCTTCAACAACGGCGAATCGCCAAACGGCGCGGACACCAATGCCAGAATTTGTTGATGAACCGGTACTGTACCCGTGCTCTTCATTTGATTGTTCATGGCACTTTGAAACAAGGAAGAAGTGAAATATGAATTAAAATTATAAGATTGTTCGCAGAAAAAAAATTGCACAAATAAGTTCCGAAGCGTAAACAATAACATACGCTCCTAGAGACTACTGTAAAAGTAGAATTAATTTGAGTTTTACTGAGTAGTTAAGGGTTAAGTACTGTCCTCCGCTGACTTGAAGTCTCGCGGGACGGCACAGGAGCAAGGGGAGTCGGGCCGCCCATTTATCTATCTCGCTCCCTTACTCTCAGCCAGTCCACATGTGTGTGTGTGTGTAACTGCCGCGACGAATAGCGAGCTAGAGATCAATGTGTGCGTGGGAATACGTGTTGGAAATTTTGAAAGACCAACTCTACTCACTGCCGATTCTGGGGTAAGTGCCAAGAGGTCAAACTTAGTCCTCTTACTAGAAGGCACCCTCGCCATCCTCACTCCGTGGCCAGATCCTCAAGGAACAGAGTTCCTATTCTTTAAAGAGAAACAATGTCGGGTCACTTGCCTTTTCCTAACATACCCATGTTTCCTTTCAAACAATCAATCCTATGACGCCCGATAGCTGCGTGACTTCGAGTCACCAGCCATCGACAGGCATCTGGATTGTATCCTTGCAACCACAACGCCACACGCAGGCTATGTCCCTATCATAAATCGTTCGAAAACGAAATATCGTCGAGCTAATTGCCCTCGACGTCCCTTAAAAATAAACTGTCGCTAACACGTGTGTTAGAAGTTTTGCCCTTGATGGTTCTAGAGTAAGTCCCGTGCCGTTCCTCACAGTGCTCTTACCGGAAGGTCCCACGCCTTCCCCACTCCGTGGCCAGATCCTTCAGGACAAAGTCTTTAGTTTTTCCATAATCAATCAATGCCTAGACACGCGCTAGCTGGAGACCCAACGCGGTCGTTCGCTATCGCGTAGCCCGCCGCCAGGCCTGTTTAGTCTCATTCGCTCTTTAGGCCACATGTGCCCCAAAACTTTGTTATAAATCTATCGTAGACTGAGTGTCCTTTGATGGTCCTTACCTTCGACTCTCTTGGAAAATACATTTCCGCTAACACGTGTAACCCTTCTACTTCTCCCGCATTCCTTCCGCGAGACTTCAAGTCAGCGGAGGACTGTACACATTACGGCTAATCGAAAATAACAGACAAGGAAAGAATTGGACATTACCCGGCACCCAGTAACCCCATTCCAATGCCAGCTCCCACATTCGAATTGTTCCCAAAACTTGAAGATCCGAAGGGTACCGATGAATTGAATGCTGTGTTGGTTCCAGTATTGCCAAACAAACTAACTGGTTTCTGCTGACCAAACAAAGTAGAACCGCTGCCCAATGTCAAACCCGTATTCGTACCTACGAAATAAATATACATATACTTAGCATTGCATCAAAGATTGTTATAATATACTACGATCTTGTCAACTTCTACTGTTATAGTTATAACTACTGAGAACGTTTTGAAAAACAACGACATAAAAGAAAATGATTGTAATCGTTAAGTACAATAAAATCTCGATTTAACAGATTTCGTATTTAACGGACAAAATTTTACTGGTCCTTTTATCCACAAGTTACACAACGTTCGATTATTCCCTACGTTACTTAAAAACTAGATAATTTCTTGAAGACTGTGTCACCTTCACCTAACGCCTCCACAGTAAGCCGTGTCAATGTCATAACATATTAAAATAAACATGAAATATTTATAATAAATGATTCTGCTTCTGAATAAAACAAATATGGTTTCGGTAATTATTTAGATAATAGGCCATCACGCCGATTTCAATGATTGTGAAAAATGTAATCGGGAACGTAATTCTGAACAATTTTTTCTTATACAGTGAATAGTGAATAATCTTGATTAAGTACAGGATCATAAGATTCTCTACTTTTATTTATACCAAAATCGGCGGGGTGACCCATTTTATAAATAATTACCAGTTTCTTTGTTGTTAAAAAACAAACATAAAATTTGCAAATAATTTATCTTTGAACAATTCATAACGCCTGATACGTACAATAGTTGTACTATATCTACGTTATGTTTAGCAATTTTTAATGTAAAAACAGATTGTGTGACACTATTTTACAGACATTCGAATTTAACGAACAAGCTCTGTCCCCCAATTAATTCAATAAATCGAGGTTTTACCGTATAAATACAGTTAGTTCCACGGGATTCGTACCTCTCACTATTTTTAAAAGAAATTTTTTGAAATTAAACGCATAATATTTTGCAATCAATTTTTACATTATAAATAGATACACGTATAATGTTTATTTATACTAAATTTTAACAAAATTCAATAATTAACAATAAAAACATATTAATTTTAATCTACATAGCACATAACAGTCCACGAATGTATTCGTACTGTCGTTTACAATAGCTTCATTACGTTATACTAATTTTTTTCTTTCATACTTTATTGTTTCCACTGTCATGCAGTCATAAAATTCAAGAATTACTAGACATTTTAGTATACTATCACGAAAATTACGGACATTTACCTAACGTTGTTTTTCTTAAAATTGTATGTAATTTCTTTAATTCAATATCAATTATAGTCTTTATACAATTATATGCGAAGAAAAACATTCTTTATTGATTTTTGTGATGTTATATTTCCATACTAGTTTTAGTTCCAATCTATGTATCTCAGAAAATATATACAAACATTGTTTCTTAACTTTTGTCAGTAAGTGCATATGTCCACTTGCAATAAAAAACTGATCGCAAAATCTTAAATATAGCACTTAATTTCAACAAACTTCTTTTATACAGTAATGATGATTAACTTTACGTGTGCAGGATAGCATATATAATAGAACTGAACCCGAACATTATTTAACAAAGAATGAGAATGGTTGTAACAGGAGAAAGCGAGATGAACATAGTAAGTCTCACTTCCTTTCGTTTTACCAATTTTCTTTCCTTTTATGTTAGGTTAGGTTATGTTCAGCTCTGGACGTTGAGTGAAAAGGATTTGGAAAGGAAGTGGAATCGCGTCAAGTTAATCACGCATTACTGTAAACAGCGAGGATTTGAATACGTACGAGACTGACTGGAAGTATATAAACAATTTACCCAGTCCAGTGGAAGGCGCAGAAGCAGAACCAAAAGAGAATCCAGACGTCTGTCCTGCAGGTTTAAAACATGTATTAAACAATGAAGTACCAGAGTTTTGACCAGGAGTGAAACCTGTTGTAGCTCCAAAAGTCGATGCCGTAGTCGAACCGAAAGTAGGTGCTCCAAAACCTGCAGTTCCGGTAGGTTTAGCACCAAACAAGGTTGTGCCTGTATTGCTAGCGGGTGTTTGACCAAAGCTGGCGAAACCAGTACTGGATGACGTAGGCGGTGGATTGAAAGCCGATTTGTTCTGATTAAATAAACCAATATTCTGTAAATAAATAAATAAATACCTTAATGTTGTACATAAATTAAATATACATTAACATATAGTCCTTATTATTCTTATTTATTTTTACACTACCTGGTTCGGTTGCGTTGATCCGAACGTAGATCCGAAGCCAGTGTTCTGAGCTGTATTAATGCCACCAAAACTCGTACCGGCCGTCTGGTTAGTATTGCTGGTTGCAAAGAGTGGTGTCGGTGCCGCTGCTGTAGATAAAGATTATTTGTATTTTCTCAAAATAAACAACCAATGTATAAGTACGGAAACTTAAATGAATACTTTTATGTGACAAACAAAAAAAATTAATTTTTCTTTTATTCGTCACTTACAATGAATATTTAAAAAATGTAATACTTACTACCAAAGGGTTTGGCCTGTGTATTACTACCGAACAGACTTGTGCTCGGAGCAGAATTGAAAGCGAAACTATTTGTAGTTGTTGTCGATGGTGTCCCGAAGCTTGTCATTGGCTTTCCAAACAAACCACTTGACCCAGACTGAGTGGTCGTTCCAAAACCGCCACTTATTCCACCGAAACCTAATGCAAGTTTTAAACGAAAGCATTATAAAACAGAGAAACAATATACAAATATATTGTACTTTGCACAATCGTTCAAAATTTTAAATCGTTTAAGAATAATCTCACGAATACATAATAACTAATTCGTATTAGAGTAGTTTACCCGTCGTTGCAGTATTAGTACCTGCCCCTGCATTGCCGAAAGGTGAAGGTTGTGCAGGCGAACCAAAAATTCCTGTACTGGATCCTGAACAATTAAAAAGAAAAGAATCAACATACATGAGTGAGTAGCATGTAGTGTACAATCAATCTACACACAGGAGTTCCGAACGTTCTCGGGTATTCCGAGAAAAATTCTTTATTGTTTATCATTCACGTATATTACCTTTTCGTCCCACAGAATAATCCTCGAACCGTAATTCTTCGTACGATTTCGATTCGTACTCTTTCATCGATGCGATGCAATAGTGTCTTGCTGATATGCTATGAGATATACCATTTTTCGACATAGAATCCGTAGTGATGGTGGGAGTAAATTTAACGACAGTGCCGGTAACACTTGTGGTGGCGACATTTGTATTGCCGAATCCTTACGCAAAGAAAAATGAAAAAAAATCAATAAAGCGTACAGTTTCTTTTTCAACTGTACAACGATAATGAAAATTATTGCAGAAAAGAATATTTACCCGACGTCGTGCCAAACAAATTTGTATTTCCAGTGGTATTAGTTTGTCCAAAAGGAGTGGTCTGTTGAGTCGGTTGTTGCGGTTGCCCAAATAAATTTGGTCCAGATGTTGTGCCAAAGCTAAATCCAGCTGGCTTGTTTGACTGTCCAAAAGCTGAAGTTGCTGCATTTGTACCAAACAGACTTGTACTTGGAGTTTGTTGACTGCCAAATAGATTGGTATTTGTATTGGTTGTTCCAAAACCTGCGGAAAAAGTAGAAGAAAGTGTATTCATATACATGTTGTCTCTTTACAATAGTGTTTTCCAAAGTAAATAACTTAAACGTTTCTTTCTATTAGAGATCTCCGTTTCACGTGTATCTAAAATACTCATATACACGTGTTGTTTATGTATCTGTATTAAAATCCGTGTACTTTTAATACACGGGTATTAACATATCCGAGCAGACGGCGTTTGTAATATTTCGTAATATTGCGCAGTATTCTCGTCATACAATCGACATAAAATCAAGTGTTCGGATATAGCGCATCGTATGAATCATTGTAACTTCCTTCAACATTGTAACAAATGCACGAATGATGAATAAAATTTCATTTGCTATTCCTTACTCGATTAACGCCCAACACTGACAGATACACGTATACTTCGATTCTACGTGTATCTGTATATTAAATAGTACGGAAATTTTAACACATATATATTAACTACATATGCGTACACGTACATGTATGCATTAGATATACATTGAAGACTTTCTATGGATACATTGGATGATAGAGTTTAACGACTGTACGAGTGTTTTTCTTGTATCATTTCAAACCTATCGCATATCTGAGATACAGAGTTTTTGTAGGGAGGTGTCTTTTGATAAATTTGGAAATCATTGCTCCATGAGTAAAACTGTCCTTACAGCTATAACCATCTGTTTAAAAAAATAACTGGTAGATACTATGATTACACTTGAACGTTGGTTGCCATTTGTCATCCTTGGTCATTTAAAGAATTTAATCAAGTTGTAAATTGTAGCAAATTTAACAAATCCCAATCGTTCTCTATTTCGACCATATCAACAATTCTTTGAACTATGCTAATTTTGGAAATGAACAGTCAAGAATTTGACTAAACATCAAAGTACATGCATATCAAGCATTCATGGGAACAGACTCTACAAATTTGTATCCAAAAAAACAGTCGATGAATCGCTAGCTACCTCCAAAAGATGGCTGAGTAAATGCAGGTGGTGTTGTAGTATTGCCGAACAAGCCACCCGTGGTAGAGCCTGTTGGCTTTGAACTAAAGAGAGAAGTATTACTACTACCGAAGACTGGTGTTGCGCCACTGCCAAAACTCGTTGTAGCTATCGCTTTACCAAACGCTGACTGCCCAAATGGACTGGTTTGTGTTGCATTATTGAAACCGGCTAAAACAGAATACATGGTAAAATATATAAAACAAGAAAAAGAAGAAGAAATATTTTTATTTGCTTACCGAACGATGTATTTCCCGTTTGCCCAAACATGTTTAATGTTTAGATGGCTCCTATTTACTTTCAATACTTAATACCACCTAAAATATGAATATCGAATAAAAAAGAATTCATTCCTGCAGCTTACTTGTTACTTATTTCCAATAAAAATCAATGCTGTAAACAGTAAACGAGCTTCTAATATCCTCGTGCTTCTTATTATTCGCAACCTCAAATCGAGAAAAAGTAAGACGCAAAAACGCGCGATACGCATACATAATAACATAGGTCGTTATTTTTTAGAGCAACAACACGATTATGACGACGATTAAACGGTTGTCCGCGCACCGATATTCATTATAATTACGAATGACATTGTTGTCAATATTTTTGAAAACATACCTGTGGTCGTTCGTTGCATCCTTGTCGAAACAGTTCTTAACGAACTTCGCACCTTGCGAAATTTACTCCGATAGAAAATAATTACTTGACAAAGACAACCGCGTAAATGAAAATTTCGATCGCGTGTACCAACGACTTTTGACATAAAATAATACGAATAAACGTCGATTTATCGGTCCGAGCGATTAAAATAGTAATTTCCGATTACACTCGATACTTCGCTACAACACGAATCACATACGCAACATACGTAGTAAGATCGTAACTCTCGAAAGTCGATCGATACTCTGGCGGTGCCATCATATGTTTTTTTTCTAAAAATGAAATGTAGGGGACCCCAGTTAGAACGTTTGGAGATTGTTCTCAATTCTAATTGGCTAATTCATCGCTTGTTCAATAATTTTAGTATTCCGTTTGGGGAAAGCAATCTCTTTTGACTTGGGCAAATGTATTAGTAAATAAATCTATTATTTCAGTGCTGGTATACTTTAACCAACAAGATGAGCATGACCACTGCTTTTAATCAAAGTTAATTGTACACACAATTGCACGTTTCTATGTCATTTTCTTAAATTAATAATTATTATTAGTAAAAATTAGAAAAATGCCGTTTATGTACTGTTAAGACAGGAAAATCAAAAGTTAAACAAAGGATTACATACAAACAAAATGTTATGGACTAAATAGGCAAATAAGATCGGCCTTGTTATATACAGCTACCTTCACAAAAATTTGTCCTGCTTAAATTTTAATGTACAATCTGTAAGTTGTACGGTTAATGTAACATTTACATTTGTATACCTAAAATGTTTTTATTAAAAAGAAATTCTAATTCATGAATTAGAACAAATTTTTGTAAACCAACATCCTGACAAGCAAATCCGTAGGAGAAAGCTAGCTTACGAATTAAAATTTTCTATTTGTTATTTTCACCAATTTTTATGATTAGGGGTACATTGTATAGTAATTTCACCGTACAATGTTACAAAATAAAAAAACGTGGCAAACTGTCGAAAAATTAATTGTAGTATTTAAAAATTGTTATAAATAGTAACAATTGTACACGCGTGCATAAAGTATAGTATAATACATAGCGCATATATAAATATTTATTAGGTGAATATCACTCTGTTAGTAAATTCCTATCGTAGTCACGTGATCTGTTTACTCGACTCTATCTTTAAGTTGAACGGACAATAGATAGGTAGGTAGAATGCATTTGTTGGTAGAAATAATGGCTGACTAGTTCTGTTATCACACATAGAGGGAAACGATCGTATGGATTTCATTCACGATTCGAAGCAAACAAAGTTACGCTTTGCATTGTATTAAAGGCATCGATATAAAGATCTATGATTTTGATCGAAGCGAAATAGTTAGTAAGGAAGTTAACTAGTTAGTCGGAATCTGAAAGCTTATAAAGTTTGGAGGAAATTTGAAGTTATGTGTACGAACGGAAAAATGTGGAAAAAAATTTGGTAAAACACGAAGATTTATCGTGCGAATATTTATCAATCGTTCCAATGGAGAAACATTGCTTAAAGAAGGAAAAATACCTTCGGTCGCTATGCGACTTGGACAATGCATTTTGTTTTCCTTATTCGAATTGATTATACTTGGCCAATTACTTTTTGTGTTTCATTAAATTTTTGTATATTTTACTGAAAAATAATACCCAGCATCATGGTACATATACCAAGTGCATATACATACAATTTTTGGGCAAAGTCACCCACAGAAGTTGTTGAATTGACTTGTTTAATGCCAAATGGGGTTGTTATACCATTCGAAACTAATCGTAACATTACTTTGGCCGAAATAAAAGAGGTGAGTTGCATGTAACGATATATGATAAAAGTAATGATACGTTTCTTAATTGACACGAAGAAAGATAATTCTGAGTTGCATTAACAGAGCAAACTTATACATAGGATCTGTGGGACGAGGCCAGTAAATATCCCCTGCATGGCACGTTAAAAGATGCTCCGTCCTATGTATTTTCTTGCATCAATTCCAATGCAGAGGCAGAAGAATTACGAGATGAAACCAGACGCTTATGCGACATAAAACCATTTTGTTCTTTGCTTAAAGTTATAGAGCGAGAAGGTGTTAAAAGTGATAGGAATCTTGATTCTCAAATTGGTCTTCTAATTGGGAAAGGATTGCACGAGTTCGCAGCATTAAAAAATTCAGAAGTGAACGATTTTAGATGGAAAATGCGAGTATTAGGAGACGAGGTTGCAATGCCGAGGCGGAAGAAATCTTGGACAGATATAGTTCGTTCTCAATTTCCTACAAGATTAGCACCAACCGCTGCAATACCAAAAAATATTGAATGTCGATTGAAAGACGGAAATATTGTTCTTGTTACAAAATTTGAAAACACAGAGGTAAGATCATAGGTATATTAATTCATTAATACTTTTATTTTCATATACAAAGTAGTAAAAATATCTGTAAATACTAATAGCTACAACTGTACATTTAAAACTTGAAAGATCTAATCACAATCGAGTGTTCAATAGAACGCGAACGATTGTTGCTAATTATCAAAATCAAGCAATAACAGGATCCAGTCCTTGTTTGTATTCTTTTTAGAACATTTTTTCTTATCACTGTTACCGTCTCTAGCATGTTCAAATTCACATGATTCCTTTATTGTAGTGGTTTTATATTCTTTTATATCAGTGTCATTACCTTTTTATTTGTGCTTTGTTTGAACTGTTTCATTCTTAAGCAATGTATTCACCGTTTCAGAAGTTAATACTGGTAATTGGTTACAATTTTCGGGTTGTTTCGATTCAGGTTCGTCGGCTCTATCATTGTTCTGCAAATGCATTAAGTCCTCAAATTCTTTCAAGAGAATCTTACATTCTGTATTGTCTCTGCTGCCTAATTTTATTTCGGATTGTAGAAAACATAGTCGACCCTAAAAAATGAAACCACTGTTCAAAGTTACCTTTACAGACGCGAATTTCATAACAAAAGATAATTACCTCTAAAGAGGAAACTTTATATCGCCAGTATTGCAGTTGTTTGGCAATATTCAGTTTTGTTTCTTCTTGTATTAATAATTGCATAGAAAGATCTTCGATCTTTATACGAAGGTCGTTTGACTCCTTTGTTTTAGAATCCAGTAGCGATTGCAAGTACCTACAATTTTAAAGAAAACTTGTGAAAGTACCAATGAATGTTGTAATACTTCAAAAATCGACATTAGTCTTACGTAAAAGACGCGTCGGTACAATTCAGATGTTTTGCATCATCATTTTTCTTGATCTCAAATTTTAACTTGCTTTCAAGGTCTAATACCCTGTTTTTATATTTTTCAATCAACTCGTCTTTCTCAGTCAGGATATGATCTGTATCGGTTTCCCATTTTCTAAATGCTGAAACTTGTTTCGCTCTTAGCACTTTAATTTCTGCTACTTGTGACATACACATACGTTTTATTTGTATATACTTTTCATGTAACGTTTTCATTTTGCTCATTACATTTTGTCGACGATCTTCCACTTCCGCGAAAAGTGAATTGCCTATGAGTAAAAGCGTTAAGTGTCGTTAAACGTTAAATCTCGAAAAAATTAATGAATCAAATTATTTGTTCATACTCGCCTTTACATGAATTATGAGTAGGATAAATTTCAGTGGACTCTGCTGCTGCTCGTTTCAGTACAAGTTGTTCACGAACGTGTTCCAAAGCTTTGCTTTTTTCCGTTAATTGTTCTTTAACATCCTGTTCATACGATACATTTCATATTTTTATCCCTCATGCTGTTAAAAATACTAATATTTTTAAAAATTAAAATGTCATTGACTAGTTCCTTACTTGAAAGATATGCTGTAATTCATCGTATTGTGCTTTCAAATCATTAACCATTTCTTCCAAATGTTTGGATTTTTTTTCCTCTTCGTGCAACAGCACTGTAAGTTTCTCAACATGATTCTTAAGAGAGGCATTCTCCGTTTCAAGAGAAATATTCTTCAGATCGTCTACAATCGTCTCGCTTTCAATTTCTTTGTATCTATTAATGTTCTGGTGCAGTTTCTCAATTTCTGTCGTCTGATTCGTTAAATTTGATTCAAGACTCGAAATAATATTTTCGTATTCTTTAATGGCAACACGGTGTCTGGAAAGAAAAACAAAGAAGAAAATTGTTAAAGAAGGCTAACAGGTGTTTCTCAGAAAGTAATTTACTTTTCTTCCGCTTCAAAAATAAACTTTTCTTTTTCGGAGATTTGTCGATCAAGAGAACTTTCGAGCGTTTCGTTTATTTCTTGAACGTCGCGTAGCATTGTTTCGTTTAATTCCAGTTTCCGTTTCAAGTCATGAATTTCTTGACGACATTCTTCGTATTCAATTTTTAATAGACGATAACGCTCACTGATTCCTTCTGTATCTTCGGTGTATTCTTCATTAATTTCCTGTTTGACAAACTGTGGCGTCGACATTTTCAAAGGTTATGTTTCACTTTAGAATCTTAAGATTTCACTTGAAATCCTAAAGTACGACTTCATTCATATGTATTCTCAGACGATAACTTTTCTTCCGTTACCAGTTTTCCCTCTCTTGTTAAAAGGACAAAAAATCGACGGGAAAAAAAACAAATATTTGGCAAACATAACGTTCAACAGTGATGGGGAATTTCTTTTCCGCCTAGAATCACCACATAAGTTCTATGTTAACCCGCTGATTCTCCCACTAACACGCTACGGCTAAACGCCGAGTTAATTTTGTTTCACTTTCCCCTTAGGCGACGTGTCAATACATTTTTATTTAAAACGTTTGAATAAAATCCATTAAAAGAATGTAAAGATATGTTTTAGTATTATTCCTTAAATTTAATACTGTTGGTTCCTAGGAATTGACGCCACCTAAACAAAATGTAGTATCGATGCCTAGGGACCGACGAAGTGTTCAACACTACAACAATGCACGGTTGACTTTTCGAAAATTTGGGACCCAATAATATAAGTTATGCGTGCAGAGCAACGTATTTTGCCCTGCACGCATAATTATAATGATTATATAATTAATTATACTATATTATTACAATAATTATAATTATAACTAAATTATAGCAAGTTTCGTTTCCTTTCATTTTATCGGCTCCCTTTTTTTTTCCGAGACACTGAGTGGTAGCGATTAGGGGGAGGAGAAAAGGACGAATTGTGGAAAATTAACCATGCATTACTATATTGTTGAATAAAGAAATGAAAGAAAGAAATAATATAATTTTTGAACGAAAATAAAATTTAATTTTCATTATTTCAGACGGCCTTCACTTTTCAAATATCACATACCGCAACGCCATATGAGTTATTAGGAAATATTTTAACTAAACGAGCAAACACTTTAATGTCCGAGGGAAACTTGGAAGATTTTACTTTGAAGGTTTGCGGACAGGAAGAATATTTAATAGGAGATTATCCTTTAATACAGTTTAGTTACATTCAGGATTGTTTAGCAAAAGATGTTACTCCTACGTTGGTTACGTTAAGCAGAAGTAGCGTCTGTATTGATCAGGAAAATACTGTAGAGAATGCGGAGGCGGACGCTTTGCAACGTACGAGGCCTTCATTCTCTACGCTGACTCTGCGTAAAAAGGGTAAACATATATCTGCTTGGAAAATAGAGGAACCATTTGTTTTTATAGTTAATGGGATATCACGATTGAACTGCGATGCTGCTCATCGTACTGTCGAGGTACACACGTGCTATACCAAATAATTAATTTTTGCATCGATCGAGCCATAAGAGCACAACTTTGTTTCTTATTCTTCAACTTACATTTGTAATATTTGTTATATTATTCTTTTTCTGTTCTTCAGATTGGGCTTCAAGCTGGTCTTTTCCACGGCGGAAAATCTCTGTGCGAAAGTCAGAAGACCAAAGAAACTGTTGTTAGCTCTGATGGTAGTTGCGAGTGGAAAGAAACTTTAAGATTTGACATAAAGGTGCGAGATATACCACGAATGGCTAGGCTGTGCTTTGTTCTATATGAGATTAGTAAGACTGCAAAAGGACTTAAGAGTCGTAGATTGGTTAAAGACACCAAACAAGAATTTTTTATAAATCCATTATGTTGGGCTAATACAACTATATACGACTTTAAGTCTCAATTAAAAACCGGAGCAACGACTCTTTATACGTGGACGTATGCAGAGGATATGCAAAACGATGATCTCTTGCATCCTCTAGGAACAGTAGTGTCAAATCCTCACATAGATAGGGCTGCTGCTTTGATGTTAACGTTTCCAAAGTAAGTTCCGTAAAATGTCCCGTAACTTTTCGTTTCTTCCTTCCGTCTTCGAGTCATATTATTTTTATTGATACAATTTAGTTACGGAAAGGACAAGTCCGTTCTTTATCCAACTCCTGAGAAAATGGTCGAATATGCGAGAAAGTTGCGTGAATCGTCCGCCGAACGATCGATTCAAGAAGAACCAGATCAAGACACGGACGTCGGTAAGTTTCAACAACTCGAACAACTTCGATTATTAGCGGATAGAGATCCGTTGCACGAGCTTCACGAGCAAGAACGAAAGATAATGTGGACTTTAAGACATCATTGCCTTGTCGAAATTCCCACGCTTTTGGCCAAACTATTACACTGCGTGGAATGGAACGATCACAGGTGAAAATATAAATATTCGGTATAGCAAAAGGAACAGCTTGAACGAGAAAAAGAAGACTGTTTTAATCCAATTTTCATTTTTCGACATATACAGGGAAGTGGCTGAAGCGACGGCGTTGGTGCAACAGTGGCCCAAACTGCCTGTCGAAAAAGCACTCGAATTGTTGGATTATGCTTATGCCGACCAAAATGTTCGAAGTTTTGCCGTGCGTTGTTTAATGGACGTCAGTGACGAAGATTTAAGTCTATACTTATTGCAATTGGTGCAAGCATTGAAGCACGAAAATTACTTATCCTGTGATCTGACGGAGTTTTTGCTGAGACGCGCCCTTAACAATCGAAGGATTGGCCATTTTCTATTTTGGCATCTTAGGTTCGTGCAACGTACAGTGACTCGCAATAAAAATTGTATGCATGATTTTTAATGATCTTTCTTTTTTGTTTTCTAGATCAGAAATGCAAGTAGGCGCCGTATCCGTTCGGTTTGGTTTAATATTAGAAGCTTATTGTAGAGGAAGTCAGCAACACATGCGATCGCTATTCAAACAAATGGAATGCCTGGGTAAATTGAAATGTGCTTCCGAACTAATAAAACAAAAAAAAGACCATCGTAAAGCAGCGTTACAAGGTTTTCAAGAATTCATTCAAGAGCCTCACTGCCAAGAAGCACTTTCGAACGTTTTAAACCCCTTAGATCCAAGTTTTCGATGGAAACGCATTAAGTGAGTTCCATCTATATAATCGCAGTTGAAAAGTGTTTAATCATTATTTTCCATTGTGCATCGATAGTATAAATGGACCCTGATTCGTTCGATGAGTTAATTTTCGTAAATATTACGGTTTGCAGAATTGAGAAATGTAGAGTGATGGATAGTAAAATGCGACCGCTTTGGTTGGTTTTTGAAAATGCCGATCCGTTTGGCGACGATATTTATTTGATTCTCAAACACGGGGACGACTTGAGACAAGACATGCTTACGCTTCAAATGCTACGAATTATGGATAAATTGTGGAAGAGAGAGGGACTAGATCTGCGCATGAATCCTTATGGTTGTATATCGACAGAAAATAGAGTCGGAATGATCGAAGTGGTTCTAAACGCGGAAACGATTGCGAACATTCAAAAAGAAAAAGGCACGTTTTCGGCAACGGCCGCATTTAGGTATGATCGTAAACAAATTGCAATTTTTGCACGTTAGACGTAGAATCCCCCCCCTTCTGACGTTCGAAAACGTGTTTTCGTTTTGTTAAACTTTTTCTCGGTTATTTTATACAGACGAGGTTCTTTGCTCGCTTGGCTGAAAGATCATAATCATACTGAGGCGGCATTGAACAGAGCTATTGAGGAGTTTACGTTGAGTTGCGCGGGTTATTGCGTAGCTACGTATGTTCTCGGAATTGCGGATAGACATTCGGACAATATTATGGTGAAGAAAACTGGCCAGCTATTTCACGTCGATTTTGGCCATATACTTGGACATTTTAAAGAGAAATTTGGATTCAGGCGTGAACGCGTGCCATTTGTGTTGACTAATGATTTCGTGCATGTAATTAACAAAGGACAAACGAAGAAAGGTCAAGCAGTAGAGTTCCAACGATTCCAAAGTCATTGCGAGCAAGCATTCCTTGTCCTGCGCCAGCACGGAGGTCTAATATTATCTTTATTCGCTATGATGATATCGACGGGATTACCAGAGTTATCGTCGGAAAAAGATCTTAATTATTTAAGGGACACATTGGTACGTTGACCCCTTTTTTCTTGTTTTTTTTTTTTTTATAGTTTACCAATATTTCGATACATTTATAATTTTTGCCTCATAAGCTTTAAACGATACTTTGCAAATAGTAACTTCATCTCGGTTGAATGTATACTTTCCAAACACGTATACATATATGCATTCTTTGGAGCGAAAGGGTTAATATACTTATGTAAAATTTCTTGATACGATGAAAAACTTCATTGTTTGGATCTTTGGCGTTAGGTACTCGAGATGTCCGAAAGCAAGGCGCAACAGCATTTTAGAAGCAAGTTTGACGAAGCTCTCTGTAACTCGTGGAAAACTTCGTTAAATTGGGCGTCCCATAACATGTCGAAAAATAATAAAACGACATGAATGGAGTGGGATCGGATCGAATACAAATGACAACAAGAAAAAAGCCAGAACAAAAAGACGGAAGGCGGGCAAAATAAGACGGAAATGAATTTAACCAACATGCTGAACGAATATGCGCCGTTGCATCGTCATCACGTTTAAACAAATAAAATAAGAATCCGAATAGACAGGGATTTCTATGAGAAGAAAGAAGTAAAGAAAAAGAAGACTGATTTGCAATGGAGATCTATCGTTATTGGTCACTAACAGCAGTTGCCTTTTTCGTTGTCGTGTGGTAAAAACACGTGTACGGGCGCGCATACACGCACGATTATTCAAACACTCGCTTCACCTGCCCTTCCCTTCCTCCTCGCCATTCCTTCGTCATTTTTGGCAGAGACGAAAAACGAAAGCGAAATACGTATACGGTACATATCATTGGTCGACATTGCGGATTCTTGAAAAGAATATACGCGGACGTTCGTTTGCTAGAAATGTTTCGGGGCATGTTGCCCGCATTAGATGATCGCAGTGTCCTGGCTGTGCCGATATAGCAACTCTCCTAAAATCTTTCGATTGAAATCAGAAATGCTCGAAAGCTGACAAAAGAAAACAAAATGTGAGAGAATCCTAGGAATTTCAAAACCCTGAAATACTACTGTATTGATAACAATAAATGAAGTTATTCTTCATCATCTTTTTATTGCGTCACTTCCTTCTCGACGAATTTAAAAGCTTGCACTGAAACAAATTCTAATTTTTATTCATCTTTCGAGAATACGTACAAATTCTTTAAATACAAAGTAAAACATTGGCTCAAAAAGCAAACTTTTTCGAACATGTGATACGTGGTGACTGATAATATAATTATCTTTTAAGAAAACCCAATTTTGCATTAAACAGATCTTTTTAGAAGTTTTAAAAACTTCACATTGTTTTTAAGAAACTACAAATTTATTTTTATAATTGTTTATCCGGGATAGCGCGAACGCAGTCCCGACTAACAAAAATTCTACGCCCGAGATATCCACATTAGGGATATTCGCAGAGGTCAGCCCAACCGTAGTGCAATGGACGAGCCTCGCCCTGGAGGAACCGCCTTATTGATCACGGTAACCTCTACGCCAGGTAAGTATGTTTTCCTCCACTTCTCGGTGAGGGTTATAGTCTATAGCGAGTACTTTTAACTGCGAGAAATTCCTTCATCTCTTTTGCACCCTAGCGGCAATTTCGTATGATAGCTTTGATATACGTATGCCATTTGGAATAAGAGTGGGGAGTTGGACACCAGCAAGGTGGGGATAGATACGAGCGACCTCTTGATGTATCTAGATTAGATAATCTAGTATTAAATATTCAACAATAGTCAACATGGCACGTCAGCAGCAAAATGACGTTGACGAGCTTTTCAACGTGAAAAACAATTTTTATATTGGCAATTATCAGCAATGCATTAACGAAGCACAGAAAATTAAGGTTTGTTCTTTTCAAGAATATTTTCTACGAACGCTTTTGTTCTTAACCTTAAACTTTCCAGTAGATCCTGCTATTTTCAATCGACTTCATCTTTCGCGTTTCATTACTGTCATGTTGTTTCAATTTTTCTACGTTGATTCTTATTATCGAATCGTGTAAATTTTATATTTTCTTATATACAGCCTTCTTCATCGGAGGTGACAATAGAGAGAGATACATTCCTCTACCGTGCGTACATAGCACAACGAAAATTTCGCGTTGTGTTAGATGAAATTAATAGTTCGTCGCCGTCGGAACTGCAACCGCTTAAAATGTTAGCGAATTATTTTGCAAATCCCAGCAACAAAGAAACGATACTCTCGGACTTACAGCAGGCAACAAATCATATCAATTATGATAACCACAATCTTTTGATCGTCGCCGCGACCATTTATTACCATGAGAATAATTTGGATGCGGCCCTCACGGTGCTCCGCGATTCTGAATACCTGGAATGCCTAGCTCTGAAGCTAACGATTTATTTGAAAATGCATAGAGTAGATCTTGCAAAGAAAGTATTGAAAACTATGCAAGAACAAGACGATGATGCAACTTTAACCCAGCTGGCCCAAGCATGGTTGAACACAAGCACAGGTGCTGATAAATTGCAAGATGCCTATTATATTCTTCAGGTACATGATATTTTTTGTATTATAAACAATTTGTGTCATCAAATACTTTCTTTTAATGTTATTGTATCATTTCAGGAAATGATAGATAAATATGCAAGTACAAGTATCATGTTAAATGGACAAGCCACTTGTTTCATCGGGCAATCTAAATATGAAGAAGCTGAAACAATTCTACAAGAATCATTAGAAAAAGACAGTAATAATCCAGTCACTCTGATCAATATGGTTGTCCTTTCCCAACATTTGGGAAAGCCACCAGAAGTTGCCAATCGTTACTTGAGTCAATTAAAGGAATCACATGCAGAACACCCTTTCATTAAAGAATATACGCAGAAAGCTACAGAATTTGAAAGGCTTGCGATGCAATATTCTTCATATGCCTAAGTGGATTATGTTGTACTACATCATTCCATGGATCAAGTATTGCTAAAGGGTATGGTGCAAACAGTTACACCTCCGCTATTGACAGAAGAATGCTTGTTCCTCGTACATTTTTGTTCAGTTGACTTTATATGAAACAAAAACATTTTAAATAAACAAAAAGAATATTTTGGAAAAATATACAAAGTCTTAATAGAATACTTACAATAATTTGAAAAGAAGTGATATTAATAATTGCAAAAGAGGTGTCTGTAAATATGTGTAGTTGTTGTAACATATACATGAGTTTTTATAATAAGGTTTTCCATGATAGGAAGAATTAAAGTATTATTTAATTTTTTATTTAAATAAAATAATTTTACTGTTTCGATAATGTAATCGTAAAAAGCATAAAAATTCTATTAAATTTTTATTCTAAACATTTTCTCATATTCATAAATAAATAATACAAATTTTAAATTCATTTGTAAGTTAACTTTCATTTATGTTTCCTTCGTAAATTCACTTGTAAATTAGAATTTTGTTAACGGGCGAGCGAATCCGCAGCCAAAAAATAGTTTCCAAATGAATGTAAAATTATTCGTTATTCGTAAATACATTTTGCCCAACTCTGCTGTTATTACTGTTATATAGAGGAGAAACATAAAAGTTGATGTTTTTAGAAACTTTCGAATGCTAATAGAAGCACTGTACTAAAAAGAAGTTAAAATCTGATATAATATAAATAAATTCGTTGAACATAAAACTAAAGATTTACTAGAAGTTGAAAACGAAAGCGTGTTGAAGAATTCTGTCGTTCCTTATAAATTTATTCTCGTTTCATAGAACGATTTATGAAAATTTTCATCCTGTTTCGTTATGTTCGAACGAGTCAGAATTTTCGTTAGTTTAACTAATATTTAAGAATGTTATTCTGAAAAAACAATATATAGAAAGCGCCCATGTATTAGATTACCATTAAGGGACCGTGAAAAAAACAAGACTAAGAACGACTGGCGTAAATTGTCCACAATTGTTTTAATTCGTCGAAACGATAGGCAAATTTTCTCATGGCTCCTTCGGTAAGTTCCCGATCATCTGCCCGTCTCGCCATCTAGCATCGTGTTTCGTAAATGTTTAGTGTCAAGCCGAGAAACGTCTATTACGTCGAAGAATTCGAAAATTTAAACGGGTAGGTTTCGTAGTTAGTCGGAATGCGTTAAAAGTTACAAGATCCTCTCGCGAATCCCAAGGACGTGTTTGTCGTAAAATTAATACTCATTATAAAGGATCGCGAAAGAAAGTTATCAGTGGATTTCGGCGGGAGTACGACTGCGACCAGCACTATTTTAAACGTTCATCGTTCCTGTAATTATTCGAAAGCACCGAGGGAACGGGTCGCAGCTTCATCTCCTTTGGAAAAATATCACGTTAGATCGAACCTGATTCTCGCAACATGGCGACACGATATAGGTACATGATTATTTCCCGTTAACGTTGCTCGACACAACAATGCTTTCGGCGTTAACGTTTTCCGTTAAAGTATTTTGCATTTTGTTGTTCTCTGTCATCCACGTCGTGCGACAATTCGTACAATTTTCGAATTCTTTGCATGTGCTGTCTGGTGCGTTAACCGCGCGACAGGTAGACTTTTTTTCACGCGAAGTACATTTTGAACGTAACCGACCGACTTTTCCGTGTATATTTGTTACCGTGATCGTGTCGTGCAAGTAACGAGTTGAAAATAATGTTCTAATTATACGGTGTTGCGTTATCGGTTTAACGTAACCTAACTTTTACGAAGTCATTTGGTATGCAGAAACCGTAGACCCACCGACTTTGTTGAATCTCCGTTGACATTCAGAGGCTTTTATGTTATTTTCCAGGAACGCGCTTCATAAATTATAAAGCTGTACGAGCTACAGAACATTTTGGAAACGAGAATCGTACACTATCGAAAAGGCACAACGCCCGAACAAAAGTACTGTTTACCACTGGGATTGTACGGCAGTAAGCAACGATATAATCGGAGAAACAAGAACGCACGTATTGGAGATAATTTCGTTGTTGCAGGGAAATGAGATGCGGTGAACAAACAGATACATGGTTCATATTTAGTTCTCATGTCAAACTGTTATCGATTTATATATTATTTATTTAACAATTAATTAGGAATGTATCATAAGTTTTCCCTGTTATTTTTGATATTAACGAATGAAGTCGTATCTGCACCGTAAGAAATATAACAGGGAAGAAACGTTTGAGTATATTTACGATAGATGCAGAATTGTCAGTGTATTAATTTTATTTTGTACTTTGATGTAGTGTAAATTGATGTATATAATACTTGGTATATTCATACGTTATTGTACACGCGTTGATAGTAAAGCAGTTAAGGGTTATAGAGTTTCTTATAGATTTAAATAGTGAATTTTGTAGCATTCTGTTCATTTATATTGACTATGTATCACACTATGTATCCACCGCAAATAATGGCGCAGATAATGGGTGGCCAACAGGCAAACGGACAGTGTCCGCCAGTTCAAACACATGCAATGCACCTTCATGGTACAAGCGTGTTCCATCAGAACGAATATACAAAGTATCGCTTGGATACATGTACACAGAATAGACATCAAATGATACAGGTATATTTTCGTATCTGATAATTAGTATTTTGCTCGTTGTTTAAATTTTCTCAAGTACAAACAGTATTCTTGCAGACAGGATCTTATCCATTGGAATTATTACAATTAATGGGCGTCGAGCTACCTTCTTTGCGACGCGTAGAATACGTGCAGTCGAATAGCAGTGTACCTTCAGGAAATTGGCAGAGGTGTGCAAATACACCAAACAGTACGCCTATAATGCCCTCTCCGCATCATAATTTTAGACCAAACAACAACTGTTTGGTAAAAAAATCAAATTGGTATAGTAAAATTGGTAAAAGAAATTCGTTTAAAGATTCGTTCGGAAACAATGAAAAGTATGGCAGTGATAGTGGGTTCAGTTCTCGTTCTCCGACACCAAATAAGTATCAAATCGATAGTAGCCAAACGGAAAGTTCGGACGAACGAGATTCTACAAATTCTTCAATAGAACAAAATATGAAGTGCGTATTGTACGTTCAAAATGAAATGACGTAATCGTTTGATGTTCTAAATTAAGGAATTATTTTATTGTAGGAAACCGCACAAAGTACAGTCAGACAATGTTATAAATAATAGAATAATGCAATATAGCATAATTTCTGACACTCCTAGCCATCAGTTTTATCAGAATCAAAGACACGTTAATTGCTATTCCGCTACAATGGCTTCATCCAGGTTTCAATTACAAAATTATCAGAATAAAAGAAGATATCATTCAGGTACATTCGCGGTTACGACAAACGAATATGCTCGCACACTCGTTTTAGGAGCAAACTGTACTTTCAGGGAGGAATAGTCCACCACCTCAAAGATTACAACGAAGTAAAAAATATATGGGATTGGTATCACCAAATTATAGTTCATTCCCTACTTGTGGAATTGCCCCAGATCGATTTCTTGCTAGATCACATTTAGTCGAAGTAACCCACACGCCCGATGAACTATTGAATGGATCGATTTGGGATAATCTTTCGAGAGATGTTTGGGCCAAGTTTATGTTTAATCAACAGACTGAAACTGTTTATAGAAACAAAATGATGCTCTGGAGATATCTTTACGTTTATATTAAGGTACCATAATTTTTAATCATCTTTATAAACGTGAAAATAGTGGTAATATATACTTGTCTTTTCAACTAACAAAGAGTAAACAAATAGCCATACAACTTGGTTCAACTTTATTCTATATTAATTATTTGTTATTTATAAACGCAACTCGCTCGAAGTAATCAGTTTCAAAACGTTCAATGCATTTAGACTACATTTCCAAGATACGGATTATTTTTGGTCGGATCTACGATGAATGGTTTTGGATCAGATAACAGCGATGTTGACATGTGCCTTTTGGTAAGGCATACAGAAATGGATCAGAGAAACGAAGCTATTGGACATTTAGAGCAAATACTGAAATGTCTTAAAAGATGCGGTACGTGAAGTGTCGAATTCTCGTATACCTATGCTTGTCACGCATAATTAGAATTAATAAAACAATATTTCCATTATGACAGGTTTTATAGAACAGCTGGAACTTATACAAGCAAAGGTACCAATTCTGAAGTTCCACGATTCGATACAAAATTTAGAAGTTGATTTAAATTGTAACAATGCCGTCGGTATTCGGAACACTCATCTGCTCTACTGTTATTCTCAAAGTAAGATTACTGTCTACAAGGCGAGGCATTGGAGACAGATCATCAGAATAATTAGCTTATTTTTGTTAGACGAAAATGATTCGAACGAATCTTGCTTGGTTTCAAAGGGAACACGTCTTTTGAAATTGTGCAATAATCGTTTGATATGGTTTCGGTCTATTGCTACAAGTAAACGAGCAAATTAATTCAGACGATTTGCCTTAAGTTGCTCTTCCAAAAACATTTTAGATAAAAGAAAAATTCAACCCAGACCTAACTGCTCTAAATATATTTACAGTTGACTGGAGAGTGAGACCATTGGTACTTGTGATCAAACTTTGGGCTCAATCTCAGAATATTAATGATGCCAAAAACATGACCATATCGAGTTATTCTTTGGTTCTTATGGTTATTCACTTTTTGCAGTGTACGTGCATTCTTTTTCAGATCAACGATTGTTATTGACCTCGATGTGATTGCTATTGTTCGTTGCTTACAGGTGGTGTCAACCCACCCGTTTTACCTTGTTTACATTCTCTTTACAAGGGAAAATTTACACCGCACACGGACATACATTGCATAGATATCCTGGAAAAGTTGGACATTCCAGCTTCTGTACTTCGGCCTAAAAATTGGCAACCGTTGGGGGATCTGCTCGTAGAATTTTTTAGATATTACGTTATGTTTGAGTAAGTAAAAAAGAATAGCGTATATCGTGGTTTATTTCAGCTAACAGTATCGTACTAATGACATTTTAATCAGTTTCAATCAATACGCGATATCGGTGCGTTTGGCTAATAAAATACCGATAGAAGAATGTCGAAGGGCGCGGTCTTATAAAAATGATCCTCATCAGTGGAAGTATTTGTGCATCGAGGGTGAGTGTTTTAAATAACAGAAAATACCCGTTATAAAAGTGATTATGCAGCGTACGGCTGAACGTCGATTATCGAAACTGCTAGAGAGACAAATTCGTTTCGATAATTGATCCAGGAACTTACATACTTCCAAGGAGTATGCAAGACCTCAGGTCACCGATTTAATGGAAAAAAATTCAATAGTTCAGATATTTATAATTAATGACATCAGTATAATGTCTTCTTTTTTTTTATCTTTCAAATTAACCTCTTCCCGTACTATTTAACTCGACGAAATCCGGGCCCAAACGGTAGGCGTCAACGCGCGGTAAACAGACTGATTCTAAACTGCTTTGTAACTTTGAACACACATACGACATTTTAACAAAAATAATTTTTTATTCAATATGTGCATGTAGAATACAAAAGAAACAAAGTAGTTAGTATTATCTACAATCTTTTAGCTTTTCAAAACAAATTTAAGATTTGTGATATCATTATTATTTCGCTTGGTACAATTCTTTTTCATGTAGTCAGTTTTGCACCGCAACTAATTTTTAGTAAACATTTCAGATTTTGGTACACTTAATATTTCGTCCATAAACTTTCAACCTTGATAATTGCTTCAATACGTTTAGCTGCACTTAATACTACAGTTTTGCAATATTCTGGTGCAATAGAATCGCATCAATATAACGTTATGAAATCATTATCTAAAGATATAAAGAATAATATAATTTTCCAATTAAAATTGAAAATTGAAATTGTACATACAATACAGAGAAAATGTAATGAAGTCCCTGCATCTTTCCGTTAACTTAGGCTGTTCAAAATTATTATCTTGTCAGGATAAGAGAAGATTGACAAGATAAAACTGTTAGAAAGCGATGTTGAAAAGGAAATTAGTAAGTGGACATCTCGAAGAGCATTAAAAGAAGCCAATATTACAGCAATTAAGAAGAAACAAAAACCTATCAAAAAAAGAATGTTAAGGCCTGTCTGAATTTTTCAAGAAAACATTTAAGCTGGAATATGGAGCAATGGAAAAAAGTAATTATTTCCAGTGAATCAAAAATCAATCGAATTTCATTGGATGGATGTTGTTGGTGTTGGAAAAAGCAAGACGAACCTCTTATACCACGTCATGTGAAGCAAACAATGAAATTTCGTGGTGTCACTTGTAGTATGGGGGTGTATTACTGTGTGTGATATAGGATCACTACATCGAACAGAAGGTACGGTGAACCAGTATACGTATAAGGATATTTTAAAAAAGAATTTACCAGAAACAATTGAAAATATGCCAGTATCAGAGTTGATGTTGCATTCCAACATGACAACGCTCCTAGACATTGTGCGAACAGCGTGAAGAATTGACTGCAAAGTCAACTATTTCAAACCATGGAATGGCCTGCTCAAACGCCAGGCATAAACCCGATTGAAAATGTCTGGGCATACTTAAAAATGAAATTATAAAATAAATGTAATGCTCCCCCAATAACGATAACTGATTTGTGACATAGAGTGCAAGAACAATGGTATTCTATTACACCAGAGTATTACGAAAATGTAGTATTAAGTATGTCTAAACGTGTTGAAGCAATTATCAAGGTTAAAGTTTTATGAATGAAATATTAAATGTACCAAAATCCGAAATGTTTACTCAAAATTAGTTTCGGTGCAAAACTGACTACACGAAAAAGAATTGTACAAAACGAAATAATAATGATATCATAAATGTTCAATTTCTTTTGAAGAGCCAGAATATTGTAGATAATACTAAGTATTTTGTCTTCTTTGTATTCTATATGCAAATATTGAATAAAAAATTATTTTTGTTAAAATGTCGTTTGTGTGTTCAGTTTTGCTCCTTACTGTATAGGAATCGCGACCAATTCACGCGGCGTACTGATAGGAACTAAAACTCAATCACGATCGTCATTTGCTGTCCGCGAGTCTGGCTCGTGACATTCATGTTTGGGCCAAAATCTTCATTGCGAGTCAGACTCGTTAAAGTACGGGAAAGGATTAATTACCGTTCTTCCGCGAGAAGAAGGCACAGCGTGTTTACATCCCCACTCCTGTTGCAATCCACTAGCTCACAGGTATTGGTCGAAAACGATGACGAAGATCGGTGACAGCCAATCAGCGGACTGCAGCAAGAGTGGGGATGTAAACACGCTGTGCCTTTTTCTCGTGGAAGGACGATAGGTTTTACGTAGTTATAGAAAGTCAAATCTACTATTATACAAAGTTTCATTAAAATTGGTGGCTTCAAAGGAGTTGCGTTCTCCTTGTTAGACAATATTTGTGTGTTTATAGAACCATTCGATCTAACCAACACTGCAAGATCGGTTTACGATCCGGACGTATTTGCAAGGATCAAACATGTATTCGATTGTACGTACCAGAATTTGAAGGATCATCACGACTTGGCTAGAATATTCGTCAAGGTGGATTCTGCTTCGCCCTATATCGTAACGTAACCACGGTTTCCAGGCTAGTATAGAAGTACTTGTTATCTAGGATAATTTTATATTCGAGAGCAGTTTATTTTTGCAATCGGCCTCTTATCAACCATAATCGGAGGCATACTCGACTGATATATCCTTACCACCGATGTATGAGATGAAAAGTACAATGGGGTAGTCTTTTACGCTTATCTCGAGCTAACGAGCTCATAATCTTGTGATAATAAGCCTGTGCTGGTACGCACGACGGCTCACTTGTTCCGTTATAAGATCGAACATTTTTTCTCGTTTCGTTTCCGTTCTATTTACCTTTTTTTTTATATAAATGTGTAATGTCACTCATTACATAAATTTTTATGCGGAACGTAAATGCAACTTCGTAATCAAAAAAGAAAAAAAAATAGAAAAAAAAAATGTTAAACGATGTATTCGTAAATATTCGAAATTTAACTTTACACACGTATCGTAACATGTGCAATAGCGTTCGTAGATATGAGAGGGAGCCCTGAACGTAATTGAGAGTCGGGACCGTGATAAAACCGCGAGATTAAAACGCTTTTTCATCTTACGAACATCATTGATTACCTTATTCGGAATTTGTTCAATTTGATTTCGATGCGTGTTTTTCCAACTTTTTCTAATAACAATATGGTGCCTTACAATCGTCGGGCTACTTTAATCGAACTATTAAACATATGTAGCCCCTCGATTGAATATGATACATTGAAAAGAAAAAGATCTTAACAGAATTTCAGTTCCTCTTGACAATTACTTACGGTATAGATTAATATCTGCCTAAAACATCGAGGAAAATATCATCTGTATTTAAAAAATTGAAGAATGACGTGTCAATGAATTTTCGTTAGATCGCAAAAAGAGGTACTTATTCTTAATTGAAACTTGTAGTGACCTTAAAACTTATATTTAAAACGTACTCAAAAAAAGGAACGAAAAAAAAAAAAATTAAAAACGTTAAAAAGAAAAAAAAACAACTATCATTGTTCGAAACAAATAATAAAAGAAAATTTAAAAAAATTCTAATTCTATGTAAATCGACAACATCGAAATTCTCTTGAATTACACGTATCTCACTTAATAAATAAAGAAAAAGGGAAAAAAAAATAATCAAATAAAATTAGTTTATCGAAAGAATACAACGTATATTTTGTGGTGATCGAATTTGATTACCTATATCATGTGCCAAAGTAAGAAATTAATTTTGCCTTTACGTGAAAAGATTTTATAATATGTGAAGTCTGCTCGATCTGTATTTCAAAAGGAAAGCAGGCCAGTTTAACTATGCATTTGAACAATTCTTAAAATAGACTGAACAGTACTTGGTTATGTAATTAAATTTTTGCAATGTTATTTCCCGAAATAGTGATCTGCTAATGAAAGTTCCTAATTTAAAAAAAAAAAAAAATTTATCTGAAATCTCTAAGTTGATTTCGTTTTTAGTCTCGTTTCGACTAGTCTTCCGTGCGCTAGAAACATAATGTAATCTGTTAAATAATATTTAAAGTAATACTTAGAAAACAGGAGGCTGTGCTGACAGTATAAAAATTATTTAGTGCAATACTCAACCTTTAGGCCTGTAGAAATAAGTAGCAACGCCTGAATTATAATTCAGCTACAAAACTGTTGCTTCGTTAAAGATCATTTCCATAAATTTGTAAAAATTTGTTGGTTTCTAGATAGCGTTAATAACTTATATTATTCCAGAACAGGCCTAATATATTTTTCTAATTCATTATTTACTTATTTTTGTAACAAATGTAGAAGATGAAAAAATTAAGTACCTTCCTTCGCACAAACTGAAAATCTTGATTATCTCCCTCCCCCCCTTTTTTGTCAATTACTACGCACATGTAAGACTAAATTTTAATGTAATAATATCAAACTTTTGTAATTTTCATTTTGCCGTTAAATAAAAACTATTTATATACAGTAGTGCACAGTTCAATTTCAGCGATCTGTCTTCACTCTTCCCCCGCCATGTAGGCAAAACCTGATCTAAAGAAGGAAAGAGAATCGATTAAACGTAAAGAAGCGAAACGTGCACAGTAAGACAAAGATGCTACAAGAAAAATCATACAATAAAAAAACTTTTTACATTTCGCAATTTTCATTTTATCATTTTAGAAATCGTATCGATGCATCGCTGGAATTTTTGCATCGATAACGTTTTTATAAATATAACATAAATGTGTGGAATGTAACGTATCGTATATTGGATGATTATTTTTTGTCATGACAGCATCTCTTTGAATCTATTCTTTTTCTTCGTTACGTAAAATATATTAGGTTTCGAATTTGATGAAATTCAACCGTGCATTACTGTACGTACAAATTTTTTTCTATTAATCGACAATTTTATTTTAGTAGGTAAGACAATGATGAACCGATACTTCCTTCAAATTAAATTTATTCGTTCCATAAGATTTCACAATGAATTTCCATATTATATTCTGCAGTTAGCGGTGCGCGTTGGTCGGAAAGAAGAAAAGAAAACAATTTTCTGTTGTATAATAATGTTCTTTTTCTTTTTCGTCATTCTCAATTTATTCTGTGATCGTTTCATTACCGCGAGAAGCCAGCACAGACAGAAAGTAGAAAACAAAGTAGCAGGGGTGTAATATACGTACGAGGGTAAAAAGAAGAACGAAACAAAAAGGAAAGCGTCTGAATAAAAAAAAAATTAAAAAAAAAAAAAAATTAGTAGATAGAACGATACTTTGGTCAGTACATTAGAACGAGTAAAATACCTTGAACGCTAAACGGGACTACTCATATCATTACGGATGATGAATAACGTTCTTCGAAATTCAGACAATTTCTGTATATTTCAAGAGCTGCATCCAAAATGGTCTCGGCATGACTGTATCGTTAGTAGTCGGAATTAAGCTTCCTCCTCTTTTCCCCCGTATGCTCAGGGAAAAATCATTGTCCTCGATGTTATCAACGCACATTAAGTAATCTCTGTTTTACGAAATCTGTTCGTTAATGAGGTTCTTGTCGGTCATTTCGACTGGTACGTCCTACCAAAGAGAAACACAAACCGCCGAATCAAATTTGTTTCTCCATTATTATTGCGCTTTGTCGACCCCTGCGGTAAATAAAATATATACACGTATATGTACCGGTCTGACCAGAAAAATAGAAACTAATTAACGCGATCGGAATTAGGTCGGTAGGATTCCTTTATCGGGTCAGCGTGAAGTCAGTTTCACGCCAAGCCTATGAAGAAAATGGTATTCCCTCCTTCGTGATGATGCTTCGAGTGTCGGCCTCGTACCGTTACACGACAATTCCTTTCGGCGACATTTCCACCCGACCGATGTTTTTCGTCGGTAAAACAAATCCCGTGTTTATGTTACCCCCATCGTGTGATCCTGTTCTCGATGATCCTGTTCACGCGTTGTTGTCGCTTCATTCGTGGTTAACGATACAAAGGTTATGATCGAAAGTGGTGTACGGGCCGCCAAAAACGATTCCGGGATCCCATGGAGTCTCTATAGGCGTATTCGCTTTCATCCTTTTCTTTTTATTTTCCTTCGTTTTTTTTTTTCTCGACGTAGTCGTTCCCACGACTACAGTGGAGTCACAAAGGTATTTGAACGCTTGCAACGATAAACTCTAATCAACAAGATATATAAGTTAAATCGAATGTTCTTAATATTGTTCCGATCATAATACGATACGAGTATCGGAATTATACCATTGATAGTACTGTAAAATAACAGCCACAGCATTGAATCAACGAATATTTCTATGCTTCGCATTACAATTCGAACAGACCATTTTTAAATGCGAAAAACTGGCGTATCAATCGACATGTTAGCGAGCAACGAACGAATTGTTGTTTTTCTTTTACTCTATTATAGAAAAATAAACATTTGTTCTTAATCGATAAAACATTATTCGTTGTTGTTTATCTGGATAAAAATGCACTTTGAAAAGAAATTTATCATGTTTTCGTCTCGACGCCATCGAAGAATGGTTATAAATTTAATAGCCAATCGTCGCAAACAATTTAAGATTAATTTGAGTAATTGATTCCGACGAATAAATTTGTATCGCGTCAATTGAAGTTTCAAATCTGTCTGGTATGATAACGGTTGCACCGTGTATCGTAATCGTAACAATATTTCGAAATATTCAATGCAACTTACGTACCTTGTGTATTACAATCTGTGGCTGTAAGTGTTCGAACACTTTCGTGCGCCATTGCACCTTCGTTGGGAAATTGGAAAGACACGTAACGTGTATCGATATACCAATACATTCTGCGATCTCTTTCTCTCTCGTTATATTATTGCTGGCTGTGGATCGTTCGGTTCCGAAGGTCACGGATGCTTTCGTGCCACCTGTGCCTTTGATTTCCTTGTTCTTTTATTATTATTTTCGTAGAGAGAAGATTCGTGCAGTTGTGCGTTACAAATACTACGTTGGCACACTTGTCGAAATTTGGTCGAGTCACGAAGCGTTACATGTCCCGTATCTTCTTTTTTTTTACTATTATTATTATCATCGTCTTTTTTTTTTATTTTCCATAGTTTTGACATTTTTTTTGTTTGTTGTAATTATAGCGTCACTCGATCCCCGCGATAAAACGGTCCGTTCACGATAAGCGCGTGTCACGGTGAGTTGGTGGTGTGATTGTGTGTCGTCTCCCAGTCTTATCCCATTTTTTCCATTGGGCGTGTCGCCGCACACTGTTACATTCAGCGGTGTTGCCATCCGGTTCCTTCCCGTCTGAAACGTATTTTGGTTTTCTTTCTTGTCGTTTGGTTTTCCTCCCTTGGTTTTTTTTCTTTTTCTTTTTTTTGTCTCGTTTGTTCGATGTGACGGTTATCACGGCGACGAACTCCCTTTCCGTTTTGTTATTGCTGGTTGTTTGCTTTTATTTCGTTTGCTTTTTTTTTCCTTGCTTGCTTTAAAACCCTCTTTAACGCCGACGACTGCGTGCATAAATACCGTACTCGATCGCCTCGAGCCGTTTTACCGTTTCGCGCAGTTAGTGATTTGTGGTTTGTTGGTTGAAGAAGAATTGGTCGAACGAGCCTTCAGTCGCTCCCGCGACGCTGCATAGCAATTGCGTTGCTCAGCCGTACGGTCTCGGCTCAGTATGGCTGGGAGAACTGTCCCCCGGCTTGTGACTGCCCAGACTGATAGAAACCACTCCGATCGCCTTGGTAAGTCGAGTCCTGCGACAATAGACCGTCCATCTGCGACTGGAACTCCCCGACCGCGAACGAGTCCTGGGACAGCTCGGCCTGGCTCAATCCGGGTTGAGATAAACTGAATCCCGGCTGTGACATGCCCTGCGTGGTGCCTTGCGTCAGGGGCAGACCCGGCTGACTGTACGGTTGGGTGTTCTGCTCGGTTTGGCTCAGCTTGCCCATTCGCGGACCTTGCTTGTTCTTGGAAAGTACGGCGCCCCGACGATTACGTTGATTCTGTCTGGCCTGCAACGCCTGTTGATGCTGATTGTAGAATCTCGGCGGTACGTGTGCCATGTTCATGAACATGCCCACGGGCACCGGGACGTTGTTCATCGCCGCCTGTGCCCTTTCCGGGCTGATGTAGCTGATCGTGTCGTGCGTTCTGCTGAATATGTCTAGAGGCACGTTTCTCTGATAGTATGGATTGTGGTTCTGCGTGCCGTTTACCTGGGTGCCAGATCGATCGTACACGGAACCCGGTATCAGGGCCTCTCGCGCGTCGTACATCGACGTGGACATGAAGTGCGAACCAGGATTCGCTGCGTTGACGAGCTTCTTTGGTTTCGCGAACTGGATCATGGATTCTTTCAGGTTATTCAACGGACCCTCTACGAGTACCTTTTGTTCCTTGTAGAAACTGAGCAGATGGTTCCAGAGCGGTTGCTTGGACAATACTTTCGGATTACCCACGATGATGATTCCGTATTTGGCACGGGTCAACGCAACGTTCAAACGTCTCGGATCGTTGAGGAACCCGATACCCTGATGCTCGTTGGACCGTACGCACGACATGATTATTATGTCCTTTTCTCTGCCCTGGAACGCGTCCACGCTGGCCACTTCGATCTCTTGATACAGCTTCGAGTGCAACGAGCCTTGGTACTGCATGTATTGGACCAGATACGCCCTCTGTCCCTCGTACGGCGTGATCACGCCGATCTGTTCGGGCTTGACGCCGCAGCGCAAGAAACGTGTGGCTATCTTCTCGACGTTCGATGCCTCGGTTCGGTTCAAGTACGACGTACCGCTGCCGGCAATTTCCTCCTGTCCCTGGGTCACGTAGAAGAACATAGGCTTGTCGGGCGCGGGCCACGGAAAGTCGATCTTCAGCAGTTTCCTCTCGTCGGCGCACACGCCATTTTGTAACGAGCCCTCGTAGAAGAAGTTGGACGGGAAACGCGATAGATCGGGATGCATTCGGTATTGAACCTCCAATCGGAATGGTCTGATACCGAGAACGACCAGTCTCTCGAACAACGATTGCGACAAACCAGCTCTTGCGGCTTTCTTGCACATTACTACCGGGCCTAGTTGGCAGTGATCGCCGACGAGAATCAGCTGTTTCGCGCCAAGTACCACAGGCACCATGCACTCAGGTTCGGTGGCTTGCATGCTCTCGTCGATGAGGATCGAGTGGAATTTTAGTCTGTGCAGCCTCGGGTCACCGGCTCCCACGCAGGTGCAGCAAATCACGTCCGCTGCCTCCAACAGTTCTTTCTCCGCTGCCTTTTTCAACAGTCTGTATCGTTTCTCGTCGACGCTGGACAGTTCACCGGTCTCGTCCTTCAGCTGTTGCAGCTTCTGCAGCTCTGTGTTCGTTTCCATGTTCTTGATTTGATTGTGAAGAGCCAAAAAGCTCACCGGCGAATCGATAGCCTCGCGCGACTTGGCGCAAAGCCTAACCACCTTCAAATTTGACTTGTGTATCTTTTCCGTGAGCTGGTCCACGGCCGTGTTCGATGGAGCGCACACCAATACTGGTCCACCGTTCTGTTTCACCAGTTGGTATACTATGGTGGCGCTGGTTACGGTTTTACCCGTACCGGGCGGCCCTTGGATCAGGGACAACGGTCTCTGAACTGCGTGCTTCACGGCATATACTTGAGACCGATTCAAGTCGGGTAAGTTCGGGGCACTAAAGTGCTTCGGAAGGTGACAACGGAATAGCACTTCCTCCACTTCGTGTCCCAGTAATCTGTGATATATGTAAGCGGACACGGAAGTATCGTCCACCGCAAATTTCCGTAATGCTAATTGCATGCTACAATGGGAGAAAAGATTATGCGTTATACATTATTGGAGGTATATGGAACGTCTTACCTAAACCATCTAAATATCTCCTCCACAAAAATAAAAAAACTCGAGTCTAAAATACATAGCTTATTTGATAAAAACTTTATCAGTATTGGTGGAGATATTTAAGTGGCCTGGTATAGGTGAGACATCCTGTAGAAGTTATCGAATAATTTTCAATAGTAACAAAGAGTTCCTGAACAATATAGATATTTATGACGATGTGAAAAATCTCATTAAGTCAAAGTAACACCTTATTTTAAGATACGCGCGCGAAGACGTTAACGAAATTAATAAATGAAAAATGGCCACCGATTTGCCGATTTTGTTAGAGTTAAACGAAACTAGAAAAATCTATGATGACGTGATCTTCGTGTGACCTTGCTTTGCTGCTTTTTCTTAGTTTCTAATACTGTTCAATTATAAAGCCAGATAGAAAGCATAAAACATTTTATTTATTTAAAAAAAGTGTCTAGTACTAAGGGAACTCTCGATCTTCTTCAGTATTAATTTTCATTATTTCCTAATCGACACTTACCGGTCAAAACTGGTACTTTTCCAAATAAAGTCAACGACAAAGTTGCTCATACATTCCGTCGGAGCACCGGAATTATTTTTCAATTCGATGCCTACTTCCTCCCCGTAATTGTCAGGAATTTTTATCACGTGCCCAATACCTGACCAGGGCTTGTGAAGTTCACCCAAATATCGAAGTCTTAATTCATCCCCGTGCATCAGTTTCATATCGCCGTCAGTTTTCGCCAACATAAAATATGCGATCGTCTTTTTGTTCAGGCCAACATCCCACCGGACTTCGATGTTTTCTTGAGTTTGCGATTCCTTCAAACGTTTATCGTAATCTGCTTCGAGCTTTACCAAAGGACCGAATATGTTTTGATATTGGTATCCGTCTTCGTACCGCAAGAGCACTTGTTGCGGTTCTTCGTCCACTCCGGGCTTTTCAAGGTCTTGGAAAGTCGCGTCCACGTTATCGCGCCACAGTTCTTCCAATTTGTTAATCTGTTGAGCGGAAATCTGTCTGGCTCGTAATTGTTCCTGTTCGGACGGAATTTTTACCAACCACGCTAAGAAGCTACGATCCTCGATCAGTGGTTTCCATTGTTCTTGATCCCTAGTAAATTTAAAGAAAGCATTGAAAGTTACAAAACCTCATTATATTTCTGGTTTTCCTTTAACGCGTTGATTGCCATTGGTAGTAAAAGATTAAGTATAAAAAAATATAATACAATTTTCAGGTTTCAGCAACAGGTAACAGCACTATGGATCGAATCTTTGATCGATTTATGGACGTATAAATAACTTGGAAATAATTTTCTTTTTGAAAGATAAATAAAGTACAGACAACAGAGAATCAAAAAGACACGCTTACCAGTTCATGTCCTTCAAGGAACTTTGAGCCGCACAAGGTTGCCTGCAAAGTAACACAACAACGGAATCTGCCTTTGCTGGAATAAAGCCAAGAACAAAGACGTTCCTGACAGCACAAGAGTAACATTCCAGAACAGTTTCTCCCAATGGACCGTCTCTGTAAAGTAAAAAAATTATAGAATAGAAAATTATTGATAACAGTGTGTAGTAGTAAAACTATATAGAATAGAATGCAGTACCTGTGCAGAGTGACTTCCTTGTGTTTGGCTCGAACAAGGTGATTAATAATATGTGAACCAGATGTGTTTCCACGTCCGTTACAGAACCATTTACGACAAACGTTGCACATAACAACGCATGATGCTTCATGAATTCCACAGTATTTACATGCATGTTCAGGCAAGTCACGATTGTAATATGCCTCCTCTTCTTCTTCCTCAAACTGTAATTCGGCAAGACTCTGTGCTGTTCCAGATATCTTCAAATCCAAAGATGAGCCAACACTGGTTCCATTAACCTGAATAAGAATTGTACATATGGTAAACGTACTAGATATTAACAAACAAATTTTATATTGTTACTATTATGTTCAGCGTTGCCATTTCTTTTGTCAAGATAATACTCCCAAAACCATATTTTTAACGTTTTTTTAAGTAAACCGATATAGACCATTATCGTTAGCATTCCCATGTACAGTAAAACGCTAATTATAAAATAATGTAAGCACGAACTAAATATACAATTCTTGCAAATATTGAGTACATTATCTATATGAATAAACATGAGTTGTTCGTCTAATATAATCTACCGTTTGCCCGTAAAAATAAGTAAATACGAAACTAAAGCAATCATAATACGGGCCGATCGTCTTGCACAACAATGCGAAACAAAATTCTGCGCTTGGGTATCACCTAACCTCTTGGCGTCGAAAAAATCGTTGGAAAAAACCGATTACGAGGAACAGGAAACACGTTCACGATTCGTTGGGCATCGAAACGAAATCGTTTTTGGGACAAAGCTATCGCGGCCAAACGACACAGATTTCGAGAGAAAAAAATCCGAGTCACGAAAGCAAGGCGAAGGCGTGAACTTGCGCCAGCCCCACGTCGTACATTGGAATTTACAACGAGCACCGTAAACGAACAAGGTTAGGTGGTTGCGAGCCGCATGATTGCGAAAAATTGAAAGATCTCCGGACAACGGGCAATGAAGAAACGAAAACGCAGGGTAGGTTAGAAGTTGAGCTTAAGGGAACATATGACGAGTCAAAAAACCAACCTGTACAGGCTGGCTAGGTTGACTTTGTACAGCATCGTGCTGGGAGGCCTGAGTTTGACTCGGCGACGGTAACGTGAAGTCCGTGAAGTCGAATTCACTGCCCTGCGTATCGGCTCCGATCAAATCCGCTTCCTCCGTGTCGAGGAACGTTAGGGTCTGACTGCTAGGCCCGTACGCGTCGACGCTCATCCTGGTACGATACTCGTACGTCCTTTTCGTGTCCCGCGATGGATAGACTGCACCGCGGTTCGTGTAATCAGCGAACACCGTAGCCCGCGATAACGCCGCAGCTCGAGAACGCTCGCGAAACAAATCTTAAGGGTGAAACGGAAACCCCCAACGTGTACGAAGTGAACGGTTAACACTTTCGACGAAAGTGGCCCAGAGAATCCTACGCCATACTTTTTCTCGCGCAAGCCTCGCGCCCACCAACACCGACACGAGTTACACACAACTAACTTTTCTTCTTTGCGCTCGTCGCGTGTTACGTCATCAGCTGATCTCCAAGTGCGTCGAGAGAGAGAAGGTTGGAGACTCCGGCGATTTCCCCGCTCAAGATACGTCGATTGGCGGCTTTTTCGCGATTCGATCCTCCGTGCCGATTCCTCTTGAAAATATTTATCGGTCAGGAGTATACGATAACGGATACATTGGATCAGGCACAGTAGATGGCGACACCGATACACAAGAGTGAACCGTAGACCGTTGGCGGGAAAAGCACATACATATGCAGTATGCTAGGCACACGCCTGACCTTCCTTATAGAGGGAATTTTCTCTCATTTATACGATTTATTCAGAGTTGCATGATTTTTTTAAAGGAATTTATTCACAATTATACGAATTATGACGGATACTGTCTGACATGAGAGAGTTTGTTTAAAACAATAATGATAATGATGAAAAAATAACCTTACTTTTTTTTCCATCTTTACATCCTTCTTAATTCCATGCTATCCCAAATATAAGTGACATGGTGGTTAACGTGTTAAGACAAAATAAAGGGGCGAATACTTCGATGTCGTGTTTCACTCGACAACCCAATCATTGTAGTATTTTTTTTTTTATAAATTATCTAAATTCGACGATCGTTCGATCCAACTGAAGGGATTTTCAGGCGATGGGAAGAGAAGGAATATGAAAATTGTCTTACCGATTAATTTATTGTCGAGTTTTTGTCTATTTACGTGCATACATGAACGTAATAGTAATCAAAACCCTATAGCTACAATAAAAATAATAAATACAAAGTTTACTATATACAAAACACTTATCGATTCGATCTTCTATTAATTTTTCTGTATCATCTAGTAGCAGTTCGTGAATGTTCAATACAATTCGCGTTCGATTAAATTACTTTTATAATATTTATATCGAATTTATAATATATCTCTCAAAATAATACCTCCTTGACGCGCGCGCGCACACACACACACACACACTCAAATCGTGCAATATACACAATGAATCTCAATTCGCTTCCAAATATTTTGTGTATATTTTACTCACTCTGTTGCATCTGAAGTCGACCGTTATAGGTTAGTGTTATAAAAATGATTGCAGCAATTAATAAACTCTAATACTTAACATCATTGTACTACTGTTTAAATCCAACCACTGAGAAGAAATAGTAATCGAAATAAGCTAGTTTCATTTAATTATTAATGTTTCCAGATATACAACAATTTTACATCCAGACATACAACGGCGCGGAATATTCCACTTCCTAACGCAAATGCTTGAACTGTATCGTTTGACGCGGGAGATTGTTGTTGGTAAAAAAAATGACGCGTCTAATTGCGACATATAAAAATATTTATGAGATCAGTCTTGCTACGATACACCGATTACAACTAATCGATTTAGGTCTGCTCGATCGTGTATGTGTTTTGAACACGTTTGATCGTTCTTACAACGTGTAAAGCAAAGTTGGTCAATGTTACGTTGAATTCTTTCGACCGTGCAATTAATGATCACGATTGAGATATGAAATTAGTCGTTTCATCTTCAATTGGTTCGTCGATTGTGAGCAATAGATCGTAATGTACGTAATAATTTATCTCACGACGACTCTGTACGTCGAGTTACAACGATGGACGTATGGAGGCGCCATATTGTCGTTCCACACAGCCACGTTGTACGACACATATTTGCAACAACCCAACGCACTTTACAATTATCGTTCGAACCAATTGTAAACTACACAACCTACAATTTGTCTTAGTCACCTACGTACACGTTTTGCACTCCAAAATAACCCTTTTGCATCATATACAAGATGAATTTGATTTATAAAAGGGTGAATTTGATTTGCAATAAGATATATATGATCTGCAAAAGGGTTAATTTGGAGTGCAGAACCAGTATGGATAACGTGGCAGTCAAAGTATTAAATATCGTTGAGTTTCAAATAAAAATTATGGCGAAGGAGAATTAACGGTTAATTTCTTCAATTGGTAGAGTTAACTTCAGTTACAGATACTAATCGTTTCAGATTATTTCCGTCGTATAGCCGACGCCGATGGCAAATAATTCAAAACAAACTGTTCTTCTCTTCCAACCGAGTTTATCGCGGCTCTATAAATTTTTATATTTGAAGAACAGTATCACGATAAATAATAAACCATATTATTCCCCTAAAGTCCTAGAAACCTTGTACTCCGCATCGTTAGCAGCTCTTTTTTAGCTCCCTTTCATCACATTACAAAAATGGCACTTGTCTGTATTCTACCAAGGCCTCCATTCCTCATTGCTAAACTGTATTCGTTGCCTATGGTGGAGAAGAAGATGAATTCCAATGAAAATCTTCTTAGAATTGGTTTGAAAACCCTGGGTCATCGATCCTGAATCATGAGGTCCTACACAAACGGTCACCGACCGACGAAATATGTTCTTTCACAACTGCCGATCGTCTCACATTCGTGCCCAATAGACGTCGGAAGAAGAAGGTTCAACGAATCTATAGTCAGTATTGAGGGTTCGGTGAATTCCTCTGGAAACTGGTCTGCTGGTTCTGTTGTAACGGTCCCGCCGGGCTCGGTCTGCCTTGGTCACGGTACTGAGGCGGTCCAGGTGGTCCATTGGGCTGTCCAGATGGTCCAGGAGGTGGTCCGGGCACTTTGTTGTAGTTGCCTCGCGTAGATCCTTGGTAACTTCCGTACGCCGAGTCGTCGCTGCGCCTGGAAATATGTCCGTACATGCTTTCAGGTCTTCTGGAGTTGGCGGCACTGTCAGAGGTAGCAGTCAGCGTGCCGTTTTGGTGTTGCGGCTGTTGTTGTTGCTGTTGCTGCTGTTGTTGTTGCGGCGGTGGCTGTGATTGCTGCTGCTGTTGCTGCGGATGGTGATTCTGTCCCGAGGGCTGGACATTTGGTCCCGATTGGGGCGAGTTCTGACCACCCGGAGGAGGGGCAGGTGCGCGTCCGTATATACTAGATCCCGTGGACACGCCGTAGATCCCATTCTCGCGGGTGCTCAGACTCGTCGAGATCCCCCTGATTCCATAGATGCTCTGCGTGCATTGTTGCAGTTGATTTTGCATGTTCTGATTCGTGCTGTTGTGATTCTGCGTGCTCTGAGCCTGCCCGGTTGGCACTGTTTGCTGTTGACTGCTCTCTCTGGAGTTCTGCGACCCTGTTTGGCCGATTCTGATGGGGTACAGGCTCTGAGCGGGCACCAGAGGTCCTGGTTTCGGGATCATCAAACCGTCCCGAGTCCCGGTGGTGGACTTAGCGTACACGCTCTGCGAACGATTCAAATTCGCCCTGGTCAAGGGCGGGGATTTGCAATAGAGCGACTTAGTGCCACCGTAAATCGATTCGACGCGTTCCAGGGCGGACGGTGGTGCGCTGTAGATCGACGCAGATGCCCCGGCTACTGGACGATAAGTGGCGTACGCGCTAGGGAATTTCGGTCCGGACGGTTTGTCCAGATCATCGTACGTATCCTCGTCTGACCTCATCGACGAGTTGTCGCCATCGTCCATGTCGCGCGGATCTTTCGTCCGTCTCGGGCTCAGCACATACTCGTGCAACAGAGCAGCTACCGCGCTTCCGGACAACGGTCCCACCCAGTATACCCAGTGATTATCCCATCGGTTGGTCACGAACGCTGGACCCAGAGCTCGGGCAGGGTTCAGAAATGGACTCTAAAAATAAAACGGACGAAATTAGTTGTTATCAGTGCACGGGTCTCGAACACAATCAAGCCTTACTTAATAGAATCTCATCCATCCCTTTCTAAAAACGAGGAATATAATCACAGATCTCTGGCCACACAATATATTTGTAGTAAAGAATTTTTTTCTCAAAAGTGCGTAGGATTTCGGGGATATGTGTATTCACCAAAAATGATTGTAATTGATCCCCGCAATCGAAAATAATTTCTTCAGAACGATTTGAAATTTTTTAATTTAATTCTTTAATAACTTTTTAACGAAGCCTCAATCAAGAAATTGATATTCTTGATTTTCGTCTTATATGGGAAAAAATCAAAAACAATATCAGTCCCATAGGTTTAGTCGGAAGTCGATCAGCATTAACGAACGAGGACTCTCCTCGGCTCAGGGTACAAGGCGCCTGGCCGTTTAACGCGCATAACCGGTGGTTTCGCGTTCGTTTCTCTTTTTTTCGAGCCGCATTGTACACGTGTTCCGGAGCAGGTGGGATCAGGATCGGTTCTCCTCTCTTTTTTTTCATCAGTCTTACTCTGGCCCCGTCTCTGCGCTCTTTGGCAGCCTCTCTCGGTCTTTCTCATGGGCAACTGCAGGTGCTCTTTAAAGACGCAAACGTGGATCCGATTCGAAAAGAGATCGAGAGACGTTTTGGATGTAGACCGGTTGGGAGAACGAGGGAACTGTACAGGGGGATAAAGGGAATTCGTACTGGAGACAGGGAGGAAGAAAAAAGGTAGCTGCTTTTATAAACGCGCCGATATAATGATTTTTTTCAATGGTCAGTCCATACTATGATTGAACGTGATTCCAAGGAGAAGCAGCTTACCGAAACCAAGGTGGCCGCCGTGTATGCTGCGGCCAACATTCCGGCTGGTTTTGAGGTCATGGAGATTGATAGCGACGGTTTGGTTGATTCCGAGGTAAAATGGGCTAAGACGATCAGCACCGAAAGCGCAAGTTCCACCAAAAGCCTCTCGATGGCGCCCCCGAGGCGACCCGGGGACGTCAGGGTTTGTGTATTGGAAGGAGCAGACACTCTGCGAACAGAAAAAATTGTTAATGTTAAAAAAAGGACCTATTTATTGACAGCTGCCCAATCACTGTCGTCTTAAACTGTTTTATTTAACACTAGATTTACGGAACCTGTCAATTTGATAGATTTCATCTTTTATACTTAAAGTTACGATAGGAATGTATATTCTAATTAATAGAAAAACCGCGATAAAAGTAAAAAGAATTTTCAATGAAAATATGTGCAATCAATGTCCATAAATATAGCGTTAAAATACTTATAAAGTTATACGTTCAAAGAATCTAACATAACCTTACAAGCATAGGACAGTTGTAAGAATTTTAAGTCGATTGAAACAGGTAAAACAACGATTTTTGGATCAAATTGTTTTAGCAAAGTTTCGAATATAATAGATTGAGTTACAATGAAAAGGATTATTGATCGGTTTTCCGATAATCGAGCCTCGCATATGGCATTCGCCGTGACAGCGATATAATATACGATGATTTTCCTATTGAAAGTTACGCCAATAACGATACCAGGCATAAAAGCCCCCTGCGGCAAGTTGATCCCTGTGGTGTAATGTTTATATTAGCCGGTGCATCCTCGAGCCCCTGACACTCGCTGCCACGCCCCTCTCCTTTGGTCGTTTCTTTTGCATAAAACCTCGTTAATTTTCTCGGTTCGTATAATCATACGGGGTCACAGACAGGCGACCTTCCGTTTCGCCAGCATTGTCGGCCACGTTGGGCAGCGATTAAAGGTTAACAATGGTCACTTTGGGATTCGTGGTTTGGAATTTAAACGATTGAAAAATACACAGTATGTCGGAAAAATAATGGAACTTTTCAAATTTAATGAAAACTGCTGAAACAATGTGTAACCTGAAAGCTGTATATTTTCTCTACAAAATAAAAGCATCATTATTGGAATCGATTAACGGATTGTCAAGTTATAACGATTAAAGTGGCAGTACCTTTTGTCACTTCGTCGCAGAAACACGATGGATCAAAGAGCAAATATTAAATTTTGTTTCAAGTTCGGGAAAATTTTCACAGAAACATTTCAATTGATGAAAAAAGTTTATGTTGATGATTGTTTATCCCGTACACGTGTGTTCGAATGGTATAAACGATTCCAGAACGGTCGTGATGCTTTGGAATATGACCCAAAGCCAGGCCGGCCAGAAAAGAAAAATCGCGATGAGTTGGTGGAAAAAGTGCGTGAAATGATTACCTACGATGCGACTTCAAGTGTGAGATGGATGGCAGTGGTATTAAATACGACTAAAGACATGATTCGCGAAATTTTGACAAAGGACTTAAACAAACGGAAAGTCTGTGCTCGATTTGTTCCTCACGCATTAAATGAGGACTAACAGATTGCTCGCGTTGAACATTGCAATGATCTTATTAAAACAGCCAGACGGAATTGCACATTCCTGGAATCGATTGTGACTGGAGACGAGACTTGGTGATTAAACTACGATCCACAAACAAAGCGCCAAAGTGCAACGTGGAAGTCCCCAGACTCTCCGAAATCGAAAAAATTGCGATTCCAGAAGTCACGAGAGAAGACAATGTTGATCTGTTTTTATGATTCTAAAGGTATTATACTTTGGGAATTCGTTCCACAGGGTGAAAATGTCAATGGTGAATATTATCTGGGTGTTATGGAGCGTTTGTGGGAAAAAATCGTTCGAGTGAGGCCCGAATATCGAGCGCCAGGAAGTTCGTGAATTTTTGATGAAAAAACAGGTTTGTGTGCTCCAACATCCTCCGTATTCGTCGGATTTATCTCCATGTGATTATTTCCTATTCCCAAAACTCAAACTGGCCATCAAAGGAACGTTTTATGACAGTGTTACACAAGTCCAAGGCGCGGTGACAAGAGTCATTGAGGCGATTCCGCAAAATGATATAAAAAAATCTATGCTGACACTAGTCAAACGTACCCAGCGGTGTATTGATGCAGAAGGGATGTATTTTGAATAAAAAAAAATAATTTTGGCAAAATAGCTAATTTTCTTTTTTTAATTTAAAAAGTTCCGTTATTTTTCCGACATACTGTGCTGAAGTTATAGTCTGCTGAAATGAACCGCACGCAGGTATAATAACTGGACGCGAAACTTCAAAGCTGTTTTTCTCGAAACTACATTTTTCGGCACTGCGTATGTGATAACAAAATAACTATTCAAGATATCAACATGAAATTTATACAGTATCTTTAGAACTGGTCTCCCTATAGCTTGAACTAGAATAATTGCGATATATGCAATACTTTTTCTTTTATTAACAAAAAAGCAACCGAATATATGAAAATATTCAGTATTTTTTTGTAAAATAGCTGCCATTTTGCCATTTTTTGTTTTTTTGAAAAGATCCTAGTTCATGCTATAACCACACTCATCTATATTAAGAATATCGTTGGTTTTTGGATTTTGGATAACTTGTTCGCAAGATATCACATACGCAGTCGAGCACCGTTCGTAAAAACTGCTGTTTGTTGATCAACAAAAGCAGCGTAATCAATAGATACATATTATGCGTTGCAAAAATTCGTAAATATAGCTAAATATATAATAAATGTATCTACAAAATCAGAAATTAATCGCTCTTTAGTAGCCCGTAAAAAAAATCACAAAAAAACATATTTTTCGTACCTACAAGGTACAATGGCCCCTTAATAGAAGTATTGCTCTTTGTATGTATTAGAATGTAGTAAATATATAATTTTGTCCAAAAACGATAACAATCTCGAGAATCCGAATCCGTCCCTGGTAACAATACGCTGTTACGCTCTCAAATGACATAATCGTCGTTAAGTCCCGAAGAATCGATCCTGACGGACGACAGAACGCCGTTCGCTGAACAATAAAACAGAAAAAGAGAGAATAAAGATGTTGCTTATCACGGTGATGCTTGTAAAAGAAACGTGTGTTCTTTTTCTCTCGTTTTTACCCTCGACGCGACTACGGTTGTTCATGGACGGCTCAGTTAATCCCAATTGTGCGGTCATGATCTGCATTTCTGATTTCATCAATTCGCTCTCTCGCGACGCGCGTTCGCATAAGGCCTCTCGAGGACAGAACGAACGGGACAGGGGGGAAGCTTTCATTTGCATCGATCGTAGACCAAAGGAGGGGGAGAATTTTCGCTGATTGCACGACACTACGATAGGATTTTAGGGGCACACGTAGCGATCGTCCCACGCGAAACGGCTCGTGATCTGTCCAGGAGGGTCGAACTCTGTCCACAGGTGCATCATTGTTAATAGTTTCAGAAGTTGTCCGTCAAACAAATTGAAGGAAAACTGTTCGTAAAATTATTAAGACTGTTCTACTTTAATCAGACCGGTCAATTCTTGGAACTGACTTCGCGGAGTCACGCTTGTCCCGGGCAGGGTCAAGTGTGTTTATGTTTTTAAATCTACGGCGAGATATCGATCCGTCGCCTTATATCTCCTTCTCATTCGCACTCTCTAAAAGAAAGAGTTACGGAATTTCCTGGAAGATTAACCTCCGTCCAGCTTAGACCAGTTTCGGTCCCGAATGTCGACCAGTATGTATTCAAGACACTGTTACTACAGGATTTTTTAACAAGGTCACAGAACTTTTATTTGTCATAGCGAGTTAGATAAAATCCACATTACAACATTGCAAATAATTATTAAAATTCTATCGTTCTTATTGGAAAACCATGTACGTATAAATTGTTATAAACAAAGGTTTACTAACAATCCGAGTAAAGTTTTTTATTGTTGTCGGAATCACTCGCTGTATAAATACTTTTCACACCGTAGAAAATGTTTCGCGAAGTTACGCGACGTCATTTTGTCTTTCAGCGATTCTATTTGTTGCAATTTTCAAGCGTAGCTGGAGCAGCGCAACACGCTTGTCGCATGTTTTTCCGCTTTTGTTTTCCGCGCGGCCGAGACTGCAGAGGGTCGTGCAAAATGGGAATCTGGCCTGCACTCTGCGCGGTAAAAGGCAGATGAAAGAAGAAAGCGTTCGCTTTTCCGGGACGGAAAACGGGAAAAGGTACACAAAAAAAAAAAGAATAAAAAAATAGTACAGAATTCCGTAAACTCTGAAGCGTACCAGAGATTAAAGCCTTTGCCGTAGATCCGTGTCGACGTCGTTCATTGACGGTCGTTGGTTTTGATCGACACAAAATTCCCAGATGAAACTTGGCCTCGGAAGCTGAATATCCGCGGGAAGCTAGAAGGTTCGAGTCACCTTTCTCGGTGTCATCGTCACACGATATTTACTCCTCTCTCACGTACTCGAGGAGCCTTGGTCATCGAAGCGTGAAGCGTTCGATCACCGGAGAGAACGTTTAATTTTGCGTGTGTGCACTTGACTCGAGAGCAAGCCCGCGTGCAACCTGTGCCCCAAATTCGCACGGGGGTACGTGAACCCCACAGAAACAACCCCCAAGAGGCTCGAATGTAACAGGGAATAGGAGGAGGGGAATTCGCGAAGCTTTAAATAAATTTCAATTCGAGGGAGAAGGGGTGTGTATCACTTTCACCAGACCTCTGTCGTGTTTAACGAGCTATTGATACTTCCACCCACCGCCGCCACTTATGTGGGGTGAGCAGTGCGGTGCACCGACCTCCCCAGTCCCGTCCGACGACTTGGCGAACCGGACACCCTCCCCCTCCTCTTCACCCTTGTTCCCGAGCCGGCTCCCCTCTTTTCCAGCAAGGAAAACTGACACATGTGAGGCGCGCCGAGGCGAAGGCAACGAGAGATCCACACGTGATTCCATTATAAAGTCTCGCCCTGTGGGAAAGTTCGGATGCCCACGGATGGCTGTGGTTAAACCCGAAAATTAGGTTTTACGGTCAACCGCCGGGACAAACGATCGATTGTGGGAAGCTTCGCGAGAAGAGTAATGACGCTTGTTCGCGTGTCTGGACTTCTCATGTTCTCGCCGGGGTTATTCCGTGTCAAGTCGAACAGTTTTTATTAGAGATCAAGATTATCACTTCGGATTTTACCGACGTTTAAATATAGTTTTT